ACACGTTTTTTCAGCTCATCATGTCACACATCTGTGTGAAACACAGTAAATGCAGAAGACGCCATCAGTCACTAATGGAGATGCTGTGCTTCACATTAGACTCAAACCGTCTCCAATGTGGCTGAATTTAAAAGAGAAGTGACCCGAGGTCCATTGATACTTATCACAAACATGGAAGTCGCTGCCATGTCATATAAAATTAATAAATTAAATCATTAATTGAAAACTGCAGTTTTAGATTTACTCAATGTCTGTTTGCTTTATGTTTAGAAACATTTAAATGTGATTAAAAACCGGAAAGTCAGACGACTTCTATAACATAGTAAGACTTTCCACTATCATTAAACATACTGAGGTGTGAACCGAGTTTATGTTAGACTGGATGTGATCAGACATAGAGAAACATACACAATGCAAATTCACACAGTATACTGAGATACAACTGTGTGTGTGCGTGTTCGTGTGTGTGTGTGCGTGTGTGTGCGTGTGTGTGTGCGTGTTGTGTGTGTGTGTGTGTGTGTGTGTGTGTGTGTGTGTGTGTGTGTGTGTGTGTGTGTGTGTGTGTGTGTGTGTGTGTGTGTGTGTGTGTGTGTGTGTGCACGTTACAGTGCGTGTAACTGTTGTCACGAGTGATGTCTTGACATTAATGTGAAGAAATCTAAACCATTTCTTTACATCAACTTCTACCATGTTTTATACCTACATTTCAGATTCTAGCTGTGCACAGTGAGGAACCTCAGAGAAATTCAGGCTTCAGAAGGCGTCCTAATCCTCCCCCCTCCCCAACATCCAAATAAATATAAAACACCATATTTCCAAAGTTATTCTCTACATTGTTACTATTGACACTGCTTATTTGTGGATGACTGAAAAATTTATTTCGCAGTTTTTTCAGAGTCATTTCTTACTTGTCCAGTTTATGTTGTAGTGTGTCCAAGAACTCATTGCAGTAAACAATGTTGTCTGGTAGCCCAATGCTGAATGAGTGTTCTCTGGCCATGTGGTTCAGCAGACATGCCCTGAACACAGAATACAGAAAGGATCAATAATGCACTATGATAATAACTAAATATCTGTTTATTCAAGGTGAGCAGAGCTGTTCAGACTTGTCCAAATGAATCATTTCCTTAAATGAAATCAAATGACATCAGACCTACAGAGTGCTTATAGACCTCAAAGACACTTGCATTCATTCCCATTCATGCACATATTCACATGTTTCTGATGGCAAGCCACTGTTTCTGATGGCAAGCCAAGCCAGACAGACAGAAGCAAGCCATCGTCCCTTATAGACTCTCTTAGCGTTGACCCATGTGTGTTCTCACCTGTTTCCACTGCACTCCTCACTGCAGAATAAACATAGACGATGGAAGTAGCAGTCGTCACGTTCCTTCTGTTGTTGCTCCAGGACCTCCTCCTAAAGTAAACTGTGTTATTTTTAAGAAAGCAAATCTGAGGGAGAATTTTATAAACCGAGAGAACTCTGATGTGCTCTGGCTCATCAACTATTAGAAGCAGGAAGTATATCATTTTTACAGCTTGTAGCTGTGTGCCGTACTTTGTTTCAGCAGTCACTGTTTTAAAGCGCTTGAGGAAGAGGTTAAGATATTTTGGCGCAGGAATATAATGCAGGAAATTGCATTACAAAGACTAAATTTGTGGGGATCAATAATATAATCTGCAGTAGCTGCAATCCTCCAATAAATTTCTGTCCTTGCCCTTGCCTGATGTATATTCTGCAACATACAAAAAAACAACCGTCCGTTGTTTTTTTCATTTTGTTTTGTGTTTTTAACAATGAACCATCAAAACTGATGGCACCATATTTCCAAAGATGTTACTAAAAAACTGATCCAGTTGTCTTTACAAAAGGTGTTGGGTTGCTGATCCTCACCAGCCGTTTTTGCTGGAGCCTCTCTCTAAGGATTCGGTCCTCTGGGAGGACGTCACACAGCAGGAAGTAATCCTCCTGTTTCTCTGCAAGGTAAATTACTTGTTATAAGCACTTAAGTCATGTTCACAAACTTCCTTTTTTTTACACGGATTAGCATTCTCTGTCAATCAATCAAGTTTATTTGTATGGCACTTTTCAGCAACAAGGCAGTTCAAAGTGCATCACACTGTACAAACATTAAAACATGTTAAACAGATCATACAGTCAACAGTTGTGAAAAGTTTTCTGGAAGTTTGTGCCAAATTTGAATAAATTTCCAGAAGCTGAATGCCGCTTCTCCATGTTTGACACTAAATATTAATTGCATTGTCACAATGTCTCTCTTGAGGAGGTCATGAATTGTTGTGTTCCAATGGACTCACCAACTGGGCCAGTGGAATTAGTCTTTATAACACTGCAGAAATCTGTGACTGGCTGTTCAAGGAACCTGCCCTTCCAATAAACCAGGTACCTGACAAAGTAAACTCAGACAGCTAAGTGTGGTCACACATGCGTTTCTGTTACTCCACACAAAGGCAAAGAGCCCTACCTTGGGAGGTTGGCTATGAGCTTGATATCAGCAATGACCAGCTTGTGTTCCAGCAGCAGGTGTCTGAGCAGAGTGTCTTTCTGCAGCAGCGGGACAGACTCAGAGCAAAACAGACAGACCAACAGCTCTTCACTGGGATACTGCACCACACTAGGAGTGCTGGGACTTCCAGCTCCAAGCTCTGGAAAACTCAAAGGCTCCAATATGCTGTCACTGCCTGAAGAACAGACATTCAAATCAAATCAAATCAATTTTTATTTGTACAGCACATTTCAGCAGCAAGGCATTTCAAAGTGCCTTACATCATAACAAACACAAAGTCAGACTCAACAATCAAAACATCACATTAAGTCAAGTGCCATTCAAAACAAACATTACCACCAATCACCAGTTACCACCAATCACCAGTAAGAGAGGGCTTACTAACGTGCATAAAGAAGAATGTGTTCAGAATGACAAACAAACTGAACTCTTTAAATATAAAGCTCCTTTTGGTATTACAACAAACACAGCAGAGATCTAAGGAATGAATCTGACAGATGAAAATAAAATCTATGAACATAATAAGTGGGAGGAAGTTATTGTAAACTAGATCGTCTCTAAAGATCTATTAGTAAATAATCAGTAATATATTAGTTAATCAAACCTTTAAGGCTAGCCCTTCTCAGATCATAGTTCTGCTAAAAGAAAAAAAAGAGAATGCGAAAACAAACACTTCATACAAGTTGATTGACCCTGTGTGAATAATAATGGGAAGCTTTGTTCCAGGTAAAACATGTCTGCTGGTGTCAGTGCGTTGTATGAATATATTTTATCAAATCCAAGAGAGAGTTTGTGTGCGGGTATAAATTTGATCTGTGGGCTTGTCTTAAAACCGAGTTAAATGTGAATTTGTGCCAACAAAACTGAACTTAAGATCCTTTTTGATGCACAATAAAGCTGTGAGCTCGGAAAGATTCAAACCCCTTTTTTCACAGATGAGCTGCTTTCTGGCTACATTTTTAAATGTAGAGACAATAAATATCATGTCAAAAGGTTGAAATGTTGTATGCAGTGATGAGGAACTGAAGTGAATGTAGTTCACCACCAAACACTGAGCGTATTTAATACATATCAACTCTCTCAGTGAACGGCCACAGACAGGATTCAAACTTTTAACATACCATGGTCTGCTGTTCGCTCGCAGGCGGCCATGATGGGTTTTACGTAGTGATTCTTCTTTTGTGTTTTTCGGCGCTTGGCAAACCAACTTAACAGGCATTTACCGCCACCTACTGGATTGGAGTGTGACATCAATGATAATCAGAGGAAATTTATAAATACACGTCATACCTGCAACAAATCCCCCGTTTTGGCCATTTGAGATCTCGATATATAAAAGGCACTGTAAAATAAATCTATTATTATTATTATTATTATTATTATTATTATTATTATTATTATTATTATTATTATTATTATTATTATTGTTGTAGTATTATTATTGTTGTTGCTGCTGTTGTTACTAACATCCATCACTACTTATTTTTGCTGTTTTGAAACAAAATTCCAGAACAATTAACCCTATTTATGTTAGATGATTCTTTTGATGGATCCAATATAGTCTTTAATATTTATGCTATGTATTACTTGATCTTAAGTGTTTTCCTTTTTCATTTATTCATCAGTGAGCTCAGTAACAATATTAAACAAACTCAATAAAATGGTGATTGACTAATGTTTATTTGAGTTCAGCCAGAAAACTGACTCATTGGCAGAGCAACTGTTAATGTGGGCTGCAACTTGTGTTTATCTATCCGGTTTCTGTCCTCAGTGGGCCAATTTACCTGACAGTTATGTTTTGGACCCAGGAGTACCCGGAGAGAAACCAGACCTCACAAGCTATAAGAGCCATGTGATCGAAATAAGCAATTAATGATGTGGCAGGAGCACACGGCTTTGACGCTTGTGTGGTGGGTGTGACGATGGGGGCGTGACTGTCAGGAAGGTATGAACGGAGCCATACTGGCTCGCTGGGTTTTTGTATGATTGAGGAAACTGGTGCACCGGTGGTGATCATGTTGACCGTGTTATAATGTCGTTTTTATTGTTGGCACCATTGTATGATTTAGCCACCTGGTCAGCATGTGTCAGTCCTGTAAAGTCTGAAGTTGTGGCAGATAAAGGGGAATAAATCGATGATTGCAGTAAGTAAATTGAAGCGCGCGCCTGACAGCTCATGCGGCCCTCAGTGCGGCCCTCTTCGTCACCGTTATTTATTAGATTTGCCGAACATACAAACTCCATGCAGAAAGACCCCCGTTGCGGGAATCGAACCCAGGACCCATTTGCTGCAGGGCACCAGTGCTACCAACTGCGCCACCGTGCATTAAATAAAATATTGTTTTCACGAATTTCCGCTTTTCTAAGTTCAGCCATTTCCTTCAGAAAGAACATGGCAGGCTTTAGGACCCAGAGCACCGCATATACAGTTGGATTACAGAGGAAGTCACGTTGCTGCTTCTTGGGTAGGTGTAATTTAGCTTTACAAAGTTAGCTTCTGTTTAGTATTTTATATATACATTTTTAAAGAAAAGCCGTCATTTCCGATGGCTTTGGAGAGCGTTTTAATTGGAACGCATATGAACTGCTCGTCCTGGATGTTCTTCAGTGCTCCCTGCACTGGGACTGTGGTTTTTGTGTAGGAAAACTCCCTGCTAACAGTGGGGGCTACATGTTAGCATCAACAGCAGCAGGAAGTGAACAAGATGAGGCTGAAAGATGGGTCAGTGGTTGCTGCTGCTTAAGTTGTTGCTTTTGTGTTTGCCCTCAAATATCTCATTAGAAACATATGAAATATAAAACATCAGTTCTAATCAGTTATAAAAATAAATAAATAAATGAAAATGTGTTATACTTATCATATCATAATGTGTTAGACTTATCATATAGACCAAAAATGTTACAAGAAACTCATAAGGAACTGACATCAATTCTCTTCCCCTCTATTATGAGAAGAAAATATTTATTTAAACATTATGACATCTCTAAAGAAAATATGAACAAAATGGCTTTCTATTCCACTCCCACAAAAATGTAAGATATTAATTTCATAATTATGTGTGAAGTAATGACTTTATGCAAAAGAATTATACAATAAATATACATTTCTGTGCGACCGCTCAGAGCCTTTGAAGCCGTCATTCGCTCTAATAATACTTCTCTGATATAATATCTAATCTTCATCTGATATGAATTCAGTTTTTGGCATCAGAGTTGATTTTTTTCCTCTCTCTCTTCTTTCAAGTTACCACATGGCACAGCAGACATCAGCAGGACGGCGCTACATGCAAACCTTCATTAGTGGATTCTTTGTTGCTGTTCCCGTCACAGTGACTATCCTAGATAAAGTGGCGTATGTGGCTCGAGTGGAAGGAGCATCCATGCAGGTGAGACTGCATGACTCATCAAGGTGATGAATATCTATCTGTGGAAACACCTGACTGGCTTGAAAGTAACATTTTGATGTGATCAGCCATTTTTTTTTTCTGATTCTGAAGAAAATCCCACCAGTAACGACAAGTATCTGGTCCCTCACATGCTTCCTCCTGTCTGGCTGGGACAGTGGTTTTCATCAAAGGGTCTTTGGTACCATCAGGTTCCTGTCCTTGTGTCAAATATACCCAAAGCACAAGGGTTTACTAGTTTCAGTCTTTCTTTTTTAACTTTGGCTTTAAAGGCAGATTTATCAGTGTCATCACGACTTTACACAAGTGTGTCTTTACCTCTGCGGCAGAGGTTTCTCATTGAAACCCTAGTGTTCAGTCGAACCCAGGTTAAGAACCACTGGTCTAAAGTATTAAAATAAATTCTCATGCTTTGAGGACAAGTTGTTTGTCCTCATTGTGTGTATGTGTGCAGAGCTTGCTGTTTGGAAATGCTTGTACATGAATTCACTCCTTCTCCGCCATTCGCTGACAGTTCCTGATATATCGAATGTTGTTGTTACTGATAGTAATGAACCATTATCAATTGTAATGATTCATAATAATCAAGTGTTATTAATGTAACACCTGGTTTTGTTTTAGTTTAAAGCACAGTGTGGAACAGCGTTGTGGATGGTATGTTGGTATACTTCTATGGTCCAACGGTTGTTTGGAAGAAACTGCAGAAACACTTGATTTGGTAGAAAACTGCTCCAAATGCTCCAAATTTCTGTTTTGAAATTGTATTCTGTTAATATTTGTCAAAACAGGGCAGTGTTCCAGTAATCTGAACATTTTAAATTTGACTTGTTTGAAGCTGATAAAGTCAGCTAAAACAGACTGTTAGCTTCACGTTTTCACAACACTTGTGATTTATTTTCATTTCCAATAAAATGGCATCCTGGTAAAATGGTATCTTTCTTCTGCAGAGAAGGGAACTATTACCAATTGAAAACTAAAACTTCAAAGAATCTCTCTCAAAAAACTTTTAACGTTTAACATTACTGTGTTTCTAAACAGCCATTCCTTAACCCAGATGTGGGAGCCCAGTCTGATGTTGTCTTGCTGAATCGTTGGAGTGTAAGAAACTACCAAGTTCAAAGAGGGGACATTGTCTCTGTTGTGTGAGTAAATGACACAGTCATTATGAACATGCATTGAATTAAAGTTGTTAGTATTTCTTTTCTGTATCATTTTTTTTAAATACAACAAATACACACCACCCATATTAATGCTTTGCATTACTTTTGTTTTATAAACCTCATTTACTTTTCTCAGAAGTAATAATCAACTTCACACATTGCTTTTTTCACATTACCATCCTAATTAGGACAGCCAAGGTCTAGTATATTAAACAAGATAAATCAATTGTTTCAAAGTTTCCCTGCATTTAGCTGCATGTTAAATGATAAAAAAAAATCAAAAAGTACACAAATTTTAACTTAGTGTCACGATCCCTGACATTAAGACTCCACAACTGCAGAGTAAGAGACAGTAACAGTTTCTCTGCCTTTAACTTTGGCTGGACTCACTTTACCTTCATGCTCTGAGATACTTTATGAATCAACAAGCAGCTGAATATTAAAGCAAAATCAAACTCCTAAAAACCAGAGTTAGTGAGATATCACAGTCTTTCAGTCCCAAACCTTCAAACCTTCAAAAACTTAGAAACTTACCAGAACTCATCCAATCGTGGATGCAATTATGTTCTGATCTGTTGTGCCTGTTACTATGAACTATTATGTATTAATATGCTTAATTATTTAATTCAGTTCCCCTAGAAATCCCAAGCAGAAGATTATCAAGCGCGTCATTGGCCTGGAGGGAGACTTCATCAGGTAGGAACGTTTTCCCAGTTCTCCTGCAGTATCCTCAAACTGTTTTAACCAGAGGCATGCTAACTGTATATTACTTGGAAACAGTCATTAAAATCAAAATTATGCACCAATTAGAGGGAAATCCTGTTATTATTATTATTATTATTATTATTATTATTATTATTATTATGTTTTCTGCAGTAGCAACAAATACACATTATATTGTGGGTGTTGTCAGGTATTTCTTGGTTTGTAACTCTTTAAGAAAGTCAGAATTTTCTCTTATAAATTTATTCTTAAAGTTTATCAATTACAAAGTTTTGCATAATACAGATATTTTTGGATTTTCAACATTTTCTAGTTTTCTAGGTTGCTTGTTCTTGTTGGCAAAAAATACTTGATGTGTTTTAAAACTAACACCACCTGTCAGAAAAGATCAATCAATCTTTTCTAAAGAAATCAATCAATCAAATATCTGCCATGTTTATCCTTGTTTTTGTACCAAACCTATCTGCTGTCACTTTCTAAAGCTGTTTTTTTTTTTTTTTTTTTTTTGCATTATTGTATTCCATAACTTTTGTCTGATCATTTCTACAGGACTCTCAGCTACAAGAACCGATATGTTCGGGTCCCTGACGGTCATCTGTGGATAGAGGGGGATCATTGTGGACACAGTCTGGACAGCAACTGCTTTGGACCGGTATAAACAATAACAGTTATGACATGCATATGGTGGAAGCTGTAGGGAGAACTAACACTATCAGTAATAAATAAAAGTTACACTTCACAGGTAATATCTTCTCAATCTGCCCTTTCAAGACTGAAGAGGAAGAAAACTCACTCATTGTCAAAAGTTTATGAATTCAACTTGGTAAAAGAGAAAGTAGCTATTGACAAATAAACTTTGGTGCTCGGACCCTGGGAGAAGATCTGGCGCTGAGACCCACCTTCAGAGAGGATGAGCCATTATGGATTAGCCATCTCTCCCCCATAAATCTGAACTGAATCTCAAATCATGGACACTGAACTAAATGCATCTTCCTGACCGGGACCTGACTGCGTGTTGAAGAGTGATGGGCTGGACGCTGTGGAGCACGTCTGGTTCAGAGCCGCATCCCAAACTTTTGGTTGAAATGTCGCCTTTAATTCCAGACTGCAGGGCTGTTTCAGCAGAGCAGCTCGATAAATTTGACTGGCAGCCAATCAGAAAGATGAGGCTGGCAAATAACATTTCAGTAAATTATTTTAGATTATATTTTATGAGCTTTATATTTTAGAATAATGATTGTGAAACAGATTACATTTTATGATACAAAACATATTTTTAAAAACTGTGATAAAGTTGGGATTCATTCTTCCATTATTATTTTAACATATTTATTCTCATCATCCCCTACAATTTTCTGAGTTTTGGAGGAAAAAAAGACTAAACAAAGCAAAATGTTGTTCCCGAGTACGAATTCTAATCTTTGAATATTAAAACATTTATTTGATGTCCCTTCCTCCTTAGGTGTCCCTGGGGCTCCTGCATGGCAGGGCCTCCCACATCATCTGGCCACCAAGTCGATGGCAACGCATTAAACCATCTCTACCGCCAAATAGAGAACCACTGGCTGCTGAAGAAGATGATGAATAAAAAAAGATCAAATAGTTTTTGTACAAATTCTTTTAAGCAAATTTTGTACCAACATCTATTTCCTACGTATGTAATTGTTTGAATTTGAATAATCAAGTGCTTTGATTGGGTTTCTTGTACTTTGTTTTATCACTACAAAGTAAATCCAACTTCGAACTATTTTCTCTGAGGTTTTCAGCTTTCAAAGCTTCAAACCCCACTACAGTGATAATCCCGAATATTGTTCTTTGAAACTGAATTTTACACATTGATATTCAATAGAGCAGATGACGTCAACATGGGGGTCAGGAGTCACAACCCCTTGGTGGGTCTTAGATGTGCTCTGGCCCACCAGTACCTCTGATTGAGACATTTTCTGTAGATTTCTAAAAATGTTAAAGTTATTTTTTTATATTTTGCTGATATTCACACGGAAGAAATCCCGATGTCAAATTCACACAGCTGAGTGTGAATTTCCCACTGGGCTCCATCTGGCCTCCTTCCCATCCAGACAAATGAAGCCGGGATGATGAGTGTTTTGTTTTGCGGGTTTCTAGAACAACCTCACTGCTGCTATTTATTACTTGAACTGTTCTGTGCATTTATATATATCAATTGAACTTAGGGAAGGTCCAGTCTGAGTGTGTGAAGTCCATAATTAGAGCAAATTATTAAAGTGCAGTAAAAACAAACCAAATTTAGATAATAGGTTCTTTTCATTAGAAGTAGAAAATGACTGATCAGTTTGTGCCTCTATCTAAGCAGATGTTCTCTTTCCTTGACAACAAACATCAGAGATTCAAGAAAACTGCTTCCATTGTGAGATTCATGGCCTTGTTAAAAGAAATATATTACAATAACGATATGAAGCATCTCTTCTAGAGCTTCTTTAAACCGTCACTGAAAACCTGTCTGAGATGTCTTGGTAGAATTTCTTTGATAATGTTAACTAAGTGTTGTAATAGAGTACTTTAAGAAATAAAAGGACTAATAAAATGCGTGTTGTCCTGTAATAAATTCAAATTTGAGTACTTTCACAGTCTAGGCCAAAATATATCACCATTTGCAAATCTGGTAGAATGTTCTTTTGCTGATTTTAAATACCAAGGTACGAAGGTTCAATCATAAAACACTCAAATTAAAAAGAGATTTTTTTTCTCGGTCTATATAAATGCCAGTAGAGTAGAGGTACCTCCCTGCAATATAATTTCAAACTTCAAATGACATCAAGGCATTTGGGTCATATTTTAACAGATTTATGAAAATAAAGAAGAATGAGAAATTGTACTCATGGACTTTAGCAGGCTAATCAACAGAAAAATGAATTGGCAAAAAAAAGTCCTCCACTATTTTGCATCAAGGGAAAAGAAGTGAAGGAGCACAAATATGTTGATGTTCACTTTCAGGTGACTGGACTAGAAACACAGCTGTAAATTAATCTACAGCAAAGACAAAGCAGAATCTGTTTTCTAGGGAAGTGTTGGTCCTTCAATGTTTGTATAAAGACTACATCTTCTATAAGTCTGTTGTGGAGAATGAAAACTATTCTGTTGCGATAGCAGCATCAGATCAAGTCCTAATACATCCATAAAGACAAGCTTTTATTTTTAATGATGTCAGTTTTGGTCTTTCTCAAACGGGCAGTTGTACTTTGTATTTTATTTTGGAAATGCTCTAACGGAACCGGTAGCGGTTTTGTTTTTTTCAGGTCCGGAAGGAACCTTTCTCCGCTCGAGGAAGGTTCCTACACTTGAGCCATGGCTGAGCAGCCGCTTCTTATCGGCCTCTGTGACGGAGAGCTGGACCCCAGGAAATACCGCTCCACATTTCTGACAAACAAAGTCGGGGGTAAACCGGACTGGTCGTCGGCTGTCACCCGGCAGTCGCCCTGCTGTCGTCTTTGTAGCGCCCCGCTAGCCCATGTGGTGCAGGTGTACTGCCCCCTCCAGGACTCTCCCTACCACCGGAACCTCCACCTGTTCGCCTGCTGCCAGCCTGGCTGCAGCGGGATGTCCGCCAGCTGGACGGTCCTCCGCTCCCAGTGTGCGGAGGCTCCCACGCAGTCCTCCACGCCACAGGTAGTTGTTCCGTCGGCCACAGATTGGTGTGAGTTCGCTGATGACTGGGGAATGGAGAGGGAGGAAGATGATCCTGGATGCAGGGGAGGTGATGATCATCAGAAACAGTCTGGAGATCTACCAACAGAAGGTAGGTGTTTAAAAATCATCAGCCAGTTGCCATCCTGTGGGAGAGGTGGTGGGGAGTTAAGATGCTCCTGTATTTCTCCATCTCGGCTCAGAGGGACATTTGGCATCTGGAAACCTGTCAGGTGTTGCAGACTCTAACTTTCACTCTGGTGTTTTATCAGTGAGTCCAGCAGTCTGCCCCATGGATGTCAGCTCCGGTCTTCAGCAACTCAGTCTGGTAGAATTTGAAGACGTCCCTGTCTTCCGTCCATTCTTCATCAGTGTGGTGGAGGAGTCAGAACTGTGTGAGGAGGACGATCAGCTGGAGCATGCGCAGGAGCTTCTGAGGGAGTATGAGAGGAGGGAGGGCGCAGCAGTGTGGGAGGCGGAGGAGGGAGGTGATGGTGGAGGAGAGATGTATGAAAAGGCTGGAGCCAGACACGGAGATGCTGTTTTCTTTAGGTTCATGAAGGCAGTTTCGTTGTGTCCGCAGCAGATCCTGCGCTACTGTCGCCACAGTAATCCACTCTTCATCTGCAAGCCGCCCTCCAAAGTGAGTCAGGCGGTTCCAGCATGCGGCTCCTGTGGAGAACCCAGGACCTTTGAGCTGCAGCTGATGCCTGCTCTGGTCAGTCTGCTGCAGAGGACAGACAGCAGCCCAGAGGACGAACTGGAATTTGGGACTGTGTTGGTTTATACTTGCACTAGCAGCTGCTGGGCTGCAGGAACAAACTGCCCAGTGGAGGAGTTCTGCTTTGTTCAGCCAGACCCAGATCAGCAGCTCTTTAAATGATGGAGATTATCAATCTAATCATCGCTTTTTACATTAAAAATGGATGAAAGAAGTATAAATAAACATCCACCCATCCATTATTATGCACACTTATTGTCCCTAGTGGGGTCAGCAGGGGTGTTGGTGCCTATTGAGAGGTGGGGTCACCCTGGACCGGTCACCAGTCCATCACAGATACATAAACATGGGAGGATATTCATATTCTTCCATTGTAACCCCATTTACAGTTTTTCTGCAAATGTCCTGTAGTAATCAGATTGGTTATGTTGATGCCAAGTGAGCGCCTGACAGGTCTACTTAAATCTGTCATGTACGTGATGCATTCACATTGATATGCATTCTCCCCTTTATCAAATAAATAAATTAATATTTGTTGACAGTGTTGGCACAATTATTAGCTCAGTCTTATTACCTTATATCAAATTGTCTTTTTTAAACTTTGCATCATGTTGTGTTATTTCCTCATCATAAACATACATGGAGTGTTGCTTTCATTCTTTCATGCATGTTTGAGAACTCGCCGCCTTCCACACGCAGCTCCTCCTCAGAGCTGCAGTTTCCAAGTTGAGCATCACAGAGCATCCTTCGTCCCGCCACTCAGCTCCTTCAAACTAGCAGCAGCAATTAGAAAATATCTGGTGGAACATCTGTTGACCGTATGATATGAACTATGAACTATCCAGGCCTCCAACAAACATTTGTACATGTGTATTATTGGAATGACTATATGCTAAATATGGAGAGTTGCCTAAAAATGATTTTGTCAAGATACCCACTTGCACACAAATAAAGTGGACAGAATGCACAGGACAAAGGGAAACACGGCGACTAACAAAACAGAAAATGAGCAGGAAAACGCAAAAGAGTTCTTAGCTAAAGCCAAATAATTACTTTTTTTAAAAAATTATATGTCAAAATCATATTTTGGACCAGGGTTTGGGCTCCACAAAGCCTGTCAGTTTTAAAAAGGTCATACAGAGAAACACGGGAACACAAGTTCATCTAAATATTCTCAGATAAGTATTCTTTATTTTTACTTCAACCTCAATATATTTCAGTGTCTTAAAAAGTCACACCACAGGAATTCAGGTTGAACATCATTAACATAAAGCAAGAAAAAAACAAAACAAAGCCTTAAAACGTTGCCATGGCAAAGCATTTCTGGATCACATCCAGGGATAAAAAAAAAAACCTTTAAGCTTACTGGCCCTGTCAAAAATCAAGAAATGTTTTTTTTTTTTTTGTGAATGCAACATTAAGTTGGTAATGGCAAAGGTATAATATGACTTTGAAATCAGATTACGGTTATTTTTTTTCCCCACTTTACAATTTCTCCAATACAGTCACAAGTAAAATCTTTGGTTTGACTGTGAGGTACAAGCTGCTTTTTTTCTAAGATTCCTGAGAAACACAAGGAACAGAATTCCAAAGAAAACAAGCTACAGATTCTTCAAAGGTTGCTGACGGGTTTTCAGGCACTTAATGATCAGTTTGGAGAACTTCGTGCAAACGGGAAAATCCAATTGAGGAACTGTCTTCTGAAACTACTGAGGGTCTCCATGGAAGGGCCCAGACGGGGTCCTGGACCTGGGCTCCCAGTTGTACTGCTGGATCTGGTCATGCTGGTCAGACTGCACACAACTGCTCAATGTCCCAATGTCTCTGTCGATAATCTCGTTCACTGCAAAACGAAACAAACATTGTCAAAATTCCAGACAAATTTAGAAATTATTTCTGAGGGATGGTAGCTGGCTGGTCTATGAAGTTAAAACCAAAAAATATATACAGACACATGTTGTGAAACTTCATGTAGAAAAAGGTTTGAGCTGTTTATCAGTTGGAATGTATCTATTATATCTACATATCTATTTATGTTACAGTAGTTCTGGTACTGAAAGCTCCCAGCGTGTCTCAGTGAATACTTGAGCTGCGTCCCAAAACAGAGACATGCAGCTGCTGAGATTCGTAGTCCGACTGAATGGCAGCTGGGAGCCGGGCTTACAGACGGGTCAGGAGGACAGCTGGTGCCAACCAGCACCGCAGCAACAGAACCCATCAGCATCATGCACAGCAGCAAATAGCAGACAGCTAATTTTAGCTCAGATCACTCAGAAATAACCAGCAATACGCATGCTTCAGGGAGCAGGCAGGAATAGAGTAACAGAAATATGAAACGTGCTATTTTTGAAATCCAATCTGATATCGTAGATCATTCCTCATTAGCCTACTTGAAAGTAGCATTTGTTTTCTTCCAGCAAGTGGATTAAAGTTTGACAAAATAATCTGTTCATGAGGAGAAATATTTAAGAAAATGAGGTCATTCAGTTTCTTCTCCCTCATTTTTCTGATGCAAGGAAATCTGATCTCACTACGCAGTCTGAAGCTCCATCTCAGAGATCACTCAATCCAAATTACCACATGAAACTCAGTGTGTCTCAATGTCACCTCTTTAGTTGGAAAGTTTTCAGCAATAATAGGAAAGATAAAGTAAGTCTGAGCCTCTGGTTAATGGAGCTAAATATCTCAAAGTCAACATAAATCTGACAGTAAAAATGATTTACTGTTTGTAAAGAGAGGCTGCAGTTCAGAGGATTACAGGCAGGTTCTGATCCTCACCCAAGAAACCAAGGGTTTGTTTCTGGATCAAATCGAGCTCGTAACTCAACAAATTAAAAAAGGAAAAAAATATACCAAACCTCAAACTCTCTTAGACTTCAAAAAGTATTTCTTTTATTTGGTGGGATTTTTGCAGGTTAACTGAAGTGGAGATTGCATTTTAAGAACAAATAGTTTTGATGCACATATATTCTGGTTCCAACTCAGCCAGTTTGTGTTGATTCTAATTAGAACCAGATTGGTCTAGTTAAAGCGACTGTTTACAGACAGCAAGCTGTTCAGGAAATGCCACGAACTGTGGTTTGGGAAGCAACAAAGCTTCACCCCCTAACTGTAATTTATTTTGAAGAGAAATTGTTGTAAAAGGTCAAACTAGTGAAAACTGATCAGATAAACTTTTACATAACTTGATAATAAATATTCTAGTGGTTGCTAGTGCTTTAATTTGCTTCTTACCGTCATCCAGTGTGATTTCCTGGAAGCCCAGGGATCCTAGAATAGGCTGCTCCTCTGGCTCTTGCTTGACACTCAGCACTTCTCCTGGGTTGTGCAGCTGGAACTCTTTGTGAGCATCCAGAGACTTTTTCAAAGTACTTGTGGAACTTTCAGATCGTTTCCTTGGAGGACCACTAGCAGAGGCATGATGAGAGAGGTTCAGAGTTTGGATGGGGGGAGAAGGTGCCTGTGCATCAATTGTGCCTATCTGCACTGATGTCAAACCTTGATTTGGAAGTGGAGTCATGATCTGACATGGTGCAGAAGACACTTGAGGAACCAATAATGATGCTTCAAGGGAAAGTGTGAAAGCAGGAGGATGCTGTAGATGAGAGGAGCTTTGGGAAGGAAGACCATGCAGTGGGAGATTGCATGGATCATAAGCTACATCTGGCCTGAGCACGGCATCATGGGAAGGTGACAGGGTGGGCTCTGGACAGAAGATGTGCTCAGACCCCCACAGCTCCTGTTTAACTGCAGGAGCAGCTTGACGGGGACCTCTGGTTCCAGGCAGGTAAGTGAAGCTCTGCATTAGGCTTCTTCTTCTCTTTCCATTTGAAACATAGAACTGGACTTGGACAGGAGACGCTGTCCTCTTAACATAAGGGGGGATCTCCACCGTGATCCTCGACTAAAGCAAAGACAAATAAATATGAGGTCCAAATTCAGGAGTCTCAATCATGTTCTACTGTGTTGAAGTCACTGTTCAGGTGTAATCAAAATAGTTCACTAGTCAGTGAATGTAGCACACGCTGTGTGGTACATTCATTACGTATATACTACAAATTCCTTTAAACCTTTTTATGGCCTTTAAATATCAATAAATATTCCTACTAATGCAGCTATCCAAATAAACTGTTTTGTACTTACTTCATTACTTTTGTCAGACAAAACTCTGGCATCTACTTCCCATTGTGTTCTTCCATCTAAAAGTTCAATGCATTTACAATGCTGATTAATGTTAGTGAAAAGAGACGTGATGAAAACACACTTGTTGATGAACATAAGAGGATCTTACCAGGCCCCTTCTCAACGAAAACAACTCTGGATTGTGCAGACATGTTTGTTCCTGTGATCAGCAGCTCTTCTCCTCCGTCCACAAAGCAGCTGGTAGGACAGAAACTCTCCACCTGAGGAAGTTCCTGACCTGATCGCTGGGCTGGAAAACAGCTCAGTTTAAGATTTCAGACGTTCCTGTGATCATCAGTAGTAAAAATAACAGCTGTGTTTTCTCAAAAAGCAAACTGTCCTCTAGAACCACTACTGTTGAACATCTGTGGAAATATGTCATTTATAACATATTCTGGTGTTACTTATAATAAGGATTTCTTTACTTATTATGCAAAGTATAGCATAATAATATATATGTTTAATACCAAACCAAAATGTTCATGTGCATTTGAAAACCAATATTTATATGCATTTTATCAACAGATATTGCATTGACTGTGTACCGCACATTGGTCCTCTATAAATAAATTTGGTTTGGTAAACAACTTTTTCTCTTACTGTGTGAGATTAAATTACACATAACTTGTCTTGTTTTAGCTGACTGCAGCTCAGATAAAACAGTCATTAGCAATTATTTTTACTTGCTAAATGCAAAACAAATGAGTTTGCTAGATATTTTTGTTAAGATACATTTTCTGGGGGAAATATAAACGTATAAAATGCATTTATCTCTAGAACACAATTATTTTCTGCCCAACAAAGAAAGCATGATGGCAGGACACTCCAGACAAAACCATCCATCGTCTGAGCTTTCCTAAACTATTCACTACATGAAAATCTTGGCCAATGTAAACTTCTCGATTTGAAGAAAGCATAAAAAAATCTCTCTTGTTCATCTGGTGTTTGGTAAAAGTAAATAATGTTGGTCCTTATAAAACAGGAACGTTTGATTTGATTGAATAGTTGATTGGGTACACTGCTTATCTGAATATCAGGTTTCAACTGCACTTTAATCCACTCACAGCATTCCACAGGAATAGATGCTGTCTGCAGCCAGAGCATCTGTCCGTCCTGCTGAGGCACGGCGACTCGAAATACAACTCGGACTCTCGTGTTCTTCCGTCCAATATCCGTCTCGCCTTTCTTTAGCTCAATATCAGCGTTCCGCAGCTTCAGGATACCAGCACAGTCAATGCTATATACAAAACAGAAATATAGTATATTCTTTCTTAATCTAAAGCAATTTTCTAACTTCAATTCTTAGGCATTCTATACTGATATTTTGGTGTTGCATACAGAGGTTGTGACAGACTTTTTTGTTGTCCATCAGCCCCAGCCCCCTCCATTAACCAGAGGCTCAGAATGTGAGCAGTGCTTGATGCAAACTGCAACCCTCCCCCCACCACATCCTCTCAGTGAACAACTTACAGAAGGGCTGGCCAGTAGGGTGGGGTGGTTCGCCCAGGTCACCAAACAGACTGGGACCGCCTATGGCTGCATGTGCATTATGTAAATCATCTTTTATTAAACAACATCATGTATTTAACTAGTATATTTTGATATGGTGCACAGCTACCATCAATTTCTGATGGCACAACTCCAACAACTATTGCTAAAGAGAATATTTAACTTTAAAAAAATAATTTACTCAAGCTTACATACACTTTACTAAAATGTAACTGCAGGTCATAATCATCAAAGTCATGGTTTACAACAGATACAATAACAGCATGCATCAGTGCAAAGTTTTTCCTGAAACATTTTGGTAAGGAATCATTAATATCAAGTGCAAAAATATGTTTTAGGGTTTGAAGTTGACCTAAAAAGAGACCCCCCGCTGACCCCCCACTAAATCCCAGTATGGCGAGGTCGCCTCCAATACCTGGCAGACATGTTGCTTTCTGGAAGCAAAGGGATCTCCAGGACTTTGGTGCCACTCATTATTTTCTCTTGGCAGACGGTGTTGACTGTCTTTCCTGTGACTCGGTGGACCTGGTAGAAGGAGTGAGGACGAAGGTATCTGTCATCTGCAGTACCAATGAAAACCAGCAGGTGGACTGGTTGCTCGCTGTATCCAATCAACTACAAAGAGAAAGAAATCAGATAAATAACTGGGAAACAATCATTTTTGCACAGATGGCAGGGAAATAGAATGTATTATTAACGTTTTTAGGGATTTTGTTAAACGCCTACTTTTCAGAAATGTCTAGTTCTATCACAAAAGCTCAACATGCTACGAAACTGATTTGAACAGGCTATATGTTTCCAAATTTAGTTTGGAAGTATATCTTTAAAAAATGATAGATGTAGCATAAAAACATAGTTAAAGAAAGTTCCTATTTGGTCAGTGGGATGAAAATTCCATTTGTGGTACACCAAAAGTTTAATGGAAGTTGGATTAGTGAAAACTTTAAGCAGAGCTGTAATCATTGGTAACTAGGTCTAGTGTTCAAATGAAGGTGATGAAAAGAGGCACACACGTCCTCTTTCCATCACCTTGCAGTGTTTTCATCTAAGAAAATCGAAGCGAACAATATTCAATAGGTGTTTTATTTGTTTATTTAACAGGTATTTTCAGGAGAAAAAGAGAGATGGAACCTGCTATTTTGTTTAAGCAGGCAAACTTTTGGTCAAGTTGAAAAAGATGCAGTTAGCCACTTTTCTGTCACTCAACATTCTTTAAAGCCAAGATAAGAAATATGTTGGCTTTAAAATATTCTGTACTTTAAAACATATTTTAAAATATTCTTTAAATTATTGAAGAATATTATCTATAAATGCAGAGGAAGCCATGGAGTCAAAAATGTAAATGTACTGCTACATGTCCTGTTTTGGTACCAAAATACATTTTTAATGCAACTTCAAAAATAACTTTTCTCACAAAGAAATGGGTCTGTTTTGTAGGGAAATTAGATCAGCCACTTAGAATAAAGTATGTCCACTACTCAATCCCCTCATGTATATCGCATAATACATTTATTTTCTTTGCCAATTTGATGCTCAGATTGAACGTTTAGATGTATTCCTTCTCCAACACACCTGGATCAACTGAATGGCTCACCATTCTGAATGGCTCCACTGCAGAGTGGAGTTTCTGCTGGTGAGAGAAGACACCTTTTTGACTTGGTGTGTTGGAGCAGGGATGCACGTAAAGGTTGCAGGGCAGTAGCTCTCGAGGATTGGACTTAATCACACCTGAATGGGGCTGTCAAATCCTACTGAACAAAAAAGTGACAAGAAAATATATACTTTAACAACAGGATGTCCTCCAGCAGTTGCCTTGATGGATCCTCTGCTGCCTTCTGTCTCATAATGTGCTCTGTGAAAGGACCTCGGCTGGACCTCCAACTTCAACTCAATGAGAGCATACTGGTTGGGCAGAGGCCAGTCCAGTGGAGGGGGCGATAAGGCCCTGGAGAAAAGACACATAGAAGAATCTGATTGTTTGAAATATCTAACTTTCTCATAAAAAAAAGCCAAAATAATGGGACTGCTACAGCCTAATAAACCATTGTTCAAAGTTTCTCCAGAATCCTCTGCCTCACTGGAAAATGGACTTTCACACCAACGAGGTGCTAATAATGACTAGTAATGAGTAATTTGTTCTTTAAGTAGCACTCTTACCGATAAGCCAACAATAATTGGCTCAATTGGATCTTATTTCCCTCCAATGATGTCTTTTATTCACTATAAAAAAAAAACAATAATTCTAAAAGTAAATTGCTCTGCTCTCTGCTCTTAGCCTTTCTGGGAAAAGAAAAGAAGGAAGGAGAAATCAGATTTGCAAATCATTCTCTCTAACCTGAACAACGGGGCATTTCCAGGTTTAGGTTTATTCCAGCTGTAGTGGGAAGGCACTTGAAGGTAAAGCTCGGCAAGGTCGGGTTTTTCTTGGACCTCCTCGCTAAAAGAATCCTGGTAGGTGTCCAGACCAGGCTCTCCCTGACCGACCAAGAGGCCAAGGTGGCTACCAGTTGTCCTCCTGGTTTTGGAAGGAACGTCCAGCTCCTGGCATCCAGAAATGAGGAGTGAGCCAAGGGCAGAGGCGGGGCTTCCTACCCATGTGTCATCAGTCACACTACCCCTTGGAGAAGTGCCTGGAGTGGGGCTTGGTGAGTGATGAGGAGAGGGTGAGCGAGCATGGGGCTCTGCACCAGAGTGGCGTCTCTTTCCACAAGGGGATGTTGGTCTGGATGATGGCCTGTGAAAGGAAATTTATTATTTACCAAATTTTAAAGCTCTCACAGGATTTCTGTTTGAGAGAGGTATTTTTTAAATAGTTGAATACATTTTTTATCCAGGCATAAATAGTGATGCTGGTTCAAAATAAATGTGTGGATCATTGGTGTGATTCATGTTATAAAGCATGGGTCTTAATAAATTGTAAAGGAAAGTCAGAAGTTCAAAATGGAAGCAGTCAATCCATCAACAACATTAATAACTATCCAATCTAACCTGGCTTATGTGACATGAAAGAATCTCAAATCACACTCCTCAATAAAGAGAAAATTCAAAATAAATCCAGAAGGATATAAAAGACTCGTTGTCTCTTATTGCTGAGATTTTATCTCAGCTTTTAAGATCAGATTTAAGCCCAACGGTGCCCAAAGTTGGCCCCCAAGCGCCAGCATCCTGCATGTTTCAGTTCTTAGGCCCTCTACTGAGCCATCATTTGATCCAGGGGCATTAAACCAAGGAGAGAACTAAAACATGCAGGATGCCGGCCCTTGGGGCCAACTTTGGGCACCGCTGTTTAAGACCTGACATAATTTGTATTTGGAAGTTAATTCTGACAGATGAGGCACAACCTTTAAGTTGGGAGGAAATTATTTTTCAAATCTCACAATTAACTGTAGTAATTGCAGCTGCCTCAGTTCCTTGATATGTTTATTCTTGACTTGGGAGTTTAACGTGTAAGAATAAGCCCTTCCAAAATGAACAGATTCACTTCCGATGTGGGATGTAAACGTATACGGCATATTAGCGAGTGCAGTGGTTCTGAACCTGTTTCGAAGTACCGATCCCACTAGTTTCAGATGCACATTTCACTGAACCCTTCTTTAGTGATAACTAAAAAAGAATTTATTTTCCAAATTCAAGACATACGTATATGCTTTTGTTTACTGGTGCACAAAATGAGCCGTGCATGAACATCACCTTGCTCAAAGAACAAAACCAACACAGAGCATGAACTCACAACAAATTACAGTATTACTTTATTCTGGCTACGAAGAATATGGTCCACTGTATTGAAAGCTGACGGATGCTGGTAATTCCCTCCTCAGGCGGATCACCTGCCCTGCATGTTTTAGGTGATCCCCTTCTGCCATACACCTGGATTGAATCTGTGGGTGATTAACAGGTCATGCAATCGTTTGGATCAGCTGTTCTGAAATAAAGACACTTCTAAAACATGCAGAGCAAGTGGGGAGCTGAGGACTGGAATTGAGAAGCACTGACCTAATGTGACACTGGACATATAATGGTGCGTTCACACCAAATGCGTTTTGAGCATGAGGCGCGTCTGGTTTGCATTCAAAGTCTATGTGGAGGCGCATCGAGAGTCTAGTGCGGCGCAATTTGAACCATTTTTTTAGCATTTGACACGTCGAGCACATCCAACACTCCACATAGACTTTGAATGTGAACCAGACTTTCCTGACGCTCAAAACGTGTTTGATGTGAATGGACCAGTAGAATGTTCAGTTCCACTGGTAACAATGACATCAGCAGTGATGTCATCACTGTTTGATGCATCAAATGAATCTCTCTCCTGAGTGAAGCACACAGGCTGTTTTCACAGACCTGTTCCTGTTTCAGACTTTGAAGTTCTAAGTTATGAATCTTCTACAGGAGCATTGTTACAAGTATTTGAAGGCAGAATCAGCCCAGTACAGGTTCACATTCTCAGGTGAGACAAACTCACCTGGTATAAAGTTAATTTTTTGTTACTGGAATTACACCGAAGATAAATTAGTTTAATCAAAGGACATAATGAATATGTGAGCATGTACGGCCAAGCGGGGCGTGTCATCACGACTTTACACAAGTGTGTCTTACCTGAGGCAGAGGATCTGCTGAACCCTGAGACCGACTCATCGAAACCGTAGGGTTCAATCAACCCAGGTAAAGAACCACTGAACTAGTGTTAATATTTATACATATCAGATGTTCCAGTGTGTTGCGCAGTGTATCTGCTAACTTAGGAAAGTCAAATTTAATACTTTTTAAAACATCTTGTAAAAGCCACTTTGATCAAATTTAAGACAACCTTTTACTAGGGAGCCAATTATATTTCACATAGAATTGGTCAAATTTTTTGTGGAAAGCTTTTTTTTGAAAACTTGAATCAAATCATTCTTTGTATTTTAAAAAACTGTATTTTGTTAAATACTTTTTAGACAGTGCATCATGAAGAACACTTCTGGTAATAAATAAAAAACTATTTAATACAGTTGTTTGGAAAGAAAAACAACTCACAATGCATTAAATTTACCCTTACCCAAGAAGAACAGAGAGGGTAATTATGCATACTGCCTGAAAAAGTTGCTGAAAACGAGACACAAATGGATCTCCATATGGAGGTGAAGCTGACTGACCTGGAGGCGGTCCGGCGGCTCAACCAGTTCTCCTCTGTGACACTGGTGCGTGGGGAGTGACAAGGTGACTGTCGGGGTGATTGATAGGGTGACAACACTGTATTGAAAGCTGACGGATGCTGGTACTTCTGCTGCCAGAGCTCCACCCCAAAAGCTCCACCCCGGCAGCCAGGTGACCCCAGAACTAGGAGTGCAGGATCTTGTAACTCTCCCTCCACATCATCATAACCATGGGAGAATGATTCACAGGATGACAGGTCAGATATCCAGCTTCTAGAGGAGAGGCTGCTGCAGGGACTCGGGCTGAGCGCCGCTTCACGATAGCAGGCATCCAGAGGCAAGAAGAGCTGATCTCTGGTCCACAGTGGCTCAGGAAAACCTCCATCTGCACCACCCAATGGCAACAAATCCAGGTCATTGCCAGGCTCTATATGATTATGAGCAATGGAAGTGATTTCGATGCTTGGGCAATCAAACGCCCTGAAGTTCTGCTGGAGGTCACAATAGGGTCCGCGAGAAACACCGTCATCATGATCGTAGTCAACTGTGCCAGGTAAACATGGAAGGTGGCTCTGCAGCTCTGCACTACACAGCTGCTCAGTGAGAGCCTGAGTGGAGGAAGACGTCTTCACATCCAGAGCTAAAGCTGTGAAATAGGACAAATTACAATCAGATGTTCAAAAATAATGAATCTCAAAATGAAATCAAGTGTTGTAGAAAGTATTGCTACCTCAATTTTTTTTATATGTTTATTCTTGGATTGGATGTTTAATGTGTTAATCTCAAATAATTAAGTATAACCTCTTCAAAAACTAACATTCACTCCCACCGTGGGATGTACATCCAGGTTCTGATTAACCTTGACAAAGGTCAAGGATTTTTTACCATGACACATAATCAATACTGATTTTCTAGAATTATATTTTATTAATGGATCATTCAGGACCTTCATTGTTCCAACAGACTTTTCCTTCCCACTTAAGAAATATATACTCAAAGAATTTTCACATTTTCAATGAGTCTGTAAGAAAATCAGATGCAGTTGCTTAAAATTATCCACACTCCCAAAAGCCTAAGAACTCAATCTGATGATGAAAAAATGTAATGCATTGCTTTTTCTTGCAATTATTGATTTCAAGTTTGGGAACATCTTCATAGTTGGATGTTGTCTAATAAATATACCAGCTTTGTCTGAATGCTGTGGTGTTCTGGTAGGTATTTTTAAAACAGTCTCTCACACACACACACACACACACATGCACGCACGCACACACACACACACACACACACACACACCACAAAATGTATGCAAAATATGTGTATATGCAAAAAAAGGTGTTAAGGCACCAACTGTGATCTGCTTCACCAGCTCCACTGCCTCACGTATAACTGTCACTTTACAGGCTAAAATAAGCCCGGTATGGAGCAGCAGCCATCCTCCTGTTGGGTCGGTGTTCCTCGGTTCTGGTCCTCAGGGGCCCCTGCCCTGCATGTGGAGATGCTTCCCTTCTGTCACACTGATGACTTGAATCATAAAGTGATTAAAAGGCTTCTTCCATTTTTTAAAATCAGAAGTTCTGGAACAAAGACATATCTAAAATTTGCAGGGCAGAGGTCCCTGAGGTCCAGAATTGAGAACCACGAACCATGTTTTATATGTTATGTGAAACAGAAGGAGAAAAACAGCAGTGGGAGGTAACAGCCTAAACCAGGTGGGTGCCACAAAGCAGTTAGAAAACCAGGAAGTAAAACCAGCCAGCAGACACATGGTGGGTGTCACACTGGGACTGCAGAGAACCTGAAAAACAGGCAGGCGAGAGACAGACGGGCTCCTCCTGGCTTTATTGACTCATCTACTTTTTAGTTCATCCAGTCACCTGAATCGTTAGAAGAGTAGAATAAGAAATGCTCCTTTGTATAATAACGTCTTATAAAATTTTGAATTGTACTTTTGTCTGACAGACAGACAGATAGTAGTTAACAGTGTTGTGTTGCAGTGGAAAATGCCCAGGATGTGAACACTGAGACCTGTGGCTGCCTGTCATAGTCCAAATATATGTACATCAGGTTAACTTCAAATATTAAAAGAAAGCATTTTCAACATATCTTATCTTTGCTGGTTTATTTATTATTTCATTTACTGAATTTTGCTTTATTTACAAAAGATTTTTTCTAAAGTAACAAACTACTTGTGTGATGGCGTATAATGGTGTTCACTGAAACCTGGCTCACAGAGCATGATGACGATGAAGGCCTGTCAGTAAATGATGTCAACACATCATTAAGTACTATTTATGATATCATGCAGAGACTTCAATTTATTTCTTTTGACATGTCAAGGTTTGCATTTTGGGATTTTAAACATGTTTCCCTCAAAAAGGAGCTCTGCGGTTTTGCCCAGGATATATTGTGTCCCACCAGGTGGGGCAAGAGGCAGATAGGGTGCTGTGGTGGAGCTGGAGTAAAGCACAACATGTATGGATGACTTAGTCTTTCACACAGACGTCACAGGTTCGAGACCTGGCCTGATGGCCTTTGTTGCATTTCTTCTCCCTCTTTTATTACCTACTTTCCTGCCTTATCACACTCAAATAAAGGCTGCTTGAGCCAAACAAAATGTGTTTTTTTTAACAGAGGCACACAAAGTTTTCCTCCTACCTCCTCTGGGAGATGGTGATCAAAACTTCTTTCACCAGTTACAAAGTCGACCTTCTATCACCTGAAGGATGGTTCCTGGATTGAAGGACTACTGTCCCAGCAAGATCTAGAGAAACTCATCCATGTATTTATCTTCAGTCTAATTAAGAAAGTTAATCATAGTTTTTGCTCTGTGCAAAAAAAAAAAAAAAAGTTGCTGTCCTATCAAAAATGGCATTGAGTATTTTTCTTAGGGTCAGTATCAATTTTGAAATTTTTGTTTTGTATCAATGCCAGCAACACCATAGGTAGATCATCACCAGATCAACTTGACACATTACATTCCATTCACAACCAACTGTACAAGACTCAAATAATCAAAACTGTCAGGACAATTTGCTTGTAATGATGAAAGCAGATTCTCGGCATCCCTTTCACAATGGAGACTTTTACAACACACTTTTGTAATATAATCCAGTCATTCTGCAGAAATTCCTCAAGCATATTGCCACCAGTTTCAGTCTCATGTTAACAACAATTGTAGCCTGAGTGCATCATGTCAATCATAATTGGCGATGTCATGTAACCACATCGACCAGAGCTCTAGACCAACTTGTTGCACTTGGTGCACCTAAATTTTTGACCATATTGCATTTCACATCACAGTTTTACAACTTCTCTTTTATTTCTTAAACTCTATCCATTAAGGCAACATAGACTTTATAAATGTTTAATTAACAAGCAAGTAAACAAAGTTATTTCTTTGAAGCAGTTCAGCAAGCTGAAATTTAAACTTAAAAATCTCCAATGCAAAACAAATTAAAAGAAATTTTTTTTTTACTACATTCGAGTCCTTTTCCATATGAGTTCAGACTTGAACTTAGTGAAGGGAACTTTATCTTTTGCAAATATTGCCTGCCACTTAAATCTAGACCATCATCTTGGTCTTGTCTGATGATCTGTCTACTCACGCTTGTTTCTTTTTAGCAGAATTTTGGTAGTGCATTTCCCACAGTATGTAATGTGTTTTATAGATCCATTGTGTTTTCTTGACATTTCAATTAGAAATGTATTAGAATCAGTCACAAATTGCACAACAACCAAGGTATTTGTCCCAGAAAAATAAAAGTTTCTTTTGAATAGGAGGTGTGCACAGGACAGAAAGAGTGGATCTATTCCATCCATCCAGTGGCTCAGTGGCTATGCTAACTAGCCTGAGGATTCACAGCATAGCAGAGAGCAAGGGGAGGTTGTGAGCAGCACCTACACAAGCATGAGGGACAACACAAAAATGCTCCTCCTGACTTTAATTGTTGGTTTCTGACTGAGTTGAGTCTGTCTGTAGTTAGCACTGGGAGAACTGGCAGAATGCAGAGGTGCTCAATTTCTCTCACAGAATATCTGTCTCATATGTGTTTAAGGAATATGTAAAAAAAATAATTAATAAAAGTTGCGTACACCAGTTTTACTGTAGCAGTATTTTCGTGGCAAAAATATTTCAAATAAACACTTCGACAGTGATATCCAAGCCTTCTTTTTAGGTTCCGGGTTGTTTAAGTATTTTTGAGTTTGATTTATTCTACTTTGATTATTCTGTGTCCTTTTGCCTTTTGTTCAGATCAGCCCTGTTTCTGTTTTACTTTAGCTCAGTCCTTAATATTTCCACTTATGTTAATTACTTTTTTCAAATTATTCTCCATTACTATTATGTTTCTTTAGTTCAGTCACTCTTTAGTATTGGAATTACTTCCTCATTCCCAGTGTCCTCTCTGTCTCCTCAGTCTGCTTCCTGCTCTCCCCTCACACTTTCAACTCATTCACTCCTCAGCCTAGGTCTTTGCATGCTCATCAATATTTAAGCACCTCATCCTCAGTCACTCCTCGTCGAATTCTCTGCTCCACTCCTGTCACTTCCCTGCACTCTGCCGGTGTTCTCCTAGCATGTTTGTTTGTCTGGATTTATGGTTTTTATTCTTCATTTTTATTGTTAAAGCTTCACTTCATTCAACGTATTTTCTCAGGCAGGCCTGATGCAATTTGGTCCATCGCCTGACATCAGGACAGCTTTCAAAACGTTCTCAAATTGGTAAAGTTCAGAACATTGGTTTAGAACCCCCCATTTGGTTTTACTTTTATTTTGAAGGACTAAATTGTCGACTTCTGGTTTAACTCTCTCCATCTCTTGAACTTGACAAGAGTTTTCGCTAACTAACTACTCGATAAAATGACACGTACCTGTTGAGTGTTTACCGTGTTCCTCAAACAGCAGTCTGAAGTCCAGCTCTTCAGAAGACTTTGTTGTGGACATTGAGCCACGAGCCGATCAAACGTCTATGCATGTAGCCTATAAATAGCGCTGTCTTTAAAACGGACCTTTCTTGCTCCCTGTTTTATCCGATAGAAAGCAGAACTCCGTGTCGACTCCGCTAACAACACGGAAATTCTAACCGGAAAGTAGTTCACCGAGACAAGTAATGAGTAATTACACATCCGGACAACGCTGTAATTCAGTAAAATCTCATTGTTGAGCTAACTTGTTCACTGCGTTTCTGCTCGGCTGCAGCGAGTTTTACTCCGCTTCAGCTTGATCCTTGTGCTGCCTTCACGTGCCCTCGTAAACTTTGCGACTTTTGAAACGGATGCGACAAGGTGGGCAAGAGGACGTCTTCAAATAAATAACATTGTTCTCTCTAGAGCTGTGGATAAGTTCACTTTCATAATCCTTTTGATAAAGAATGCATACATTGGTTGACAACTTCAGCGGTGAAGTAATCAACCAGACTTGATAACTTTTACATTTTTTAGAATTTGCTTTTCTTTACAATGCATTTCCTTTGTGATCAAATTAAGAGCTGGCTGTAATTGTTTTTTGTGGAATATCAAATGTTTTACATGCACAAGATGCTACTATTTCATACTAAAACACTTCTGATAAAGGATTAAATAAGCATTAAGTTGAAAACACTAGATACATTAATCAGCTACATGCATACTTCCTCTTGTGGCCGCAAGACACTTGCTTCCTGTGAGAGATTAGCTACAAATTATCAGTCAGCATGTTTCATCATGTTTCTTATGCAACAAGAAGGCCGAAATTCAACCAGATAACAAACACTTGCACATACTTTGCTGAAAAGGTCAAAATACGCTTTGTATTATGTTGGGGGTTCCGCTGCAGTCATAAAGTTATGGTGGATTTTTTATTTATTTTTTTTTTACCAGAGGTTCTTTTTATCTTTGATGTTTATCGCATTTCCCAGTAATCATAAAGGCATCATCAGAAAGTCCCGTAATGACGTACTGAACGTTGTTGCCAGAAGATACGCCTTCATTGCAACTTCGGTCAGTTCACTTAATGAAATACACAAACTACAATTCAAGTTCATGGCAGCTGTATGATCAAATTAACTATGTAGGCGTTTGACTCCCTCACTTTTTTATCCCTCTTGTTATTGTTCTCTTTCGAAACTATATGTTAATCAGTTTGGGAATTGTTTTTTTTTTGCCTGTTTGATATGGTATTAGGTTAGATTAACAAAATAATACAATGAGTAAAAATATATTGACAGTAAAATCCATAACGGAGTAAGATTCTGACCAAAACATATCTTCACCGTTTCTGTTAAGGTGAATTTAAGTTCTTTAACTTCTTCCTAAAATTAGGATGCATTATGTGCTTAAGGATTCAATCATTCTTTTTTTTCTTTGTCATAAAAAATGGATATTATTTTTGTTTGTGGTACAAAATTCGGACTCAGGTCCCAGATTAAGAAATAGAATACACAAATAAAATAAATCATTTAGGTTATGTGTAGATATGTACTTTTAAATAATTTGAGATGAACCTAAATGAGGTGCAGCTCGAGTTCTGATGGCTGAAGGGATTGTTTTTACAGAGCACTTTGAACACTGGAAGAAAAACAGACAATCAAACATTGTTTTTCATGCCACGCTGTCACAACTTAGTGACAGTTTCAACAAATATGTAAAAAATATTTGTTTATAAGAGATGGATATTGTATCTAAGTAACATGTGCAGTTACACCTGAGCTTCTGGTGTCCTGGATGATTCTCAACCTCCTGCCTTATTAGAGCGACTGGGACAATCTGTGTGCAGGATGGGTGGAGTCATGATGTGGAGTGAAAAGGTCAGATTAATATTGATTAGGCACAACATCGGTAATGGGCTTGACCCTCTAATTCTCAGAATTTTCTCAGTAAAGGAGTTAGTCAAATTGTTTCTGGTCCTGGTGAATTGGAGTTAATCTGCCTTGGTCACAGTGGGGTTTGACTTCAGAAGAGGATTCCTAGCATTCTTCAGCTGTAAGTTATATATGTGAAGTGAAGTCTCTCTCTATAGACGTTGCAGTGAACCTGCGACGTCTATAGAGACGTTGAACTGCAGTCCAGTCCTACAGTTCAACTTTTGACTCTCCCATCTAACCAGTGGAGCTCTACAGGGACTTCTTCCAACCAAAGACGACCTTCATTTTAAAGGCAGCAATAATATTGATTATGTCTGAAATGTTACCAGCTAATTCCTGTTCCAAAGTGGCAAAGGGCAGAAAGAGGTGGAAGAATTAACTTGATCAAAGTGTTCAGCTGAGTCAGTCGCTGAGATAGCGTTTTGCTCCATCATAATTGTTTTTTTTTAAAATAAGGCTGTATCAATTAAAGAGACTGGAAAAATTTAGAACCTCAGTAACTTACTGATTATCAAATCAAGTGTGTGTCTGTGTTTTCGCTACAAAACTAAATTTTGAAGTGTTTCATATGGTTCTTTTGCTCATTTGAGACATTTTAACATCCATGTTGACAAACAGCTCTAATCAACACAGATGATAAGTGAAATTCCCAAAGAATACAAGGCTAGAAAAATAGTTCAAATAGGGTCTTTGCCTGAATAGCAAAACATTCAAAAGGGTCAAAGTTCCCCATTAGCATCTTTTTACAGTTTCAGTGAATTATAAAATAAGGTCACAACATTTCCTCTCCCCTTTCTTGTCAGGTCAAGAATCTAAATTTGTTTCCTTTGGGGGATATTCTTTCTGTCCCGTGAAAATCTGCTTCCACAATTACATTATCCAGTCAACAACATAAAGAATAGTATTCTAAAATTATACAAACAGAAACATCTGTTTGTATAATTAATCATCCTCCCACAGACTCTATCTTATTTTAAGCCATTTATCAAATCCCAAACATCAACATATGCAGATTTATAAAATCTTTGAGTTCTCTGAACTTACTTAGAAAATTGCCAATAGGAGGCGCTGACTCAATCACTAATTCCATTCATCCCCAAAATGTACAAGGAGAATAAATGTGTTTGAAGCTAAAATGTTACATCTACAGCTCTGCATTATCTCACATAATTTCTTTATAATGACATTATTTCAGGCAGAGAGTTTGAAAGTCTTTCATTATCCCTTTAGTTTTGTCCAGTCCTTACAAGTTGTTTTGATTAGTAAGACAGAAAAAAAACAGAAAACCAGCTTCCATAAGGCTAAATTAGCCAATTCCATCCAAATAAGAATGTAAATTAAAATATGTATAAATCACCTCGACAGGTTCACAATGACAACAAAACATTTTACAGCTAAAAGGAAACAATTTTAAACTGTGATTTTAAGCAGGAAGGCACAGGCATGAAGGTTTATATGATTTTTTGTAATTTAACTGAACTAATTGATCTGCTTTACCTATAAACACAAATATAACTTAAAACAAATGTTTAGTTTCTAATACATGAAATAAAAAAGCATCATTAAGGCCACCTGGCTTTGTCCCAGCTGATGGAATCAGTTGATCCCACTGGGAAAATAATCTTCTAGAAATATGGAAGACTTTAGCAAATCTTGACAGTATATTAGAACAGCAAAAGGCTGAACTGCAGTCCTCTGGTTCAGTCAAACATTGCAGAAATCTGTCAGTCTTCAGTTTTAACTGAGAGCTTCTTTTAAAGCGTCTGCTTGTTTTGGAGGTATGACTGGGTTTTGCTCATCGCCGTTCATCTCCACAGTGGGGTCTGGGGCTTCCGCTTCCTGCAGGATGTCAACATGCTGCTTTTTGCTCCTCCCTTCCTCACCGCTGCAGTTCGGCTTTCCCTCCCTCTTCCTCTTGCAGACCAAGCCAGAATCTTCTTCCCCGATGCGACCCTCTGGTACACCCAACACTCGCAGGCAGACAATAGCGGAAGCTTGCTCTGCAAACTTTTTTGACTTCTCCCTGTTATAAATAGAACACGGAAAAGTAAACTGAAGATAAGTCAACATATAGGAATGTATATATATATATATATATATATATTTTTTTTTTTTACATTGAAGGCATTAGTTTAACATATTAAATTATGACAACATAGTTTGTTGCAAAACTGGGTCAAATAATCAAAGAATGGATTAACAGAGGTGATTAAAAACGGAGCTCATCACTGTTGGTAAACATTAGTCAATCAATGCATTTGATCACCATCATTAAGTCTTTTTGTTTCTTCTTTTATTTTCTATTTTCTGGGCCTAGATGAACGAGTTGGCCCAAGTTTGCTCACTAGACCATTATAATCATTTTATTTGCCACAATAAAATACTACTACACTACAGTTTCTCCCCATCAGAATGATCAGATTAGTTAGCACAGCCACCGATGACAACATACAAATGGTTTTCCTGTAAAGCAGGACAATGAGCCCAAACGACAGTGGAGTTCATCAGGCAGAGAAAGTGGAAGGTCAGATCTATTCTAAACCTCCAGGTTTGACCCCACAGAGAACTATTTGACCTACTAGACAGGAGACTGTAGATGATCTAACTTTCCTAAATAAGTCTCTTTGGAAAGAGTTTGGGAAAACATCACAAAAGAAGATTCTCAAAGTTTGGGGAAGTCAGTATATCACAAGCTTCATGTAGCTATTGCAAGCAAACGCTCTGAAACTGCAGATGAATGGCCTGATATGAACCATTTATTATATATGTAAAAATGGTGTTGGCTTTATCTCATTATTTAAATGAGATCTTTGCATGTGCTACTGGCTGGCACCATGGAGAATGTCAGACAGAAGCATGGTCATATCTTCAGAACCAGATAAAGTCTGTAAATAACAACTAATATGTTTGGGGTAAATTGTTTACTGTGAAATCGAAATCATTGCAGCATACGACACAAACACAGACAATAGATTTCATCAAGCTGACATTCAAAGATACAAAACAAACTTGTTGGGCATCAGCAAAACAAGGAATATGGTAAATGTTTTGGGGGGAAACTAAACAAGCTTGTTCAGATTTTTCATTTTACTTTTTGTTTTTAATACTTCTGTTTAAACCAAAATTGAACATGTTTCATTTACCAGGCTGATGTACATCAGGTTACTGTCATGATCATGAAAACCTGCCTGAGGGAAGCCACAAACATGCACAAGCACACGCACGCACACACACACACCTACACACGCACACACACACCCACACACACAGGCAAAAACAACATGCATGTGTGTACTAACCAAAGGGATGATCTGTATTTTTTGTTGGCAACAGTTACAGTTGACTGAAATGCTCGATCCTGAGAGCGCTGCGCCTGAAAAGGAAGGACAACGTACTGCTTTGTTTGAAGCATTCTTAGAAGACACGTTTGATTGCCTGGCACTTCACACTGCCTCACTTTCTGTACAACACATTAAAAAGAGGAAGGAACAAGCACTTGAAAAACCTTCAGAAACATATTTGCTACATGCAACATTGCATATTGAATGTTCTTTTTCTTCTGAGGCCTGCATAAGCTAGTCTGTCTGCAGCCAGTTGCACACTGCTCATCAAGATGATGAAACTATGAGAGGAGCCATATTTTATCCTTTTGATCGCTCGTAAAAATCAATCATGATGAGCAGAATTTGGCTTTTCTTTTTTTTTAAGCCTTCAATGTCAAAAGGACAACATTATTTCTGTGATTTCTGCCAAAATAATGACAGTAATAGATATTTTCACAGATTATCTGTCTCATACTGTAACAACATAGTGACAGTTTCAAATATGTAAAAAACATTTTTTTAAATAAAAGTTGCATACTCCACTTTTAAAGTGAGCCATTCACACCAAAATAACAGATATTACAGGAGTCATTTCCTTAGCCCTGAAAATGTCCTTAGTTCAGAGTGAAACTGAGTTTATTTCCAGAAGCTGAACACAGACTGAACACAGACTGAACACAGACTGAACACAGACTGAACACAGACTGAACACAGACTGAACATGACGGTTTTACGTACCGTTTCATACTGCGGCTGTTCCAGCTTCTCTTTGCGGCTCCATTCCAGCAGAAACATCTTGGGTGTGATCTGCGGTGGATAGTCTCTCCTCCAAACACAGACAAGTCACATGATGTTTATCAAAAATTAGTTTTGACTGCCATTTACAATATTATGCAGACAGTTTGCACTTTTTCAGTTTGTTGCTTCTCAGTTTACAATTTGACTATTAACAGTTTTAGTCTCTAAACCAAAACGTTAAATGTAAGCGAATAATCTGATTAAAACATAAAAAAACACCATTTCAACTCCAATGCATTTGAACTACTTTGTATCCAGACTTTCACCATTATTCCAATAAACACTACAAAATGTCATGATAAACTTTTAAACCCATGTCTGTACAGCACTCACACATCAAAAAAAGGTACACCCGTCATGTTACATGTGATATTTGACAGATTTACCGTTCAAACTTAACAGCCATGGTGGTGACATCTCCATCCATTACGGGTTTGTTAGGCTGATTACTGCTCTTGGCCTGAAGGTCCTTCTGGATCTCCTGGTAAAATGTCTGCAGTCCATATGCCTCACTGCAGTACAGTCAAATCACATCTTTTCACTTTACACAACACTAACACGCCTTACTGATAATATTGCATTCTGTTCCTGGTTTATAGAAGAAAATGTTTTTAGAAAACACAACTCTTGTACCTTATCTCAGCATTGGTCTGTGCAGCCTGCACCTGCTTCCCCAGTGGAGACTCCACCTTGTCTCTCAGCATCTGGCACAGGCAGTACTTCGTGTTGAAAGCATGGTTGTCGTAACGGATTGCCTGGAACCACAAAACCCAAAAGCTTAAACCTGAGGCACATTAACAGTATTGATTGAAAAGTAGAACATGTCACTATAGTAGAACCGCATTGACACGCTGAACTCAGTTAGTAAAAGCACTGTGAAGTCAATGTGTTGATTTACTAAAAGAAGTTCATTCTGTATTTTCTGATGTTAAAAAAACGGGAGGTAAATCCACAACCCAGTGAAATAGCCTTCGGTTCAAAAGTGATTCATTTCACAAAATGAAATGTGTCCATTCAAAGAACTGTAGTCTGTGTGCTCTTCACTTTCACACTACCAGTTTACTGCTAGTTTCCCCCAGAGCTTCGAGAGGGAAATTGGGAGGCAGATCTACTAGTTGTCAGGTTCCTCTCCAGTGAAACCAGCTCCCTGTTACTGTCGCTGAAGCAGACAGCCTGGAGCCTGAAAGTTAACCACTTACCTGGCAGCATCCCATCCATGGGACAAAACTAGGTTGTCAGAATTCTCTGCCTTTTTGTCCTCTTTAAACTCTGCCAGTGTCCATTATGACGCTTTTATTGGACAGCCTAGATCCCGCCTTTTGTTTGACACCACATTCGACCAATTATGTTACGAAATAGCTTTTCTCGAGCCAATAATATCCAGAGAACAACTTGAGCTCATTTTGACATGCCTGTACTGTTTCTGGAATATTTCTGACTGGTCAACTCGGAGACTAAATCTAAAGCCACAGATGTGTAGCCTGTCAAAAGAATTTAAGACATTTTGGGCTTTGTTTTGGCATGAATCCACCAGCTGCAGGCGTAACCACACATAATGTGTGCATCTATGCTGCCTCAAAGTCAGGCTCTATGTTTGCTACATCTATCCCTGGTTTGTGTGATTATACTCTATTAAATATGTAACTATGGATAGAGAAATTATAGTAAAAAAAGTTACATCCCTGTTAAGAATATGTCTTAATTAAAAGTTCATTCAAGACAAAAAAAATAGAATCTCATTAAAGACTTTAATTCTGCAGCCTAAAATAACAATTCTTGTTTGTTCTAGTTGCGTCTCCAAAGATGTCTCCTTTCTTCCCTTTTTTCAGATACAAGAAACAAACTTACATATTTAATGTATTCCTCCATGACTTTTTCCACAGGAAGTGGCCCCTGCTTGCAGAACACAGACGGATTCCACATGGCAGCACGAGCCAACATGACAGACGACGCTCCTGTTGCTTTCCTGAACTTCTCGATATCACTGTTGGTCTTCACCAAATCTAGAGAACCTCCACTGCAGGACAAGTGATACAGTACATTTAATTAAGAAACTTTGCAAACTGCTTTGGATTAAAAACAGGCAAAACAAAATAAAAGGGAGTAGAAACAATAATTGTACTGATGGATTTCCGACAGAGAGCAGAATTCCTGATTCAATCCATAATGATCTTGAGGAAGCAAAGCTGCCCCAAACCGTTTACACAACCAGCACTGTGTTTGGCTGTTAGTTTATGAGATGTAAGAAAGCGCACAAAAAAGCAGGATATTTTTACCATGCCTTACAAAAGTCAGTTCTGCTTAACAATGTCTTTACAGACATTTTAGACAGAGAAAAAGTGGTCATGAAAGGTCCCAGTAGCTGCCTTTATACTGGTTGGTGTTTTAGTGAAACAAAAAGTCAGAGCAGTGGCTGATGACTGATACTCACTTTGCAATGACAGGGATTGAAACAGCTTGTGCAACAGCCTGAATGTAATCGCAGTGGACAGGATGTCTGGGACGCTCGTCCTTAAACCTGAAGAACAGCCAGAAAAATGACATGAGGATCAACTGCAACTAGCACTAAAGCTTCACACTCACTTAACCAAGTCATGTGTCCAGGCTAAAACGTCAGATAATTTATGCTGTACAAAACAAGATTCATTTCTTTGGCTTAAAAGCTTCGGCAGAGGAAAATAACTTCTTTTATTTTGACAAATATAATTATTTTTTAGGAAAGCTGGAGGTTCAACCTTGGAGGTTCAGCCACTTTCTGAACCTTAAATATCTCATTCACAAAGTTTCTAACAACACTATAAGAACAACTTCACTAAGAGACTAAAGTGTGATGGCATAGGGTCTGCAAAGTAGTTTACATTTGAATAAAACAATTCTATAAAATAGTAGTAAATAAAGTAAAAGCAATGGATCTCAAACTTTCACTTCTTTTTAAAGATGAAATGAAATGAAAGTAAGAGGCAGACTAGATCTGTGTGGATGAGCTTTTTGGTATTTCAGTCCATTTTTATTTCATGTAAAACCTCAAAATAGTAAACAGTCTATAAGCATGAGTTTCAGTTTGCATGTTTATGATCTATGGATTCTTTAGAAATAACACAAAACAAAACATGAAAGCTATGAACACAATGTATAAAAACAGTAAACAAATAATTCTACTCTGTCATGTCTGTGTTTATAATAAAGAAAAATTTTAAGTTTTTCACATCAATGTGAGGAGGTTGATGATGAAAATATTTGTGTCAAATATCTTCATGTAGCACTTCAGTTCTGTATGAACTGAAGTGCTACACAGTTCTATATGAACACTGTGCAGCACAGTGTTAAACCTGCACAAATACTGAAGGCCTAGGTATGGAATTAGTGCACCACACTACATTCCATGAAGTCACTTTAAAAAAGACATCAAAACAAAAGAGAGGATGCAACAGACTGGTGACCTGTCCAGGGTGATCCTGCCTCTCGCCCGGAACGTAGCTGAAGATAAGCACCAGCACCCATCCCACCCCCATTAGGGATGAGGGCGAACAGAAAATGGATGAATGGATGGAAAAGAGAGGATTCTCATCTATCACTGATTTGGAAACATTGATGTTTCTCGTGCAGCTACAGTAATAGTGAAGAAAGAAAGATGCCTCTTACCTGCCGTGAACAGCAACAGCAGCGACGCCGGTCTTCTCAATACGCTGCACCAGACTGACCGTCTCTTCCACCTGTTGACCACCAACATGAAACACTGAGCTGTTAGTCATTCTGCTTTCACATAGGCCCTGTTATCTTTTCACCATGTCACAAACTTATTTTAATATCTAATTTCTGCTTTGTTTCTTTTCTCATATCAGCTTTTTGATGGCATGTTTTACAATTCTGATCTGATAACAGATGCGCGATGTCTCACCGAAGGCAGAATCCGGATTTTACACGTAACTGGTACTGAGACTCCTGTCACAAGCTTTTTAAGGATCTTTAACAAAGAAGAAAAACACAGATTGGATCAAGAAAACTCTTGACACCATATCCACAAATTTCAAAGTGGTTCCTTGTCAATTCAAACATATTTTAGTGGATGTACTCACAGCTTCAATCTTGTCTGGATTTGATAGCAGAGCAGCACCCATTCCGCCCTGAAGAAAAAACACAGAGCGGAGGGTCAGAGGTCAAAGCAGAGGCAGCAAAATAATATCCATCACAAACACAGTTAGGTGATCACCCTGAAGGATATCTGCTCAAGCAGCCGTTTCTATGAAGCAGTACAATCACAAAAAGAATAAAAACAGAGCAAATCAACTTACCTTAGTGGAGTATTCCTTTGGACATCCCATGTTCACATCAATGGCAGCCACATCCTTCTCCCTGAACAACAGACACAGTCTGAGTACACTTCAGCAGTTTGTCACTTATATCATGATGCAGTAGGATGTAGTTCATCCTTTACCAGTAAAGAATGTACAGGGGGTTTGCATGTGGTAAATGGAAAAGGTGTGTGTGAAATACACTCCTTCAAACTAATGAAGTGTTCCTGTCTTCATAGAACCTACGAGGAAAGAAACATCTGCTGCTAATTAAATCTCTCATCAGTGAAACCAGCTCTATAAAAACTCATGTTTGTTTAACTGGAAGCTCTAACACTCCCAAATGTGTCTTAAAACAATGTTTTGGTGGAATAACATTAATGGAGTTGAAGTAGCAATATTTGCTGCCCAACAATCTGGGAGTGGTTATATGGCCATTTACAGACTATTTAAAGTTCATCATTACACTGTTGAAAAAGATTCACAAGAGGGGTAGTTTGTTTTTTAGCCACATACATATGATAATCCTTCAAGAATCAAGAGGTGGACGAGTACACATATTTCCCCTAAAGAAAGACAGACTCAAACAAATGACAAAAAAACACCATCTTATGGTGAATGTTACAGTTCATGACAACACAATCAGATATTCTAAGGTATTCTTGAGTCAAATGTGAGGCTATGCTGATCCCGAAACTTTAACAGAAGTGTGGCGAAGAAGTTCCTGCCCAATTATGCAAGGAACTCAAAGTCCAACTAATGTCACTAACACTAAAAATAAAGATTTCACTCAGTTGACCAAATGAGTGAAATCGTTTGAATTATACAAGTAGCTTGGTTATCGTTTTCTATCGAAACATGTAGAAATGTGAAGCTTGTAGATGTTGTTTCTGCCGTTGTGTGGCCTGAATGTATTGCTCAGAAGTAATGGAGAATTTTAAATGTCAAAAAGTATTAAATTAACCAACTGCCTTGTAGTCTGCTGTCTTTAACTGTTACAATAAGTTCCAGGAATAGTGAAGGTTATGGAAATAACAAACATATTTAAAGTTGAGCTCTGCGGGTGAAGTTCTGCACTAGAAAGGTTTCTCCATAAGGCTCTCCATGTTTAAGAATCATAAGTATTAATTTATTACTGTTAATATTAATATAATTATTATCCAACTGCTTTGTTGCAGAGCTTCTTCCACTCTCTATTGTATGTTCTGTAATACTCACACAAGCTGGGCCACTGTTAAAGCTCTGTCAGGGTCAGCGGTTCCCTAAAAGTGGTCAAACAGAGTTTCAGTCCTGCATCTTGATCTGCAGGAAATGGTAGCCGCTGAATAATACCAACTGGGTTGGTCTTACCATCTGGAAGACGACTCTGTCCTTTTCCCTCTCACAGGTCCGGAACATTACACGTTCATCTGGGGCCACAAAATCCACCGTTTCCAGCACATCTGGTAAAACGTACACACACACAGAATACAAGCAATTGTTGACATTTTTATCAGGAAACAAAAATCTTCAAGCATTTCCGAAAAAAATTCGGCTCAAGTTAAGCATCCAGAATAATTTCATTCACATGCAGACCAGTTATGAATATGTAAATGACTGGATCTTAACGTAAACAGGGAGAGGCAGCAGAATAAAAAAATGCAAATTGTACTTGTCATCATTTAGGCTTTGAATCAAAGTAAGTTGTTATTGTTTCAACTGACAGCAAGAAACATCTGCAGCTTGCTGGTGCTGTTCTTCCTAACAAATCAAATCTACCAACCTATCGCTGGTCTCCATGATAACACAACTACTATCCCATTGGAGATGGACAGGACATACAAGCTTAGGAAAGAAGACTAAACAACTTGAAACAGTTGTTTTGTTGCAGCTCAGCTGGAGGAAATAGTGGTGGACTTAGGTATGGACTGCACATCAACAGGTATTTGACCAGGGCCATATTACAAAAAGTCTGTAAACTGTGAAGAAGAAGTTCACTGCCGCTTTGTGGTATAAATTTTCCTTGCTTGCTGCTGAATCTGGGAGATTTTTACTGTTTGAATTTTTATTGGGAAAAATTTTAACAATTACTTCCATCGTAATTGGTTGGTGAGCAGAAGGAATTCGTGTAAGAACCATTACTTAGAGGAAACGTTATAAGATTGCAATTTAATCTTATGTTTAAATTTAATGTCAGTGCATCTCTTAATGCAGCATTACTTTGAATTTAGTTTACCTCCAGACTGTGATTGTCTTGTTTTCCCCCCACATATATTTGAATTAAAAAAGAGAAGTTGTCACAGGTTCATGAAGCTTTGGAAAAAGGTCTTACCGTTCACGATCCTCTGACATTGGGCCATTTTAATGTCTATCAGCTCCTGATAAAGACAAAACAACACGTTCCTTTTAATAGCATTTCTTAGTTTCATGTTCTGGGTCGTGCGGTAGCCAGCCTACCTCACAGTAAACCACATCAGCTCCGTAGTCCAGAGCCAGCAGCCTCATCGGCAGGGTCCCCACACGGACCATCGGGGCCAGGGCTGTGATGTTTCTGAAGCTGAGCCTGCGTGCTGCCATGCTAACTGCTCAGCGGATCTGCAAACCTCCCAACATCAGCGGCCCACGGTAAAATAACACTTATTGTTCAAAAGCTACAAAAAAAACATTAATCAAAACCAGGCCGAAATGTCTGGAGGAATTTGCTAATTTAGAAATAAACCTGGATTTCTCCCTTGAAGGGTCTGTGACATGTATGACATGCGTTCAACTGTTTACTGTCATTTTTCTGAGTAACATTTTGCGGAACATATCGAACAGAACGACTCCATACGCGCTTTCTCAACCATAAGCTAACCGTACAGATGTTAGCTCGCAGGGATTACCAGAACCCAGAAAATTCACCTACCGGCATTTCAGACCGCAGATCTACTGTGTGTTCATGTGGGAAACGTGCTGCCACACTTCCTGTTTAGGCTTCGACGTCATTATGTCAGCAATGACGTCAGCATATATATATTCAATCGAGCTGAAATTTCCAGATGATATAAAACCAATGAGTAAATTCCGGTGAATTTGTCATAATTACACTGTCACAATTTATTTATTTTTTTTTAAATGTAAAACTGTAAGACTGCATCATGTCAGTCTCCGCATATCAACGAAGAACAAAAACAAAGATGGCTGCCGCATCAAGCGCCTTTCTGAGCCTCATGTGAGAAAATAGGTTCAAAGTTTACATTACATTGCTTGTTCCAGCAGCTGAGGTGAATGAAACACAATAAAGGCAGTTGACATTCTTGAAAAATAAAATGGACAAATGTGACATTATATTCTATTTTCATGTTATATTTATAATCTATTACCAGAAATTATTCTTAAGAATTGCCAAAAGTCAATGTCAACGATGTTGGTCTTATATTTTCCATGAAAATAGCCGGAAAATGTCGTTTTCCTGGTATTGCAATGATTTTGCCGGGATAATGCTTGTTCTCTCTCTAAAAAAAAAAAAAAGAAGTTAGTTTTGGAAAGTTGTGTGTGTGTGCGATTGACCAGTTGTCTAGAATGATGGGGTTTTTTTTCACAGATTGTAAATCCATCGATCAATTAATTTTTATTCATAGAACACTTTTCGTACATTCACATGTAAAACAAAGTGCTTAGAGGTTACAAAATGACGGACAGACATAACACCTCTAAAAGTTTAGATCTGATTAAATTAAGTAAACAAAGAAAAAAAACCCACAAATAACTGCAATGCCAAAGTGGAGAATTAAAAGAGAAGGACAAATCAGTCAATAATGGGAGCAGTGCATGAAGGAATGAATGATCTGAAGCAATGTTGGAAAGATGTTGGAAAGAAAGGCAGGTTAAGACTTCCATAACAAAATGACAGCCTGATTGTCAGAAAAAGGCTGCAAAGTGGGTTGGGTGCACACTACTGTTACACTTTCCATGTTGATTGAATTTTATTTGTTGAATAAATAATGGCTATAAGGCCATCGTGCATCTTTAACGACCTGAAGCCTGGTTGAAAAAAAATGCTAAATCCTGGAAAACATTACATGGCTTTTATGACGTACATTTTTTTATACAAACATCTTCTAGAATTAAAATCACTACTAGTGTAGTGCCCAAAAAATTCTTAAACAAACAAGGAAGACTGCCATAATGAGTCATGTTTGCAGTTAACCTCAAGCTAAGGGACACAATGAACATGTGGAATGTGCCAAAATAAATTAGCTTTTTGGCCACATTGTGTTGCAGAAAACAAACCGCACATAAACCATGAACACAGAAATCCCAGAGGGACATATTAGATTGGAGGCATTACGCTGAAGAAGTCCTCCACTCTGCTCCTAACATTTAGTCACATCAGGAGCTCTCGTAAGACCTACGGTGCTTCATGAGTAACTTTTGTCTAACCCAGGTAAAATTTTACCAGACTTCCTTACAATTCCAAATTTTAAGAAGTTAAACTGCAGCAAGTCAACATCCCAAAGTAGTTTTTAAGTACGACTCAGAAGGGCTAAATGTAAATGTACTCTCCACATCTTAGATTTTATTTGTAAAAATATGAAAAACCAGTATGCTATTTAATACCATTTGCACAGTGTTTTAACCTGTGAGTAAGTTAATTGACATGTTAATTAAAACAAACAAACAAAAAAACTAAACTGTTGGGAAAAGCTATAGTTAATAACTGATCAACAGTTTAACTGACAACTACGTGACAAGATACATGTCTTTCAAATATTTCAGCTTCACTAAGTTGAAAAATTGAGTTGCAAAGTTACAATTGCAATTGACAAGTCTGGAAATTGCTCTAGGTTCTGAAATCATTTTTGAAAAACTGCCAAACATGTAACCAAAAAGACAAGCAAAAAGTTATCCATAACGTCTGACCAAAATCCAGCCTCATTCAAGCTCTCCCTGAGAGTAATTCTATTGGCATTTTTGAGAAAGTGAAACCTGTACATGTTTTCCTGCCTGGGTCAAGCGACAGCAGTTGGATGTCAAAGCTATGTTCACCCTAAAGTTAGTCTAAGCCAGTCTGGAGTGAGTTCAAAGTGAGATTGATCAAAAGTGCCACGTGACTGTATATTTACATTATGATTATTAAACTCTTGAGAACTATACAAAATGCTGCATTGTTCTGTAATATGAAATATTTCAGTCCAAGCCAAAGATGTGGCAACATGAACAGGAATGAATGTCCTCCAGCACCAAATGGACTACAAAGGGCTTTTAGTCCCAACTTGGCTTCTGCTCATTTGGATTGCGGTGTTGCTGCTGTGTCAGTGAGATATCTGTCAGGCTGTAGTAGATCTAAAGGGTTGCTTGACAAAACCAGAAGCTCACATTTCAATGCTATGAAAAAGCATTGTAATGTGAGTGTTACTTGCAACACAATTCTTACGTTTTGCTTACATATATAGATATATATATAGATATATTCCATTTACGGAGGCCTTGTTTGATGTTAACATTTGCCTGATGATCTGAAACATCAGGCAAATGTTTCAAAAACATTTGCCTGTGAGAGGGAAAGGGGATTTTACAGTATATGGCACTTTTTAAAAATACATTAACAAAGGGGTCAGGTAGCAGAGGAATGGAGGGGGAGACACAAAGTACACTTTTGTGGCATTTTAATTGATTTCTAAAAATAAATGGTGCCTAATTTTTTTTTTACTTTTTATTGGTTTTGATCTGTTCGAAAAGACTTTAGAGCCCAATGAAATTCTAAATGTAACTAAAAGGCATGATTACCTAATGTCAGTCAATCAGGGTTCTGTAGAAGAATGAAAGGGGAACAAAGGCCATTAGATTTTCACACGTTGATCCTCAAAAGAAAATACATGAAATTTAAAAATTCACATGTCAAACAGAATATTGAATATTAGATGAAAAACTGATTTATCAGGATCACAAATCAGACTGGAGACTTTCATTGTAGTAAAGAATGCCTCAACATGAACAACAGCAATTTAAAAACAGGAACCAGAACACAAATCTTCACATTCTCAGAAAGGAAACCTTTACGATCTGCCAGAAAAACTCTTCCTGCCTGATGACCGATCAGTCCATTCTGAAGGACTGGCGATCTCAATCGGGTCAATCTGGGGAAAGACCACGAAACACAACTTCTGGCCCACAGATGTAGCCCGTTCTGGAGAGAAATAGGGCGCAGAGTTTTGTATTAATTGCATTAATAAGAGCAATAATCAAAATGTCTCTGTTTTTACAAACTCACCAATAAAATTGTAGATACACTTTGGTTTTTCTTTCCAGTGCACACCCAGAAAATAGACAGGAACACCGGTAAGCATGATGACCAAACCAACACCACAAACGACTGGCTCTGAGTACAGGCTAAATCCCAGTAGCAATGCCCAGAACATAAGGTAGGACACAGGGACAAGCAGGTTTACCTGGGAGAGAATACCAAGGAAATTTGTTTAATGACTACGTCATTAAACAAGAACGACTCCATTACGTCAAAACAGCCTGATATATAACTGCATGTCATACAGTTAAATGCAAAATTATTTATACCTCTGGCAGATTTAAATTTACATTTCTTTTAAATAGACAATTTTCTCTGGAATTGGCACAGGCATCTCCCAAAGAATAAGAAAATGCAAGGATATCTTCTTGATAATTAACAGAAAAGTCTACAGCAACCAGCCCCTAGCCTAGCTACTGCCTACCTATGCAATTTCTCTCAATTTTTATGTCACTCCACTGCTCAGTCTGGGCTTTCGCCCATTGAAGGGAATTTCTCTGGTAGAATTTCAACCTGGTCAATCAGGCAACAGAAGGAGAATTGAGAACAATGACATTGATTTTCTGCAGCATTTTAGTTTCAGCGATGGCAAAAGTGAACAAAGTCATTCAGTCTGTGTTGAATTGACATTAGCAGCCGCCTCATTCAGCTCAGCTCTGCTCTCTTTGCAGTGGAGGATGATATTTACAACTCAGCCAATTTCCAGCATAGCATCAAAAATTCACAGGCAGACTTTAGCGAAGCGATTTATCCTGCATTAACTTGTTCAGTTTGTTAATTGTACCTTAATAGGTCGATATAAGTTAGGTTTCTTCCAACGGTACCACAGCAGACCTGCGATGGTGACACCGTATGACAGATAGTTGATAAAGGAGACGTAGTTGATCAGGTTGTGGGTTTCTCCGATGCACAGGATAACAATAGTGGCAGCACACTGTCAGAAAACACCCATGACATGATGATTTGATGAGGAGCAATTTACTTACTGACCTAAAGCACCTCACAACATGCTGTACTTTAACCCTTTTCAAAACAATACCCAAAACATGGTCTTATTTAAAACCTCATAAACTGGCTTATTTAACTTGACTGAACAAGAGGTTTGAACCTGCAGCAGTTGTGTAATGTTTACAAGGTCCACCTAAAAAAGTGGCCCGTGCATGTTAATAGATGCATTTAAGTCCAGCTGCTTTCAAACAAAACACATACTGCTCATTCAAATTGCAGATTTTAGGCACATGAAAGGAAACCCATGATGTGACTGTGTTACTATACATACGCAAACCAGGAGGGCTGGGATGGGCGTACATTTCTTGTAGTGAATCATAGCTAGCAGGCTGGGAAGATGCCCCTCTCTGGCTCCTGAGAAACACAACCTGCAAAGTCATACAAGCCATCAGCAGCTGGGCTTACGATGCATCAGAAGTTAGATGAGGCAGGAAATGTTGTCATTTGTACCTTGAAGAGGTGAACAGGTAGCCATTGATTCCCCCAAAGGTGGACAGAGCCACTGAGATGGGCATAATGATAGCAAAGGCTCCAAGCAGTTTCTCACCAAATGTCTGAGTAGAGAAACAACAGTCAGCGATTCCTGGAGAGCAGAAGCAATGACTGAGTGGGATCAAAAATTGTTGATTTTGTTCCTCCAGCCTCGAAATCACCTTTTTGTCTCTTACCTTTTGCCATTTTATGATGAGTTATGGAGGGAGGCATATTTATAAGCACAGACCTTAAATTCAATTTAACTTGATGAAGTTAAATTATTATTATTATTTTTTAATTCTGAAGGAATCTTTATGCTATTTGTCATCAAAATTAGCTGAGATGGAAAAATGTTTTATAGTTTGTATGAATACACAAATGGGTTTTTTTCAGTCCATAATATTACTCACAACAGCCACAGCATTGGAGGATAGCAGCTCCTCAGGTGTCATGGAAGAAAAGTAGGCGATGTTGGTGAGCGTATACACAAACGTCACCAGTGGAATGGAGATGTAGATGGCGCGAGGCAGATTCCTTACCAAGTGTACGTCATACAGAGCAGTAGAGAGAATGCAAAACAATGTATTAGTACAAATCTTTTTGATAAAAAGTCAGAAGGTAAATGAAGATAATTATTGTAGCTGAGAAATGCTATCAAATTATTATTATTTAAACGTGACATTTAAATTTGTTTATCAGTATTTAGGTTTAATCACTGCCACTATGACATTGCATCAGAAGAATAGAATAAATAAACCAAATATTTGCATTAATTAGGAAAATTAGCTGGGCAGTTATAAGATAAGCAGTGAACTGGAATCAACAACATTACATATCGTCCTACATTCTATTCATTATATTTAAGAGATTTATATAAAGGTCCATAAAAGGTCAAATATCTTCTAACAATTGGTGAAAGAAAGAAAGCCCAATAAAAGAACATTTTACACTGTTTTTAGAATGGCAAATATTCACCGTCTGGGGTCAACCACCTCTTCAGTAACGTAATTGAGAAAGTTCCACCCACTGAAGGCAAAGGAAGCCTGCAGGAATGCCAGAGCAATCTGTCCAACGGATGGTGTCCTGTCCATGGAAAAGGCCACCTTAGTAGTCAGTGCTTCATAGTTTCCTATGAAAAAAAACACCAACATTAATATATTTTGGGTTTTAAATCACATTGATGCAGTACAAGGGTATCCATTGTGAAAGATGTACCATTGAAGATCTGTACCAGACCCACAACAATGATTAGACACAGAGCCATAAGTTTTCCCACTGTGAAAACATCCTGGATTCTGGTGGCCATACGGACACTGGAGCAGTTCACCCAGGTCAGGAATACTGAAAGACAAAGTTATTAGGTATTTTGAGAGGTGAGAAAATTGGTCTTTTTTACAGGCAAAATAATTTATCATTTAACCTTCTTCTTTTACACGTTTGAGAGTTGAAAGACATGTAGTCTTTCCACTAAATAGGCTCCAATATTTTGTACTTGGTATTATATTTCCAAGTGACTGACATATTCAAACATTCAAGTCTAGTTACTGTGGGGCGACTGTTGGTAGAGTAGTGGTCTTGTGATGAGAAGGCTGTAGGTCTATTTCAGCTTCCTCCTGCCACATGTTGATGTGCCCCTGGGCAAGGCACTTAACGCCACGTGACCTAATGATCGGTGTATAAATGTGTGAGCATTTGTCAGTGCGAATGGGTGAATGTGACTCTAGTGTAAAGTGCTTTGAGAGGTCAAAATGATTAGGAACTTGCTCTATAAGTTCAATGCATTTACCATTGAGTGCCTTGTAAATTTATAGCAGGAAAAGTATATTTATTTTTAAATATCATGTTGGTGATGGAAGAAAGATAATTGTTATGCAGGTTAAAAAGAACATAATTGACTGGTGAGGAGGCAGTCTGAGGAATAAGTCAGTGAGAGCACAAAGCATTGTGCTGGAAGACAGAGTTTGCACAGCTTAGAGCTTACCAGTGTTAGGACAAACCTAAAACACAATTTTCTCAAATAATGTTCATCACTTGGATGACAAGATTAATTATTTACAGCTGCCAGTGCGCAAAAAGCAGGATTTCACATCAAGATCTTGAAACATGTTTCTGTGTCCGCTTTCTCTCAAGATTACCTGACATGGATGTTTAAAAGTGGTAACCACGAGCAGTTATTAAAAGTCTGCACAACAACTATTTGGAGTGTTTTGAATATCATCAGATCGAGGATGTGGTTCCATTGCACTGTTGCAATGGGCAGCAGGAGCTAAAGCCAGTTGCTACCCAGAGCAGGAATGTGGGAAACAGAAGAATGAGTTAAGGCATGACTGCTTCACCTCATCCATCACAGCCAGCAGCACAGCCCAGCTCCCGCTCATGGTGGCCTTTCTTTTCAGAGTGAAAATAGACCCATCAGCTCCATACAACCAAACTGCTTCCATTAAAGGAGGAAGTAACAAAACAAGAGTCCCCTTTGCCACACTTCAAGAGCATAAAGTTTACAACTCAGGAACAAGTTCTAAAAAAAAAGAGTAAATAGTATTTGTGACAAGGTTTGCTTGACTTTGTCATTTGATTTGACCTAAGAGCAGAGCTAGGAGCAGAAAATCCGTTCGCTCATTATTCTGACAAATAGGTCACACCGATTACCAGTGGCAGGTTCTTTAAAGCAAGTTCAAAAGCTTGCTTACAATCAATTTATATGCAGTGTATGTCTTTCTTTATGTCTGGGGTCTCAGATGTCAAAACAGACGTCCCAACTTGGGTGTTGTTAGAAAAGTTGAGTTTTCAGCTGGGACCTATAAACAGAGTGTTAGAGAATCCTTTGGAGTCAGCGGGAAATTAAATGCATTTGTTAAAGCCTATTCCACAGTATGAAGGAATCAAGAATTGAACCAGGTCAGCATGGAACTAAATTTGTTTGGCTCATTTGCATGTTGCATATAAGTTGCACATTTACAGAATGGAAATGCTTTTTCAAACTTTCTATTTTTTTGTTTAGAAACAACAGCAAAGAAAAAAAAATAGGATAAACAAGAACACATTGACATGATCATCATAACAGAAAGGGAATCACAAGTATGTGAATCAAGCCTACAAGGCTACAAAGACCTACATGAACAGATTTAAACAGGGTGCATGGGGTTACATATGAATCATGATTCATTTATTTCCTAAATAAATTCCCTCAAAAGTAAAGTTAATCTCCCTTTATAGAACAGATCTGACTGCAGACATGTCTTTCCAGTATAGGAGATAGCAGCAGGATAATCCCAGAAATTGTGGAAATGTCCTGCAGAGTCATTTCCACACAATATCCAACAATTCCCAACCGCTATTATTAGAGTAATGGAAAATCTAAGTTTCTCCAGGCATATTCTCGCCCTTTCGCCTATATCACCATGTTCAGGGAAATTTGTTTAACCCACATGCAAAATCGGACACAGACAATTTGGAATTTATTTTTTTCTGGTTCAGATAAAAGCTTCATAACTGCGTGGCTTCTCAGGATGGGTCCAGGATTTCGACAACGTCTAAAGGAGGAGATATGTTAGTACTATTTCAAAAATCAAGTCTCTCATAGGGAGTTCTGGTGGATATGAGTCTCGGAGGGGGGTGTGATCCAGATTGCAGTTGAGTTTAGTGGATCAGCAGGCAGGCCAGCAACCAATGACGAGCGAGACTGGAGATGTTCGACCAGGAGATAAGTAAATGATTGATCTTCAAAGCTTGGAGAAATATTTTAACTCAGCTGAAAGACCAGAATCCTAAAAACCAAGATCCTAGCAAAATGTCAATACTTCAATAATAATAATAATAATATATTTTATTTATAATGTCCTTTATATCTTTTGATCTTAAAGGGCAAAAACAAAAATCGCAATGGATGCGGATAATTAAGTAAACTAATTAATGAAGTAATGTTGGAAGTCTACTCCCAACTTGTCAGCAACAAAATACATCAAGTTTTTTTTTTTTTTTACCAGCATTACCAACATTACAGAACTAGTCAGTACATCTCAACATTTGACCAATCCCAAGTTTCCTCAGTACCAGTCTGAAACTCCCAACACCAGATTCACCAAAACATGAGAATGAGCTGAAAATCTTAAGGTAAAAAGACTCACAAAGACACGTTGCAGATAAAAGTCGTGTTGCCATGTATGGAGGAGCACAGTTTTGGAAGACAGGCTGCAGCACATAGCTGGAGAAAGTAAGGGCAATAACAGCAAGGGTTGTTGGGTACATGATGAGGACTGCGCTCCACAACAATAGAAACCTGAAAGAGACAGGAAACCCTGGTGACATGGGACAAAATTAAAAACTCACCAAAAGAAAAGGAAAACTTTAATGGATTTTCTACACAAAAACACATTTTCTGTATTAGCTTCTAGATCATCGAAAAGCAAACAAAATGCTTGGATCAACATTGTACCCAGTTTATCAGATTAAAGCACTGAATTTCCACAACAGATGTTTTTTTGTTTTAGGTCCACACATTAAAATGAGAAATTGCAAAGGTTGTCCCTAAATGCTCGATCCAATCGGACATTACTAAAAAACATTTTTGGTGCTACAGTCTTACATCATCTCATAGGTTTTTATACCAGTTAAGATGAATCAACAATGAGGTAAGACAAAAAGGTCTCTGTACTGTTTTTGTGGAATTGTTTGAAGTTCAAGCCAAATGTCAAAGTTGTCACCTGTAAGGATTTGAGTTTTCTGTGTGTTTATTTAGGATTCTGTGTCAGTTGAATCTCGGTGTTGTCCTATCTGCGCTTGATTGATCCCAGTTGTGTTGAGTTTCCTTGATTACCCCCTGTGTATTTATACCCACCTGGGTCTCTTGTTCTCTGCCAGGTCCTTGTCTAGACTGTCTTTTGTCGTGGCTACTGTCTGCTGACATTTGTCTTGTGTCAGTTGTTTAAGTAATTTACCAGTTGCTTCCAACTGGTAAATTAACTGGTAAATTAGAGCTTTTGCCACTGCTCTTCTGTGCTGCATGGATTTGTTCCTTCATTAAATCGTCAGACTAAGCTGCTGCCTCACCTCTCTGCTTCTGGGTCTGCAAATTATGACATCACCTAATTCTTTAGAAAGTGCAAAGTACATTTCTCTTAAAACCTAAATTTTGAAAGAAGTATGTAAAGGAAACTTTTATGATGAATTAACTTTCTTGACTGAAGTGTGAAGTGAAGGAAAGCTTTTACTCACCCTGTCAGGCCACCAAATATCTCTGTCACATAGGAGTAGTCTCCACCAGATTTGGGAATGGTGACACCCAACTCAGCGTAGCACATTGAGCCTAGAGCAGCGACACAGCCTCCTAGTGCCCACACCACCAGAGCCAAACCCACTGAACCAGAGTGCTCTAGGACCCCCTTTGGAGAAATAAAAATCCCAGAGCCAATGATGTTTCCTGGGGAGAAGAAAAAAGTCAATGTAGCAGACCCAAAGGGTTTGTTTCCCAGACCATCCTGTGCAATCTTGGATCTCTTTATCAAGTTCAACATCACATGTTATAGTATTGATGGAAATAGCTGTCTTTGAAAACATTTTTTCTATTATGTTTAAAACAGAAATATGATAGGATTTAAACTGTGAGACACCATATTTATAGTCAGTATCTCCAGATTACAGATGTGTAGCCTGACCTCAAAAAGCCCCAAATTTTTCAAATTGTTGATTGTTACCTAGTTGGGCTCAGGCTTCTGTGTCATGTTTAATAAGCTTGCAATACATAGGAGCACAAAGAAAACCACATGAGAATGTGAGATATAAAATGACCTATAGTCTATAGGAGGATGTCATTTACCCTGTTGAGGAAAGAAAGAAAATAAGGTGCAGAAGTTCATTAGACTGTAACAAGATCAATGCACAACACAGTAAATGGACATGCAGCTCTGTTTCTATCAATTATACATCCTAGATCATTTGCACTTGACCCTGTGGTGGTTACAACAAGCAACAAAATGGAGCTGCAAGATGTTAGAAAAAACAGATGTTTAATCAAATTAAACATGAAAGTGCTAAAATCATAACATGTCAAGTTTACTTGTGTCTCTAAGCTTTCTTAGATTATCACTGTGTGACTTAATCACACAAAGATGGACAAAAGTCCAAAGACAGGAAGAGTGAGTTGGACAAACGAGAAAAGAACCTGCATGACCAAAGAAGCCTGAGCCACTGGAGCATGGACCTCTTAGCTAAATGCAGTTCTCTTCAAACAGACTGAGACACAATGACATGACGATGTTTGATATTCTGATGGAATAAAGAAAATTGATTGATATTGGGGACCAGCTCCAAGGCTCACAGAGAATAAAATAAATACATTCAAATAAATTACTTTTGAATTTGAAACTTCAAGAAACACCTTGGGTAAAACTAATAAAATCTAAGCGTTATTGTAGGCAACAATTAAGTTTCAATTTTAATGTCTAAATTAAAGTTAAATTCTCCCTGTGGTGACTTCAGCAGTATTTCTTACTAAATCAGCTGAAAAATCTGAGAATTCAGAGAATTTTATTCGAGCAAACTAGGAATAAAAGCAAAATAAGATGATATTAAAAGAGTTGTATTCAAAAATTTGTCCAGGACAAATCAATAAACCTGATTTGTCCAGGGCAAATCACTGTCTCTTCAGACAGTATTCATGGAATTGGTCCATTTTTAAAAGGAGGAATGAGTTAACTGGCTTTCACTAACATAATCTTACTTATCCAGCCAGATTTCCATAGGTCAGCATAAAGCTAGTTATCCCATCTTTAACTGTTGAAATAGTTTATGTTAAACTGCGACAGACTGGTGACCTGTCCAGGATAGGTCAAATTTATCCATACTACACTTGACCAAACTGCTTCACAATTTACATCAATCATTATCATTTGAAGGATTTGTCCTTAACTGTGGGAATTTTCTAAGCAACATTCACACTAGGAGTTAGGAAGGAATGTAAAGGCTATTAATCAGGACTCTCTTCAATAAATTCTCAGTATGCACAGAAGAGTGCCGGTAGGTCATACAAATTCAGGCTCCAGCACTACCAGTAGCGCAGCAGAAGGCAGCCAAGTGGCACACATGGCTCTTACATAAGCAGACATAAAACACACACTCTGGTCTGGAGAGGTGGGAAGTGACTGCCTCATGTCATCAAAATAGTATTCTAACATTGTTAACTTCATGCCAACAGTGCTTTTCATGACACTATGATGAACACATTCAGAATTATTCATGAAAATGTGAATTAAACAAACAACACTTTATAAATTAGAGCTGCACAGTATATTATTTGAGCATCATCATGACAATGTACCTGCACAATAGTTACATTGCAGCTGTAATACATGAGAAAATTAAACTCACCATGTTCTTATATACTTTTAAGGATACCTGACACACACTGTGTGCAGCAATCTGCCAGTTAAATCAATCGGTTTGTCGAAGCAGACCTACACATGGAGTGAGTCGCTGGTTATAATATTGAAAAATGAGCAACGACCAAAAGACAAAGAGTTGGTGCCAAAAACAAACACAATGCCATGATTTTGGAATGAATTTGGCTACAAGATGGATGATATTGACCAAAACGCGTGTTCTGTGTTGAGAGTGCCTTCCACCAATTTACGAGAGGTAACAATACTAATTTATATGAACATTTAAATCTTCACCATACACTTTAGTTCAACAAAAATAAAGACAAATCTGAATGTTGTCCAAAGCAATAATTACAGATTTATTTTTAGGAAGATATATATCTATTATCTCTATTAGGAGATAATAAGTTTATCTCCACATAATTTGTTTTATTCCAAGCTGGAATAAAGTAAAGGTAATTATGAATTAATAATACATATAAGTAGTTTAAGCAATCTTCATAATAATAGAAATAAAAATAATATTAATACTTTTCAGAACATAAATTTGCATCATAAGAACATTATTACAATAGTTACTATTTTGGGGGATCTCCACCACTAATGTCAATGCAGTAGAATTACAGTGAATAAAGACTTGATAAACAACAATATACAGGTGAAAAGGCCTGTTGTAGCAGAGGTCAGCGCCTGGTCAGCGCCTGGTCAGCGCTGCCTTCTGACCTTTCCTGTTTCCTTGTCCTCAGTGGCAGAGGCTCCTTGTAAAAATTCTACCTCTGAGGATCTGGCTGCTGCTGGGACCTGGAGATCACGCAGCGCCTTTTCAGATTGGATTAAACAGGAAAAACAATCATCAGATGATAGAATGGGTGAAGTTTGTATTTTGTTTTTCCATTTTATAATCCTTTCTCTTTTTCTGTCAGATATCAAGTTTATGTTTCTATATCAGGACTTTGTATTGATTTCCGTTCATATTCGCCACTTACTCTTGTCCTAGCAATGACTAGTTTATCACTAATCCTAACTTTAACCAAACTGCTAACAAACTAACTATTACTGCAAAAAAACAAAACAAAATACGTGAATCGATTTTTATTTGCTTCTTATCTTTCTCCTGACTGAGCCTCACTGCAGTCCATCTAACCTCTGACTCAAACTCCTCCACCCTGTCCTCCCGTCTCTCTTCCCACACCACCATGAAAGTGATGGAGAAGATCCAGAGAATCATGAAGATGTCTGCTGATCTTTGACACCAGAGAACTGATGAAATATTTCCATTCACTGTCTGGTCTCCTGTTAATGACCTCGGTTGACCTGCTGTCTAATATCAGCATGGAGAAGGAAAAGATAAACCTGCTTCAGAGCTGTGAGAGAAGAAGGCACCACATTGAACTGCTTGATGCTCGTTTTATCTGAGGGCAACAGGGACGCTGGATGAGGGTCGGTCTGGAAAACTCAAAGAACCAACACCAGCGCCAGCTGGACTGATGGAGGGGCCAGAGGAGAGGAAGTGGGGAGGATTAAGCTGCAGCGACACCAGCAGCAAAACGAAGTGAAAAGAGACATTAAGATAAGTTACACACACAAACACACAACTGTCACACACACACTACCACTACAGACTAGAATGACTTATATCGACATTTTTATGCTCAGTATCAGAGAAACTGTTTCAGTTGTTCCTGTTAACTCTGGGTCCTGAACAGAAGGACCACTGCCATAGATTGAGAAACTGTGAAGGAAACTCCAATTGACATTATGCCACTGAAATACAGCAAGTGGAAAAGTCTAAGCCTAAGATGGTTTTAAAATTTAAGATGGGTTACTTTCAAACACAACGTTGTCTATTTCAAATATATTCCCCAATTCAAAACTTTACTGAGGCAGTGGTTGTAATTTCAGACTCCAGTTCTGGCAGCAGAGTTCAGATTCAACCTCCACAGCATCAGAACCACCATGAGAGTCATCAGTCTGAAGCAAATGTTGCTTCAGACAATAAGGTTCAGGATTACATGCTGCCTCTCCTCTCAGATCTACCTCTAAACTGCTTTTTTAGGCCTGAAAATAGATCTACTCTATTATTTTATTACTTGCAATAATAGAACTTCAAAAACAAGATCTTCCAAATTTGGGAGTCCTTCATTTTTTATGGAAAAGGGAGGGGCAGATTTCACATGATGGGGAATGCAGACAGTAGCACTTGATAATGTTTAACATCAGAGAAAAATGAACTGAAATCAAAATTATGCAGTGAATGTCAGGGCTAGAGTTTGATGTTTTGGTTTTGCTGTATTTTCATAATGGGAAAAATCAAAGTCTGGGTAAATAAAATACATTAAAAGGTCAATTTAAAAAAAAATAACAATGAGAAATAGATTTAAAAATAATGTTTCTTCACTTCACTGTCATGGCCAAAACTGTTTAGTCAACCCTCATCAAATTTTAACTGGAGCAAAAACAAGCGAGGTGCGATAAAGTGTTCTGGTAAAGAGTCAGTGTCAGACTGGATTCATCTGTTGAATGAGTTAAAACCTGAGCTCTGACACACAGGCCTCATGTTGAACCGTCAGCCCTTCAGGCCTGCTGAAAAGCTTTAGTACCAAACAGAAGCCTGAGGGAAACTGTTGCAGTAATAAAGTAAGAAGAGGAGCTGAGCACGCAGCTTGTTTTCCTGCCTCACCTATGATGATTGTGCAGGCGCTCAGCAGCCCGATCTCCTTCTTCAGAGTCACCCTCTCCGGGATTTCCTTTTTCTTTTTCTTCTTCTTGGAGTCCGTGGCGGGTCTCTGCGTCCAGGAGCAGATGTTGTTGCAGTTCTGTCCTTCCATGTCTGGCCCGGTCTGAGTTCGCCTCAGTCCCAGTGCTCCCAGTGCTCCCAGAGCTCCGGAGCTTTCCTCACTTCTCATTCAAGCACGTTGAAAGAGCCGCGCTTGCGCAACGACAGGCCGTTCTCCAGGGTAGAATGTTAAATACCCAGAACCCACCGTGATACGTTCAGGAACCCCAGGGGGACCCGTCCCAAACCCGAGGCACCACCCGCCGCATCCAGACGGTTTTCAGGGACAGTGATGGTCCTGGACCGGAACCGTTATGTTCACTTGGGATCTGTGAAGGAACCTCAAAAAGGCTGGAGAACTTTTAACCAAGAGCACTTAGAAAACTCTGACAAAGATTCTGGTTGCTGATGCGACACACCACTTTCATCACATCCCACCCAAATACAGCAAACACAGTAAACACAGCAAACACAGTAAACACAGCAAACACAGTAAACACAGCAAACACAGTAAACACAGCAAACACAGTAAACACAGCAAACACAGTAAACACAGCAAACACAGTAAGCTCAGTAAACACAGCAAATACAGTAAACACAGCAAACACAGTAAACACAGCAAACACAGTAAACACAGTAAACACTGTAAACTTAGCAAACACCTGGCTAAAATGTGCAATGAGAGGCAACATTTTAGATTTTCTCCAGCTCTAAAAGTTCTTCTCATGAATGAACGACAGTTTTTAGCTAGAAAATTGGAAACTGAATGTCCATTTCTGTGCCATGTGCCTTTTTAATGGTTAATCCGAGTTGCTTTTTTTTTTATTTCTTCATTTGCATTTTATGTCCGACATGAGAGAATCAAAATAGAAATAATCAGTCGAAACTATGATAAATAGACTGGATAACGTTTGGCAACAATTTAAAAAGTTAATGTCAAATATAAGAGTCTGATATCATGTCTAAAGTAGGATTAAGAAGCATGCAGCAGTCATGCTTATTAAAACAAGTTGTCCTGTTTTAATAGTTAATTACCAATTGATTTCAGTATTGTGTGTTTTGAACGGACAACTGAGAATACTTATGCAGGAGATGACTATCTGCAGACAAAAGAAAGTAAGAAAATAAGTGACTAACTGATGAACTGATGAGTGAAAACACCTTGTGATTGTGAACAGCCTTCATTCTCCCTCAGAACTGGAGTTGTATATTGTTGTGCTTCAGCCTTCAGTTCATCCACCCCAAGCTGGGGTGGGCTAAAGGTCCCAAGCAGGTTAATTATAAAGTGCTTGGTGCATTTCATAGGCTGTCAAAAGTCAGATCAGGGGACAAAGTTGTTCATCAGCTGCAAGGAGCCTCTGCCAGCCTGGCAGGAGAATCAGAAGTCTTCACACACCAAAAGTGCAAAGTGCCTGGACCTTCAGCTCGTCATCAAACCTGGCCTGAATAATACAACAGGACCATTTTTCTATATAAATAAATATCATTCCAGTGTGCTCACAAATTCAACAAAGGCCACATTTTTCCCTATAATTAATTCCAAACAATCATTTTCAGTCAATATGTGTATTTAATAAAGTTTAATGTAAATTACACCCAAAAACAAAATAATCAAATAAATATGCACCATACAAATTAGTTGACATGAATTTGTAAAAGAACCTAATATAAACAAGTGCTCAATAAATATTTAAGGCACCTGATTGTTCATCAAATGGGTTATTAAAAGTTGGGCATCTGGATTTTCATACTCAGTAATTTAGCAGCGACACAAACAGTGAAATCAATTAACTGAAGTCAAGCCACACACAGAAACACACCAATTCCACAGTTCATATCTCACACAAACGGGTTTTTTCATTTCATCGCGGTAGTTGCGTCCTATAGTTCAGCACATTTATGTGAGCGTCGTACAGAATTAAAGAGAAAAAAATTACATGAGTCCTAATCTTTCATATTTTCCCACTCCAGATAATATACCAAACAGATAGGCTGCGATGATACATGTGACCCTGATACTCAGGGTCTCATAGTCCCGTGAGAGTTAGTGATATATTAGAACCATTGTGAGATTTGAGATAATGGGGAGAGGGAGTGGAAAGAGAATGAAGGAATGGACGTTAAAATTTACACCCGGGTTACATTATGGTCTCTTGCTTTTGGGATTTCCTCACTTGATTCAATTATTTCCAGTGATGTTGAACTGTTTGATCTGAATCTGTTTTGACTGTCCAGAAAGTAATCTACATTTTTCTAAGAATTTATCTTATTATTGAATAGTTTTTGTATTATTGTGGAGAACTGTGGAAGTAACTTGTGAAGTGGTGTCTGTCCAGTCGTACGCAGCAACACAAATAACTTTAGTTATTTCCACTGAATTCATGTATAAACTTCCAACCCAAGTATTTTACATGGTTAAAATGAGCTTCGTCATTTCAATTCTGAGTTATTAGCTCTAAGCCCTAACTACTGGCATCACCAAAAATAAAAATGACTTCATAACACATTATTGTACAGTCATTCCACACATTTTATCACAGTTGTGGTTAAATTTTTTTTTTATTTTTTAAAAGGATTTCTTAAAGTCTACACATTGAGATGCATTGCATCTCCATACATAATAGCCCAATGAACACTGAAAAGTACATGTCAGTCTTTATGTTCCAGTAATAAGGTTTACGTGGAAGAAGCTGTGAATCTGCTGGGCGCTCCCCTCGCCCACAACGGTCTCTAGCTCAGCAGGAGATGCATTGGAGATTTCCGTGAGACTGGGAAAATTCTGCATCAGAGTCAAAGCTTTGACCCTGCCAACCCCAGGGATCTGCTGGACCAGAGTCAGGGTCACTGAGTCCAACAGCCGACCTGAAGTCTTCCGCCTAAAAGGATTCTCTCTGCCCTCCCCGTGAGCCTAAGGATAAATGATAATAATACATTTTATTTGTAAAGTGCTTTGCTAAAAAACTCTTTACAGGAACATCATGTAAACACAGCAAAAGAGAGCTTGAGTTACTATGTGTATACACAAGATAGTTTCAAGTAAAAAATAAAAACAAACTCACATGCTACACATATCTAAATATTTCTATGTTTCACAAGGAAATTATGAACAATTTACACCTTTAAATAAAGACTGGTTTTATCTTATCAAATCAAGTTCTTTGATTTCTCCAGCGCATTTAACGCAATTCAGTCTGATCTGCTCTGTGAGAGACTTAAGAAGACAAAGATGGAGGACTCAACAATCACCTGGCTCTAACAAACTACCTGACCACAGACCACAGTTTGTGAGACTGAACACCTGTGTGTCTAACCAGGAGGTCAGCAACACAGAAGATCAGCAGAGAACTGTACTCTCACCATTCATTTTCTCCCTGTACATTTCAGACTTACAGCACACGTCTGACTCACTCTTTAATACACGAGGCCCCAGGAATCTAACATTAACTCATTCAAGTCTGCACACATGATATATACATTTAATGCTCTGCATACCTCCATTACCAACACATGCAAAGTTATCTGCATGTGACATAGGTAAAATATGCAATAGACAAAGAAACATGGCTGTAGGTCTGTGATCCAGATCAATATCAGATACTTACAATCTGAGTAATGAGCTGTGAGGCTTCTGTTTGCCCACTAACTGGGAGAAGAGACAAACCTAAGTCAAACACCACAAATCTCTGCAAAGCAGAGAAGTATTGCTCACTGAGCCGTGTCCTCTCCACTATTACCAGTTCCTGAAAGTTGCTACTTGCCTGAAAAACACAAGAAGAACAGTGCAGACCAGTGAGAAGGTTTACAGAAAACTTAACTGTCAGACAGCTCACTGGCACCACCTACATTTCGGTATCGAACCAGCTTCCTTTTGTAGCCATTTCCTGCTATTATGTCACACTCTGACACATAAAGAAGCTTCGTTTTGCTGGGAAGATGGAAATCTGCCACACCCAGCTCCTTTTCAAAGAGGATTTTCACACCTCCATCTGCAGAAGAAGTTCAGCAAGGTTAGCGAACAGCTGGCAGGAGTTCAAACTGATAACAGTTATCTAAATTGATCAGTTCAAAAGTAGAAGTCATTATTCATATTTACTACATACAGAATAGATTTTAAATCTATTTCTTTCAAGTTCTGTGTGTAATTTGATGATTATAGTTAACAGCAAATGTCATGGCCAAAACAACCACTGGGAAAACTCACAAGGTGTGGACTGCAGCTTCAGTAAGAGCTTAAAGAGCAACTCCACACAGACATACCAAGAACATGGATTATAACTATAGCATTTGTTTTGTTAAGTCACTCCTGAACCACATACTTTGTCTAGAGACAGGACTGGATAGCTGGCACAGAAATTGCAACTAATTGGTCCTTTGGAGCCATTTCATTTTTTACTTTCACAGTTTTATTTTAACAGTGAATTAGACATTAAGCTCTTCCACTTTTAGTTTCAGCTGTATTGAGGATCACAGTTTTCATCTGCTGGACTAGGGGTCTGAAACCTGAAGCTCCAGAACCTGCAAGTGGCTCTCTGGCCCTTTTATTAAACGATTAAATAATTCCCCTGTTTTATAGCAAAAACATCCCCAAAAATCTGGTACAGGGCAAGAATGATAAACAAATGTCAAAAGTTAGAGGAAGCATGAACTGCAGTTACACAAAAACACTACTTAAGAATTCAATAAATATTAAACGCGAAGCATTGAAAAATAAACTGGAATATACTATCAATAGCTCAAAGGTCAGCGCAGAAAAGTAAAATGCTGTTAGTTATTTTAAACTTTACTTTTCTCTTATCTGTCAAAAGGACAAACTTAATAAGCCATGCTTGTTTTGGAGAGAATGTGTATCCTCCTAAACCCTCTTAAACCTGCATATTTCTCATTGTTTTGTCATTAAACATGAAGGAGAATCAAATAGATGTCAGGCTGTTCTGTTTTCTGTCTATTCAGCGCTCGACCCTAAAAGTTACAGAAATGGAAAAAAGCCTTTAACCTTTTAAGCCCTGAAGAAGAGACGAAGTCCTCCATTTTTCATGGCAAAGAATGTGTCCGGACGGAAGATCTGAATTCACCAACACAGCTGCTTTGGGATCCATACAGCTAAATACTGACTAAATGTTGTTATCCTGACAACTCTCCGGTGATTTTCAACCATTTCTCATCCCCAAGGAATGTTTCTTCCTCTTCTTTTTTAGTTGACGTAGATAGCCAATGTACAGGTGCATTAGCGCCCTCTTCTGGAATGGAATGGGAAACAGTAGAAAATCTTATTCCTGCCTCGTAGAAAGAAGATTCCAGGTCTTGTGGGAAATTCTACCGGATTTGAATCGCAGCTTGTCCCAGTCTATTCTCTATCAGTTGCAAACAAGGAAATTAATCAGACCAAAGAAGCGTATTATATTTATTTATCTTTATTCATCTCAGGGGGCGATGAGTTTGCCTACACAGGAACGAGGTGGAGCGACTGACAGCATGGTGCACAGACAACAACCTGATCCTAAACACAGCCAAGACCAAGGAGATTATAGTGGATTTTAGGAGAAGGGGAAGAGACACTGAACCACTAAACATCTGCAGAGAGCTTGTGAAAAGGGTGTCAAACTTCCATTTCCTGGGAGTTCACATCATAGATAACCTGGCCTGGGATGTAAACACAACAGAACTGGCAAAGAAGGCCCAGCAGAGACTCTATTTCCTGAGAGTCCTCAGGAGGAACAATATTTGTCAAAAAGTGCTGGTGTCCCTCTATCGATGTTCTATTGAAACCATCATCTGCCATTTTTCTCTGAGTGTGTGGTTCCCCATCTGCACAGCAGCACAGAGAAAGACTCTCCAGAGAATTGTAAAATCTGCTCAGAAGACCATCGGCTGCTCTCTGTTTCTCTCAAAGATCTCCACAGGTCCTGCTGCCTCAGGAAAGCCAAGAATATTTTAAAAGACTCCTCACACCCTGGTCACAATTTGTTCCAACTGCTGCCATCCGACTGCAGATACAGGACAAACAGACTGAAGAACAGTTTATACCCAGTAGCCATAAGGGCTCTAAATACCCTGTAGTACTATTTTCACCAATTTTGTTATAATCCATGTTCTATAATTGCATGGTTCTATAATAACAATAAAGATTATTATTATTATTATTATTATTATTATTATTATGAAAAGGGGAACTGTAGTACAAAACAATAGATAGGAACTTAAAGAATTGATACTGAATCTAACAGAACCATTAAAATCAGGCCTGACCAAAGACATGTGGAGAAGAGCTGGTGTCAGGGTTCCTGGTGTGTGTGTGAAAGTGGGAGTAATGCATCTTTTCCAGTGAGGATCAAAGTGGAGAACCTGGGCAGGTACACAAGTTAAGGTCATCAGCCTCATCAGAGTGCTGGGATTTGAAGACCGGCAGAACCTAGTGCTGGATGATTAACGTTTACAGGTAGTCCCTCTGGCCTCCTCTTGTTGTTACCTGTCACTAGCTGTTGACTATCTCCTATGCAATTGCCAGAAGTTGTTTAGTCCTTGTGTCTGGTACCTCTAAGTTGTCTCATTTGATTTCCAAGAAGAATCAGTTCCACTGCTTCCCCTCCTGTGGATTCACCTACAAGTTACTTGCCTGCCTGCGAGGCTGATCATCATTTGTCCACCCGGCTCCATCAGACCCCTGGTTCTCTCTATAATCACCCTCCTCGCACTTATCTGGGGATTTACCATCAACCACTCTCCACACAAGACACTGGCCATCTTTTACTCTACCCCTCACTCTGAATCATTCTAAAGGAAGCTCTTTTTTATTTCATCCCTGACCAATTGTTTCTGGCCACCATTAACTCCACTCTCATTGCAGATGCCACCGATCTCATGACCCATCCTCCTGAAGGATCAAGATCTGTCAGGTATTTATTTCTTTGAAAATGAAACCAAATCCTTATTTGAACTCTGATTCTGCATGTTGGTCAGGTTAAATCTGAACATGCCAGCTGGTGCTCAAAGTTAAAAAAGAGGCGCATAGAACAAGACCTCAAAACACCTCACACAACATAACAACTCATGTCAATTAAGAATCTAATCTGGAAATGAATCATACTATGTATCATTGTCATTATGTGGTGAAATACAATTGTATTTATCTAGGTAGACTACTGAAGCTACAGTCACTAATATCAAGAGCAATAAGTATTTCATTAAATTTTTACTTTAGGTACTGTGTGTTCATTAAAGGAGCAAATTTCAAAGTAAAAATGAAACACAAAATATTTGTTTTTAATAGGACATTAATTTCCAACATCTTCTGTCAGCTGCTGTCTTTATGGTTCTCTACAGCTCATCATCTCCCCCATGTCAGCAGTTGTGGTCTGTGGTTGGTCTCTTTCTGAAAACCTGGCTTTGAATATTGGAAAACTCTTCGTCCAATATTCCACTGACCCTCATTAGTTTTAAATAACTGACTCCAAACTAAGCACCTGATTTTCTGTGTTAAGCTTTAGTCGATACAAATTGTAAACACAAATACCAGATAAAACTGACATTTACAGTGGTTAAAATGTTATTCAAGTTTACAGTATATGGAAGCTTTCTCATGCCTTTCTCACCCCTTCCTTGAGTAAAGAAATTGGTTTTCTTTTTCTCACAAGTTACCTTGAACTTGATGGGTTTTGGATGCTCATCTGTCTTCCAATTGATGCAACACCATGAGGTCTTAGAACAAACCCCATCGAAAGGATCAATGGTGTTTTTATTTTTTCTTCTTTTTACTCATTTTGGGATTTGGTTTTGATGTAACTGAGTAAAATTATTTTACTCAAAACAAATTCAAGTAAAAGTTTTGTTCACAATATGTAGGCTTTTGGGACAGTATGCCTTTGCATATCAACTTCAATATCCAAGATTACAGACCAGCTGCTTCCTTTCTACCCTTAGAATAACAATTATATGTCTAAAGAAAATAAGAACCAAATTTCTTGCTATTACAGATCCACAACTATTACAGAAGTTAATTTCATAATTAAGTTTTTCCTGTAATTACTGTCTGCAAAAAAAAAAAAAAAAAAAAAGAAAAGAAAAAAAATTACAGGGACTTTAATGACTTTAATATTTATTTTGAATAAATTCAAAAATAAATATCAGTTGATGTGAAATTAAAACTGGAACTTGTACAATAAATATAATACAATAAAATTTGGTCCTTTAACAAGAGATGGAAAGTTGTATTATGATATTAATGATTTAATTTTCAGGCTAAGTTTTTATTCACAAATGCTGCTTTCTAAAAATTACTCGGCCCTTTTTTAATGTGAAATTTTATTTAAGAAAGTGATTAAATGTTGAAACATAAAATATTTGTTTTCAAATATTTTGAAACATAATTCAAAATGTTATGATATAATTCAATTTGGGGAAAAATACCACTATCTTGATAGAAAGGATATAAGTTTTATTTATTTATTATGATTATTAGATTATTATTGGGGTTTTTTTGGGGGGCCGTCTACTCCATTCCAGTGGTCGGCGGTAATGCACATCAATAAGTTGTTTGCCAACCGCCATAAAACAAAAAAAGAAGAAGAAGAATGCCACTACCTCTAGCGGACAGTGTGAGAATAGCTTCCACCTTTCTCTGAATCAGTCAGCGGTAATTGGTGAACTTCTGAGAAAGGTATGTTTTGTTGCATTGAGTAAGCTGCAAATAATCTGACGAACAACGAAGAATGTGATTTCAGTGATGCTAAAATGTGCTTTACATCACATCACATTAGTTGGTGTGTTAAGGTTGTATGACTTCATTGTAAATTAGAGAAACCCCGTTTGCTTAAATTCAGCTAGCTTAGCTAACAAGTAAAGCTAGCTGAGAAGTTAGGCACGGTTAGATTGTGGCTTTTATTCTGTCCGAGATAAAGTGTTTAACTCTGGCTGCTTATGTTTTCTTGTTTCTCAGCTTCCGGTTCATTCACAACATGTTGGAAATATTCATTTTGAAGGTAAGAAGCATTCCATCACGACCCTGAAGTACTGAAGTGTGCGACAGATACGCGGCTGCCGTTTTTTGGGCGCTTGATTTTCTTTATTTCTTTTTAACCCTTTATTAAACTTGTGTATCTACTTTTTTAAAAGGACGAGGCTACATTTATAAAACTCATTGAAATGCCACAGAAGTAGTCTACATTTATGGCAAATTACAGAAAATGTGTGATTTGTGAAGACTCAAGACTTTTTAGCTTCTTTGGTATAAAATCAACAGTAGCAGTGGTCGACTATATTTGTTTACATAAATTTCCTGAGTATAGCAACATTGCCTTTGAAATATATGGCTGCGTCAGAGGTTTTGGGTTTCCTTCCTCAGACTTCTCACTCTAGACTAGAGCTTTGGAACGTGACGTCACTGCTCTCGGCGAAGGGATATGGGCGCCATCTTAAGGGGCCACAAACATAACCGACAAAAACGACTTGTCTCACAGATATTTTGATTCTAAATTATTCGGCAAAGGTACGGACTTGATGCGTTATTGGATGTAATGTCCGATCACACGGCAGAGACGGTAAAAAGATGGAAAACAGGACTTTCGTTTCACTGTTTTCCTGCCTGTAAACCATGCAAGGGGGTTAAGCTATCAGAGCTAACGAAAAGGAGACTAGCAGCCTGGCTATCAGCGGTGAGAAGTCCTGATATCACGATCTCCAACATCCCAAGATATTTACAAGTTTGCTCCAGACATGTCCGTTCTGGTGAGTGTCTAAATGCGCTTTGTTGGTGTTGTGTCATAATATTTTGATATGATTTTGTCCGGGTTACTCATGTTCAGTCATGTTGAGTTCATTTAAGTGGGTCAACCTTGTTTAGGTCGGGCTTATATTTTTTATGTTGCATAGTCCGAGTTTTGTTAGTGGGCATCGAGATTATTCTGTTATTGTGAAGCAAACTATTTTTTACTAATGTTATCAAATTTACAGTATTGATACTGATGTGTGTTCTGACATGTCCTCTTCAAGGCAAACAGACATATGAAATGGATCAGCTGGGTTCCGATGCTGAATCTGGGTCACTGCGAGGTAAAGGCCACAACGTTGGACCAACATGCCTCAATTAAAGAGGCCATACAGCAAGACCATGGTGGATCAACAAGTGGGGGGAGCAAGTTACAGAGACTGTTTTTATTATTTATCCCAGAAGATGCAAAAGATGAAAACACAGTAGTGGAGTCTATAAAAGAGAAGCAAGTTGGAGAGGCTGAGGAGGAGAGGAGCTCAGCCAGGCTGCACACTCTGAAGAGGAACATGAACAATTTGTGTTGAAATATATGTACAGTTGGAAGTAGCTGTTTTCTTTCATTTAATAATTTAATGTGGTAAACATATTTGAAATGTTTGATTCAAGCAATTCAAGTTGCATGTAAACAGGTGATGAAATGAATCGCATTGTAAGTAAAAAAATATATATATATATTTTAAATATTTCAGCTAATAAACATACATGTAATGAAAGATTATATATTTAAATAAACATTTTATGTGATTACAGTAAATATAATATAATTATATAATCAGACATTTTGCAGTAAACATTCAAGCAAACCAGATGAAAAGAGCCCATTTTTAAACATTTAATGTGTAATTAAACATTTCAATGTAAACAAAGGTGGCAAGTAAATGTTATAAAATAGATCACACTTTAAGTAAATATTTGTTGCATTTAACATAAGTAGATCCTGTCTTAAAATTTTATGTAATTGAACATTACAGGTAACAAATGTGATGATCATCTGAGGTGATGCATTTAAAAAAAAAAAAATTTTTTTAAATATAAAATTAGTTAAAAAAATAAAGTGGTCAAAATGTAATAAAGATGAGGGCTTCATCTATACAGTCTAGTAGAAAAGGTTTTCACACATTTTGAGTTAATGGGGGCACACAATTTGGGAGCTATTGAAGAAAACATTAAAATATTGACTATGACTTAAAATTTTAATAGAGGATAGTGTGTCATGTAATATCATGAATAACCACTTTTTTTTGTATCAGTTGGTCACAAGGCAAAGCATTTATTTACAGGAGTGTTTGGTTCAGAAATTGACAGTCCTTATGTGAACATCCGAGCGCTTGAGGAAGGAGCGGTCATAAATCAGATCAACCTTGAGCTAAACGGCCTTTACTCCACGGAGCGCAGATATCCGATATCCAACTTGAAAACAACTTCACTGCGGTCAGTAACACAATGAAAACACCAGAATAAAGTTTGTTTTGGCCTGTGGCCTTTAAAGATGGCGGCGAGTGAAAGCGTGAGACGTAAACGTCATATGCAGTGACATTGGTTCCAAAGCTCTATAGCTTGCTGGAATTCTGGCCCATTCCTCCTAATAGATAGGAGGAATGGGTTTGGTCAGCTTTGAAGGCTGGAGCTTAGAGTTCTCTGCCTGATATTTTGGCTGATGTCTTTTGACTTCTCCATTGTGTCAGAAAGCAGTGTGTTCCAACTGAAGCCTTAAAATGTGCCTCCAATGTGTTCGTTAGCATATCAGAAGTTTTCAAAGCTACGCACTCATCATCTGAGCTTTCCCTTATAGTTTAAAACGATGGTAAGCATTCTGTATCAAAGACATTAACAAAAAAATTTGACACAACCTTTTATTATTGTGGCATCTAGCACATAGAAATAATTTTGGAAATTCTTAGAACAAGAGAATTTTTATTGTTTTTGTTGGTCTGATTTAACTTGAGGCAGTGAAAAACGTCTCCTCCTTTTGGTGTGTTTGAACATCTGGTTTCAGCTGTAGTTCTTTTCCCATTAGACCTTTTTTGTGAAGTGTGTAGAGATATTTGTTGTGATTTGGCAGTATGTAAATAAATAGAATTTAAATGAACTGTATTGATTAATTTCTTTGCCTAATATGCTGTTCCATCTTTGCCTAATAAACTTCCATCAAACCACTTCTAGCACTTATCAATTTAACAGAGCTTGTGGTCACTTAAAGTATCTAAGTAAGAGTTTGAAAGATGATTTGTGTGTTCATTTCTCTTGAGGTGGAGAATCCATCATGCCTCTGGGGTCGGGTTGTTTGCGGTGCCAATGGCAGTGTGGAGACCACAGAACGTTACACTACTCTTCAGGCTGAGATGAACATTTTCTACCAAGATGTCACTCAAGATCTTCATCAACTGAAACCCACTTCATTAGAGGAAGGACAGGTATTGAAACCCTAACAGTTTGTTGTCAGATACATTTAGAGCTGGGTATTTTGGGCATTTTTGAACAAAACACATGTTCCTGCTGAACATGTTTTTGTTAAAATTCTAGATTATAAATTTATGCTGATCTGGTCTCCCTTTTTAAATCTTTTTGACTCTTGAACTTCTTGAAAACAATCTAAAAACACTCAAAAACTTTAATCACAGTGAAATGTGCATGGCAATGTGATATTGTAAGCATGTTCATAGAAAGGGTCAGACAAGGATTGTATCAGTATATACATTTTAGCAGAATAACAGTATAAAGTATCACTATCACTAAAGTGGGAAAATACACTGCCGATTTTGCAGATCTTCTCACTTTTAGAAGTCTTAAATTTATATCACAGGTACTCTTCAACTGTGAGTGATTAAATTTAAAACAAAATTACAGAAAATCACATTGTATAATTTTTTTTAAGTAATTCATTTGCAGATCAAAATTACATTTCATTTCAAGATCAAAAATGGGGAAATTCTGTGGGGCACATGAAGCTCTGCCTCACTCCTCCTATCTTCACTCCAGGACTAAATTACTTGTCACTTGCTAGAATCAACAGGCCTTTGACTGCATTCAACCTTTCTTTTTATTAAGACATCTTGCAGATAATTTTGAACTTCTCAAACCTACAGGGAAAATGGCAGGAAATACATGGAAGGATTTGAATTGGGATTTCACCAATCCACTTTTTTCAATATCGATTTAATTTTAAAATATTTTTAAAAATAAAAATAAACATTACTCAGCAGACTCCACGTTTGCAGACGGTTGGGTCTTCATAATCGAGCGAAATTAATTACCTATAATTATCTCGTGACAAATTCCTTTATTTCACACAATCCTAGCGATAACTAGCAAATTTGATGAAGCCATTTGGGCGCCTCGCTCTGCTTCTTCTTCATCTGGGAAGCCTCAACACACCAGTCAGTGCGAGACAGAGAATAGCAATCACATGTCGGTTCATCCCGCAAAGTCAGAGAGCCGCTTCCTGGAGCAGTGCAGCATCATACTGCAGATCGAGGCACAGGAGCAGCAGGAAGCTGCACTGGCTTTAACTGAAACCAAACAGGATCCGTTCATAATAAACATTTGTATGATTTTCCAATATAACAAAGTTTTAGTCTTGCATAACAGCTCAACTTTGTTTTGTAGTGATTTTGTGTTGCTGTTTTACCTCAGGTGTATGTGGTATACTGTGCTGTGAAGAAGTCATGGTGTCGTGCTGTGGTGCGGTCCGTCATCACCGACCCAACATGCAATCGAGCTTTCTGCTTCCTGGTTGACCATGGAGAAATGATTGTGGTCTCCTTAGACAAGTAAGTCAAATATAGCTCTGTCTCCCAGCTCAAAATGAAAGTAACATATTATCTAAGTAAGAAACAGTTGCAATCTCAGATGTGTAAGGGTTGTGCTGATAGTTAAATTGTATTTTCTTGTTTCTTGTCTCCTCCCAAGGATACGAGTGTCATTACAGAAGTTCCTTCAGCTTCCTTTCTGGGTGAGGAGGTTCCATCTGGCACGAATCCAACCAATAACCCTTCGAGTATCCGTACTTGCAGAAAAAGTAGAACTTGAGTGAGAAAATGAATTGTTTTCCTTTAATACTTAAACGTTTGACACTTTGTTGACTGTTTTACTTAATCTACATTACTGTTACTGTTGCTTTTTTCTGCAGACCTTCTAGACAGTGGGACTTTTCGGCTACACTTTACCTGCACAACTTGCTTCGAGGTTAAAAGAATTTGTATTTAGTATGATTATAATAAGATGTTAATATTTGTAGTAAAATATTTTTGTCAATTGTTTGATTTTTCCTCATAGCATCCACCCAAACAGAAGCTGTGTTGCATGAGTTGGAGTCGGACTCCACCTCCATTGAGCTCTATCTTACCATCAGCAACATCAAGGTGAACTTTGTCAGAAGTACATATATTTTTTTGTGGTTAATTGCAACATCTGTAATGAATCGCAACACATTTTGATTGAAAACTACATATCGACAAAATAAGCTACATTTTCAATTCAAAAACCCGCTGCTTAATTATTGAAAAATAGATGTACAGGTTTAACAACAAAGACATTTAATTGTTTTCAGTCTATTAGGTCATTCAACCATGTGTGAAGTGCTATTATACCTATTTAGCTTTCAAGTATTTCAGGAAGCCCTGATCAGTCATGGATCTTCTTTAGAAATGTGACTGTTGAAGTTAGTGTTGGTCCCCGACGTTAGCTTTTGGGACGTCAGTGCTGCTGCAACATGTTGTGCATCTAGATGCTATTTTAGGCTTGAATAGCTTTGCTGGTGGGCCAACTCCTTTTTGCACAACTTGAAACACAAGTCAAGTGAACAGTCTTTTCCAGAGCCTCATCAAATTGTTCTTTTGAAGCAAAAATGAATCCTCAAGAGAACTGACTTTGTCATTTATTGCTGTTTTTGGAGGCTGCCACTTGTGTGTCAGATTTATGGGCATACCAAAAATTAATGAATACAAAATTCTGACTGGAACTGGTTTGTAAAAAATAGTTGATTAAATGTGTTAATCTTTCGTAACACTTTAAAATCTACGTAATTAATTCTTCTAAATTAACACGTTAAAGTCCTGGCCTTAGTATTTAGTATTTTATATCCACCTTGTAGTTGTTGTTTTTAATATTCATTATAAGCCTGACTTGGGAGTCAGAAGTTTATAATATTTCTTTCTTTTACAGATCTGTGTGAATGATGACCTGGTGGCCAATAGGTTTGCATGTTACAGCAGCAGTGGCCTGGATGCCTGTGACAGATTTCCTCTCATGTTGTCCCCCAGCGTCCTAACCCAAACTGCTTCCAAAAGCTCTGACAAGCAGATGGAGCTAAACCTGCATTCGCCCAAGGAACATGGAGGTATGGCCCTTCTATTCCCAGTTCTATAAGTTAACTCATGCCAGCACAGACCAGAATTATTAATAATTCTCAGAGGCTTCCCATTTACTAAAAAATAGGCTACGGTAATCAAAAAAGATACTAATTCTGAATTTTAAAATGACGCCAATGTTTATTCTGTTACATTTAAGGAGACAAAATGCAATACAATTTCTAATCGACCATAGCAGTTTAAACATTATTGAAATATAACATAAACTTCATCTTAATACAGTGTGATGTCAGCACCTGCTTGGTGCTGGGAGCATTATTCCACTCATTAGTATTATCAACAGGTGGTTTGGGGGCGCAAAGATAAGACACTGTCTAATAGCGACTGGCAGTCTCATTTTTTAAAAATAAGTCCATATGGTTGAGATGAAGATGACTGCCCTGATCATTTATCTAAAGTCACGCTGTGGGAACTCCTCTGTCTGGTGCAACAGGATTTTTGGGTTAGCAAAATTTTTCTTTGCTAATTATGCAGGTTATCGATCCATTTCTTCTTGCATTTTCAGTGGATATTGCTGTTCTTATCAGGGTCTACTCTCTCATCATGTGTTCAGTGTGATGACAGTTTTCTCAATTTAAATGAGTTAAAAAATTGCAGAGTCCTTTGGTCTCAGTGACAGAATATTAATGGTCTTTCAAACTTTTTTACAGTGTTTTGTTTTGCCTTATTTGCTGGCTAAATAGTATTTATTTAGAAATAGGAGTATACCAATAAATCAGCCCTAATTTCCTTAATTTTAAGAGATCTGTGGTCAGTCGATACTTACATGTGAACCCAATCTTATCCACCGACAATATATGTATTCACACAATATGTGTGACTGCACACATATATTTTTATGCACTCAATACTTGGTTGCATCCTGGAACCCTGTGTTTTTGAGGAAACAAAGTATGTGCAGGTTGTTTCATCTCTTTTACTGGTATGAAGATTCCATGTCAGAGTGAGTTTACTAGAAAAATGAATCATAGAATTGATAGCTAGTTTAGAAAAGTGGGACCTATTTAAAGTTTTTCTAAACTTATTTTAAAAGTTTAGAAAAACTGGAATTGAAAGTGATAATATAAGCAGGATAGGATGCCATTTTAGAGGATATTGAAAGTCTACAATTTCACAGAAAAGATGTTATGTTAGATGTTATGTTCTGCTGAGTAACATCAGCAGAACCCAATATCTGGTGGTATCAGTTTACCTTATCAGCTGATTTGGCGAATCATTTGATGAAAAGTCCACAGTGGCTATTCCACTGGTCTACAGCCAAAACATTGTCTGGGGTTTTTCAGCCATTTTAGGGTCAATTTGATAAGCTGAATCCAAAAATCATACTGGTTTTGCTCAATCAGGTCAACTTTCTGAGCATTGGATGCAACATGAGCATCAAATGCATGACTTGTTCTCTCATCTGGATCGGTTTGCTGAGAATCTGATCAATGAGTGATGAGCAGGAGGAGAGATTCCATCAGGACAGAAAAGAGACGGAGAATTTTACACAATGAAGACGTAATGTTCAATTTACATGAACTTCCCATTAGTGGTGTTTATTATTCAATTTGCAGAAATCGAAGTTTGTAACACTCTGCTAGAAAACCGTTTTTTGGATGAGAAATATTAACGGAAATGAACTGTCATAAAAATGTCATCAATTTAGTCAGAAGATTGGATTTCTTTAAAGCAAATTGGAATAAAAACCTGATTGAAAAAAATGGATGTCATTATGGATTCAGTGATGCAAAAATAAAATCCTAATTCAATTGAAAAAACACAACTTCCAAAAAATATTTTTATACTGTGAGTACATAGTGACAGTTAACAAATATGTAAAAAAACAAACAAACATATTTTTATATAAAATATCTACTGCAGCTTTAAAGTATCTGATTTAAAGATAATTAAGTAAAATAGTTTAATATCCCAGCTAATGTCACTGACTCTGATCTGTTCTTACCTTCAGGGTCATCAGAGAGTCCTGGTACTTCAGAACCAGGGGATTGGCTGACAACTCCCTCTCTACCTCAGGTCTGCAGCTCTGTGCACTTTCTGCTTTGAAGTAGAAACTCCTACCAAGTGATGCCTACTATTATATCTTACTTTAAAGAAATATTTGTCTTGTGAACGGTCTCATCACACATTAATTGCAATAATACATACATAACAGATAATGTAAAGCCAGTGAAAATATTGGGGCTGAGTGGTTGAGGTCTGAACACCTCAACCACTCAGCCCCATCCAATGCACCATTTCCAGCAGATACCCTATGCGAGGCCTCAAGGAGTGCAAAACAAAACAATACATATTTTGTGAAACATGTTTGCTTCCAAAGACACTTTTAAATAAATCACTAAGTTGGCCTTATATTTGTTTTCCAGTTTAAGAAAAAGAAGAGCTCCCCATCCTGTTTGATTTAGTGACTGACTTTAAGTAAAGAACTGTGGTCATCTGAACTTCCTGTCTGACTGCTTAATACTACCTTCTGAAAAAGCTGATTTCAGATGTTTTAATCCACTCAGAGTCAAATCCCTGAGCTGGTTACTTGTGAGGAAGGCAGCAGATCAGAGGATAATAAAGAACCAATGTTTATTAACAACCAAACCAAGCATGGCCCAAAAGCTTCTGGGGCAGAGAGGTAAGTAATTTGCACAAGGTAAAGTTGAACAAATGTTTCTGATTAAGAGAGTTGGGATTCATCTGGTTCACTGAAATATGTGTTAGAAGAACTGAGTTAATATGGAGAGTGAGGAGACCGCTTTCCCTGCTTGCCTCACTGACGACTGATCTTCCTTTTCTCGTGTCTTAATGTGTTGATGTGTGTCTTCATTGTTGCGGTTCTGGATGTTTATTTGATGATAGTTTTTCTAAACTGTTCCATCAGCTTTGTATTATCTTAGTTTAATCTGTTGGCAACATAATTCTGTAACCGGAGAATTAGAACTTAAAAAACTTAAAATTCTATGAGTTAAAAATAACAGCATAAACTGACCTCCTTTTTCAGTGTCTCCTCAGAGGAAACAGACTTCTCTCTTGCTTCAGCACTAACCAAAAGCCTTGGTCTGTTCAGGTGAGGTTGGGGATTTTACACATTCATATGTCATTTGCTGACAGCAGATTCTTTCCTGACTTGTTGGTAAAAATCTTTCTCTTGTGCAGGTTCTTGAAGTTTCTAAATTCTGGCAGAGACAATCAACTGGAAGATGTGAGATTACTTAAAAATCCCAATTATTATTTATATTTAATTTTAAGAATTGATCAAGATGTTAACTTTCATTGAGGCATTCTACTGTTGTAATTGAAATATATCTGAATAATTAAGTATAAATTTAATAAAAATGGATAAAAAGATTTAACCAAAACATAAATTTTTTTTCAAAAATCAATTTTTAAAATTGTGACAAATTTAGATATTGTTTATTTCCCAAGTCCCAGTTGGGAATTCGGATTTGCAACAACAAAACAGCAAGAAAAACAATAATAATAATAATTCTGAGCATGGCGTGTGTCCTGTTCAACAACCTGCCAGAGCCAGCAAAAGGCAAAAAACAAAACAAAAAAAAACTTCTGTAAGTTGAATAAGGCTTTTGCAGGCAAATAATGCTAACTAAATGGTCACTAGTAATTCTATCCTTGTATATTATGTTAAGACTAACAAGAAGACTAAAGTTATTGTTGCCTCGTGTCCTTTGCTAGTTTCCCAAGTCCCAGTTGGGAATTCGGAATAAACCGATCTTTAATTTCAGTGCAGAAGTTGGGATTACTGTTCTTCCCACATATTTAAAAATAAATCTTTGCTGCCTTAATAGAAAGAGCAAAACCAGGAAGGAGACATCAGACCAGAAGCCAGATGCAGCGATGATGATGCAAGATCTTCTCATGTAAGAAGAGATTATAATTTGCTGAGAAAAAAATATCTGTCCTGATTAAAAAAAAAAAGTTTTTACAGATATTTCAGAAGTACTCTTTCACACTCAAATATAATTTTCTCTGTATTATAGGTAGCACAGGCAGAAGGCCATGTGTAGTTTGCATTTAGACATTTTTATTTATTTTTGAGCACTTCCACCAGGTGTTTACTATTTGCTGCTAGTGAGTCTGAAGGAGCAGAGTGGGGGAGTCAGCTCTATGAGGCAGAAGCTTGGTTGGTTGGAAGCTTGGACACTGCAGCTCCAAGGAGGAAGTGGCTTGAAAGTGGAGCTAGATCCAACCAAGCATTTTGCACAGCTGAATGGTTGCCATTAGTGATTAAAGGATTTCTCAAACATGCATGAAAGAATCAAGGGAACACTGCAGATATATTTTTGATGAGGAAATAATATAACATGCAAACCTCAAAAATGTAAATTTTACATAATAATTCTCCTTTGAGCATTTCCCTCCCAATAAATTTAAAACTGGCACTGAATGTAGTAAAGCCAGCACTTTTCAGGATCCTGCATTTTCAAACTTAGATTTAATGCAAACATTAAATCATTAGATTTAATGCAAACCTCATTAAAGTTGACCAGTTACTGACCCAGGAACACCATACCATTTGGATTTTTTTTTTACCTTAGTTTTGACAGCTCTGAGAGTTTGTCTTTGGAAGTGCTGTTTAAATCATGTTTACTCAAAGTTCATGCTGTCAGAAGAGTTAGGTTTGGTTGGTTTGTTTCTCTTGCAGGTGGGACAAAATGATGACCTGAACAACTGTCAACCTGAGATGACTGAAATGTCTGAAGCTGGCACTGAACAAGAGCAGGATGCTGTCAGCATGTTCTCAGAAACCAAGTAACCATTATTATTGTTCTTTTCAGTTAGTGAGAGTTGTTTTTTGTTTTTTTTACAGCCTAGCTTACTTATAATGCTTTGCACACATCAACAACTGTTATTTTTATGTAAGCTAAGGTTATTTTATAATACAATAGATAAACACAATTGATAGAAATGGTTGGGTAATTTTTGTAAATATTTTTGCGTATTTGTTGCAGTCTTTCTCTCTGCCAAAGCAGCTCAAGTGCATTTTTCTTGTATCACGCTTCTAAATTACAAATGACCCTAAAAGGATATTAATGCACACAACACTTACAGTAAAGAAAACCATAGATAATTTATATTTATCAATTATTGTACTTTAAACAAATTTTAATGTTACTTAATAGAGATGATTCAACATTTTTTTATTATTTCAAAAGCTGTATTAGAGATAAAGATTGGGTTCGGCCATAAGTCCCACCATTGGCTGCAGGGTGATAATGTAAATGAACAACCTTTGCTAACAACCCCAGGCTGCTCAGCAGGTATGGGGAGAAACTTTCAGAACTCATTTCTCTGAAATGTAATTTTCTGAGTGCCAACATTAAAATGGCCATATTTTGTTCATTTCTGTATTGATTACCTTGTGTTTGACATCATTGGAAAGCTCACAATCCACACTTTCACAATCTGTAAATAACTCAAAATGGCTCTGAGAAGACTTCACACTTTTGCCATGGCCTGTCATAATTACATGCTAAACTATATATTGTGTGAACAATTCATTTATCAAGCTGTCTCTGTATCTATCCTTAATTAAGGCAAGATTGGTCCTCCATATATTTATGCCTTTTAGTCAAAAAGTAACACAAGAGCCTGTAATTTTTATTTAGTCGCAGCAAGAGCCAGCCAATTTCTGAACTCCTGATTGAACTTGGAAGAAATCACTCATGGACTGCAGGTCCCTATGCACCCATGCTACTGTGCATCCCAGACTGTGTTATGTTTGCCCCTGTGGTAGGGTGTTTTCTCCACCCACACCCTACCACAGTCCCACCTTTATGCTGCCAGATTTCTCTGGCAGTACTTATGTTGTCACAGAGATCTGAACACTCAAAGCGCACAAAACACACAAATGTGACAAAGCACATTTGCAACAGATTTTATGCTTAATTTTTCAGTCCCAGTTTTGTTCCACTTGAGATATTACTCCCTTGAAGAGTCATTTCTGTCAAATAATTTTAATTGAATTTGTTTTTCAACAGTCTGCAAAGCAAAATTGGAGAAGTTTCTCAAAGTATTCTAGTTGAAAGTCCTGGGGATGTGGAAGCAAGGTGAATGAGCTTTATTATCAAAATACATTTGACAATAAAATATTGATGTAGTTTATCTAACTAATAATATGACCGCATATTGTTTGCGGTCATATTATTAAAGCTCCTTTTAACTGATTTTATCTGTCATTGTAGTGATTTCAGTACGTCAGTGGAGTGTGGAATGAGGAGGAGTGAAGAGGATGGATTCTGCTCACGGTGGGCCCAAGATTTGCTCCTAATATTAGACTGCTGTGTAGCCGCAGTTATTTTGGCTTCTAGTGAAAAGAGACATGCACATCCCTAAAAATAACTGTGCTATTAAAGGAGCCACTAAAGGAGATCAACAACTATAAAATTTGTTGTGAACACAGTCACCTGAGTTTGTTTATACAGTTGTCCTATCACCAGTAAAAACCAAGTTATTTTTTGTTTGTTTTATCCAGTGTATCTTATATAATTTAGAGTGTATTTTTCAATATTCTTCAATAAGAAGACTTGTTCTAGTTCTAATCACCATTGAGCATAAAAAAGATCAAATATTCTTTTGAAAATATTGAAAATGTATGTTTTGAAGTGAATACACATTGAATCCCCACTGACAGGAACGTATTCCCTGCCTAAAGAAATCTTTTGTGACAATATTTGTAAATCACATTGAGGTTTCATCCTTTTATCTTTTTCTTTCAGTGTATTGGTGCTTTGCAAAGCTGTGACTTGAATTATGAGTTCTGATTTTTTCCCCCTGCCTGCTGTAGTCTTTTAGAGTGGCTGAACCCAGAGCCTTTCAACTCTGATCCTGATGCTGGAGATGAGGTGGTATGTTTCCTTGACTTTTAAGTATTTCAAACAGAATTCTTTGCAAAGGCTTCCAATTAAAATTGCAATAACTTATTGAAGAATGTAAGAATGTATTTTATGTTGGGGTTTGATTGGTCTCAAACTGCTGTCCTCGAGTACCAGAGTCCTGCAACTTTTAAATATATTTTGTCATAAACATATGAATGAAAGTCAAGCTGTATGCTACAGCTTGACTGCAGTAACAAGCTGTTTACTGAAGCAGAGAGACTTCTAAAAGTTGCAGGGTGCTGGCCAATGAGGACTGAAATTTAAGATTACTGGTTTATGTATGGCTAAATTTAAAAATGTATTTTTCTATCCTTCACACCTGCAGTATCCTGGTCAGGGCCACATGATGGCTTGTGGTCAGGGGCAGAGTACATCCCTCGATATATCTAAAAACAATCATTCTAATTCTCATCTGGACATATTGTAACTGGTTAAGGATGTTTGTATGTAAGTTAGGTTTTATTGTGATGGTGGTTTTGAAGGAATGTACTTTCTTTTGTGTTTTGGGTTGTTGTCCTGCTAAATAAATTAACATTGGCTGCAGTCTTAGGTCAGGATGCTCTGGAAGAGGTTTTCATCTTGGATTGTTCTGGATGAACAAAACAGAACGGGACAGCATTAACAGAATATTTTCCATATTTGACAAGGTATTTTTTTAAATCGACTGAAAAATCTGAAGCCTGTCCGTCATTTTGACATGCAATTTTCACCCCTAAGGACACCTGCAACTTTATAGCCGAGGTGACTAAAACAACCCCAAAAAAAAAACCCATCCCTTCTGAATATCATCTCTGACATGGACACTGAATTAAATGCATCTTGCTGACCTGGAGGTTACAGCATGTTGAAGAGTTATGGGCATGATGCGTTTGAGTGCGTCTATTTAAAAAGGGTTTTCCAAATTTTGGCTGAAGTGGTGCACTAACAATCCTACAGTACATAGAGAACAGAGAAAACTAAAGAGAATAATATGTTAATATATTGTTTAAATGGAGGAGTAGACAGTTTACATTGTTGAACAAATAAAGTAATGAGTTAATTAGACTGTAACTAATGCATTAATTAGACTGTGTGTGTAGTTGTGCACTATACAACTACTCTCAGGTTCTGCCTGAGCTGCGAAGATAAAATCCTTTCAGTCCATCATTCAACTTATCCTGCATTAGAATAAAAGACAAAAATAGATGTTAAATGAAAACTGGGAGAAGATACAGTGCTTATTCAAATAGTGCTTTGAAAATAAAAGCAGTAATCTTAATTAAAACAATATGTTGGGTTTACTTCAGGCTCAAGTCTCTAATTAAAGTTAATCAGTTTGGTTGGACCGGACTCAGACATAATAATGTCTATTGTCTCGGTCTGGGTCAGGTTGGACTTTTTAGGCTCGATCTAAATGTTAGCACAAATTTCTCCTCTACATGTAGAAAGTTGTGAGATTGCACATGAACATTGCTGCATTCATCTTTCTCTTTCCTGACTAATCTCTCCGTTTCTTGTCATTCATCTTTGTTAGGTCTCACTCGGTGATCCCTGGGTGAAGGGGATTCTAGTGCATTCAGCCCTTTCCATTGAACCATGCAACACATTAGAAGATGCTCCCATTGCAGATTCTCTTCGTCAGGTAAACAATGATTTAAGTTCTTGGGCTGTTTCACATTAAAGATCAAGTCCAAACAACTTTAATATAGAAAATGTATGTATTCAGAGATGGAAGTATTGACAGTTTTTAACCTGCTTGAGATGTTCTACTTCAGTAGTGCCTCAGAAATTGACAGTATTTTTTTCCTTATCTACATTTTACTGTTCTGGAAAAATGCAAGTCATGCTCATGTGTAAGGTGCAGAGACCCACAGATCCACTTTTCTTTTTCTCTTCCAGTCCAATCCTGGACGCAACTTTTTTTAAGCAAAACGTTTTTGCTATATGCAGCACAGAAAAAAAACATGTATTGACCAAAACCAGAATCAGTTGGTCAGACGCTGATTCCTTGTTGCGTCCACTACCTTCTATCACAAGTTAACAAATTGAATGAAAATGAACCACTCAGACACCACAGTAGTTTTAATACTGTGGTGCATTGCATTCTGTAATGAATGTTCTCTCCAGGTGTTGCAGGAAGCAGTAAATAGATCATCAGAGAAATGATCATCAATTTAAAGAACTTCCCTTTACCAAGTTCAAGTTTGAAATACTTATTCATAAGTAAAATGGTTTAAACAAAGTGAAATGTTCAGTTTGAGATGTCCTTGAGCTGTTAAGCAATGTTAGCATTTGTACTTAGAATTCAGATTTTTTAAATTTTATTTCATAAGATAATTTAATTCAATTGTTTCATTTTTTCTCTTAAGTTATGTCTAAATTTAAATTTCAGCTCATTATATCACTCTAAACACTTTTTCATCAAGTTACAATTCTGCTTCAAATAAAGAACTGGGTTTACTAGATTAGGCAAATAGTCCCACAGGTGTCAAGGCTGCCGTATTCTGGCAGGCAAGGTGGGTGAAGTGTCTTTCCCCAGGACACCGAGGCAGGGGAAGAAGCGATTGAGCCAGCAACCCACTGATTGTGGGATGAACTTCTCTCACCGTTGCCACCATTAAGATCTGTTTCCTCTAAATGATCTAAATTCCATATAACTGGTTTGTCTTGCAGGTCTTGCTTCAGAAAAACTATCGCACTCTTTCTCCAGCTGATCGCTACAGTTGGCCAGCTGTAGCTCGTGGCTGCAACACTTTTATTATCTCCCAGAATGCTGACCAGCCACTTTGCTACCTTATCCCCCTGCTCACCCACATTTTTTTAAACTCCCTCCTCGTATCCCACCTCTCCAGTTCAGGGGTGAGTAAATATTTAGTAAAATGCAAAGCCACTTGTATTTGTGCATGTTTTCTAATATTATGTTTGCATGCAGCCCATAGCAGTGCTGCTGTGCCCAGGCTGGGAAAAGGCTCAGATGATATACAACCTGCTGGAGGACAGCAAGGTTTCTCAAATCCTGCACCCAATTATTGTCTTGGTGGGCATTGGCAAGGATGAAGCCAAGGCTGTAAAATTCCCCAAAAACTGTAAGCAAAACAGAATCAAGTCTTTGTCAACCCAGTCAGTTCCTGACTATGTTTTACTTTTGTTAGATCCAAGTTTAAAAGTTTTATTCTCTTTACTACAGGCCTGCTGATAGTGACCACGCCATTCACTCTTGTCCGTTTGCTGTCTTGTCACTGCTTTCTTTTCCTGCGACTGTACCATCTAGTATTAGATGAGGCTGACCAGCTCTTCACTTTTGCAACTGATGAGGTAACTGTTGTTATCAATAGGAGCCGTTACAATGAACTTTAAAATATGGCAGCAAAATAACACTTTTAGGAGTTTGTCTGCTGCTGCATGCTGTTATCTGGGTCAGCGGATTTCTAATTCTTCATGCCTTGGCCCTCCTTTGCAAACCCACAGACAATGCTACAAAATATGTAAAGAAATAGTGACTTTTATAATTTTTTTTCCTCACTTTTGTTCACTATTAAATAGTTGTTACATTCATCTAGCACAAAAGCTGTCTCAGACCTTCTGATTTTAGTCAGCCATGAGTTCTTTGGGTGTTTTGCAATAGAGTCCTACAACCTGGCTGCTGGATGGTTTCTTCTATCTTTTTCCTGTCAGAAACTTCTTGCGTTTGCTCCACTAGCTTGAGAGGCATAGCAAGAAGTTATTTTAACTTATTCTGACATGATTGAAAAACAGACAAGATTTTATGATTGAAAAATTAATGCACTTTAAAAAATGAATCAATTTTTTTCAATTTTTTCTCATCCTGCTTTTGACTTTCTGGGGTGAACTTGCCACCTGGTGACCGCCACTTTGACCGCCATGGACCTAAAGGTTAAATCAATTGTAATTAAGCTCCTAACTCAAAGAGGTCTGACTGTAAATGACACTGAAGTCTGTCGTGGGCACCCTCACTTAGTTGTTTAGTAGTTGGAATCACATGTGCATCACTGAACCATGGACCTATCAACTTTATTCTTTTCCAAACTAATCTGTCAGTTTCAATCATTGTCAACAACCATTTGTTTTGTTGAAACAAAGAAACATTGTACTTAAAGAACTGATATTTTTTGTTTCTGTGTAGACATAAGTATTTATGCTTTTTTTTTTTTTGTCCCAGATGGCAGCCATCCTACAACATTTTCAGAAGGTGACTTCCAGCGAGGAGAAAGCATTCTGTCCTCGGCAACTGGTTGCTGTGGCCAAAAGATGGACCAGTCCCATGGAGGATCTAATCTCTAATCATATGCCCCATCCCTCCATTATTATAACTGTCCCTGAGGAGGCTGCACTGTATGGAAACATCCAGCAGGTTGGTCAGATAAAAGACAGACTGTGGAGTTTAACTTGGGCAAAAGTTTGCAAACCATGCACTGATAATGTTTTACTGCTAATGAAGAACTTGATATTACAGTGACACAATAGTTGTGTCAACTGTAATATATATTACAGTGAGATTTTTGAGGAGTCCTTCTTTAATTAGTAGCGCTTTGCGGGGGTCAGTAACAGCTTAGTTCAGTACCAGAAATGATCGTGTAAGAAAAATCAGTCATTTTAATCTAACTTTTCTTTTCCTAATTAATGCTTAAGCCAAAGGAATCAAAATGGAGGCTTTGGGAGATGGAAGAAGGTTTGCATACCCCGAGTCAGATATGGTATTTTCCACCTGAACCAATGTTTCTCAATGTCTATCTTCAGGGTTCACTGCCCTGCATATTTTAGGAGTTTCCTCCTGCTGCACACCTGTCTCGTCATGTCCAAAATATGCAGGCAGTGGTCCCTGAGGACCAGCATTATTGTGGAACCAAAATATAGGAAACTGCTGACGGTCAGTAAAAATTCGTTAAACCCAAGGAACCATGCTTCTGTTTCAAGTAAAAGAAAAAGAAGAAATACAGTTTGGAATGAAATATGCAGTCTAAATATGTGCACTAAAATATCAATTTTTCTGACTTTGCATTTTGGTTTGTACAGGTTATCCTGATGACGGTTGAGAGCAACAAGATATCTGCCCTTCTGGGAGTGTTGGATTTCAGTCCTGAAGTTGGCCAAAAGACACTGATTGTTACAAATTCTGCTGAGGAGGTTGAAGATGTGTTTAAGGTGACAAAAGTTTTGACTCATTGTCCTGATGTTTTACGTTGTACTATAGTAATTCTTTTGTTTGTTTATTTTTTATTTCAGTTTCTGCTTTTCTATTGATCTTTTATTGATTAATTCAGCAAAGCAGGTTGATTATTTTTTATGGCATTTTACATCAGATTGAATATAAAAGTATAGTGTGGTTAAATGTAGTGTTGATCACGTTTTAACATATCAAAGCCTGACGGCACTCTGCTGTACAAGCTGCACCAAATAACTATTTGAACTTTGAACTATACAACTTCAAGAGAATTTATTTAATTTATTTTACCAGTCAAATCTAATGAGTTTCTATTTATATTGTGCCAAACTACTTCAGTGTGAAAGGACATAGTGTTATTTAATGTTTAGAAGTACTCACTGAATGCAGAGAAATCTATAATGTCCTTTACAGTTGAATAGGTAGTTTTATCTGCCACTTTTTGCACTCTACTGAACATTTTTGAATACTATCTCATATTGCTCTGTATTCAACAAGTCTGAATAAAACGCATTTGAAGAGCCAAGTATTTCCAGCAATATCTTTGGAAAGCAAAAATACCCATATTGTACATTTAAAATAATTTAAAATTACTTGTTTGTTGTAGTTGTAATTCTTGGCAGCACAAATGCTGCCCTTTTGAATTTCGAAGCTGCGACGCTGAGGCATACTGTCCCAATTCAATTCAGTTTTTGCAAATTTGTAACCTGCGCACTCTAACCCTTATGTTCACTTTGACAAGTTCACTCTTCACAGAGGGGTGTATGGTGTAATGCAAGGATTCAGACCAGGTCTTAGACATCTACAAAAGTCTAAAATCCTGTGGCACTTTTAGCTGGGAATGCTATTTCTTTAGCACTTTCTTCTTAAGAAATGTTTGTCATGTTTCTTGGGGAGATTTTCTTTAGCAACACATGCAGTTTAAAATATTCGCACGTCTGCTCTTTGTTTTGTGATGTCAGCCTCTTTCTTTTAAATTGCTGTGTAGATAATTTTTACTAGTGACACGTGATTCCCACACTCCAGAGGACAACGTTTTGTTAGCGACCTGTCCAATAAACTTCACCTCTTGCTTAATTACTGCTGGAGATGAGGGATAGGGACAGAAGTCGTACCAATAAGATGTCTGTTAACAAAATTTGTTTGAGCGTGTATTAAACAGGAAGAGTGTTTGCTACCAATGTCTGTGCATAGATGAGTGTATATAAAGGATGAATAGACTAGATAGATTTACATGATTCTGTATTGCAGGCTGTGAGCAACAAATCAGCATTCTGTCTCAAGATCCACAAGGGATTACTGGACAAGCTGGATGACTTTGTCATCCAGCAGTGGAGGAAAAACGTTGGCCCTGGCACTCATGTGATCCTGGGTAAATTTATTACAATTGTTGCTCCTGTTTAGGGGTGGGTATAATCATCCATGCAATGCAGTTATTGTTTCTAAATTCACGGTCCCTCTTAAATAAAATCAAGACAATTAAATAGCAAAAGTATTTAAGGCAATATTAAATTGAAAGTGAGTCAAATCATGTCTTGTAGAATTGAAATTGAACTGTAAGGTTCATTACATTACCCAGCATTACTCTTGTCATAGATTATTGTAAAAGTAATTAACCTAAAATTTTACAGAATTGTAATATTGCTGCTGTTTTTGCATTTGTTTTTCCTTCATTCTTCAGTGAGCACCAGTGAATGCTTGAGGGGCCTTGGCATCAGAGATGCAGCTTGTGTTGTCCACTATGGATTTCCGCCTTCTCCTAAAGTGTTTGGCTACAGACTCTTTTGCATGGCTGAAAACTTTCGAAGTCTACTTAAACAAGTAGGTTAACAAATTACCTACACAAAATCTTTTTTTCTTTTTTTGCAAATATACATGGTCTAATTTATGTAAATTCATCACTTGGCGGGGAGCCACAGATGGGGTCAGGTGGGACACAGACATCAAATGGGGAAAGAGGATAATATTCTATTCTTCTTCTTCTTATTATTATTATTCTTATTCTAGCAATTGACCAACACGGGTTTTTGAGGCAGATGGCAATATAACTGTTTTGACATCAGTCAAACTAATCTCCAGTATGTGCTGCCAATGATTTTGGGGATGATTGTTGAAGCTAAAGTAGTTTTTTCTTCCTCCATTTACATGAATAAAATGACACCATAATAACAAATGTTTTCCTACTAAAGAGAAGAGCTCTAGATATTTTCTAGTTCAAAGCTCAGATGCAAACAAAGCTCAGATGCAAACGTCACATTATCATCCACTGCTGTAGTTGTATGCAGAAATGTTCTGCATTATAGAAACTAGATTTGAGGGAATCGACTACAAAATGCGCAACACCTGCAATCCCACAATAAATTTCAGGCTCTGAATCCATTCTCAAGAGGAAACAGAGACACACTTCTGTTTCATCCTGCTCACAGTGAGACAGAAACAGACTTTCAAATTGCAGATGCAACTAAATAAGACAGAAATTCATCATTGTTGAAAACGTACCTGTTGGCTGCGAGTCTTACAAAATTACCAGCCGCTTTCTACCAGGGAAGGAGCTGCTGAATGTGTTAATGTATTGATGCACTTATTGGCTGATGTTCCTGTTGATATCTACCGTATTTTCCGGACTATAAGTCGCTCCGGAGTATAAGTCGCACCGCCATAAAATCTATAATAAAGAAGAAAAATACATACATAAGTCACATTTTTTAGGAAAATTTATTTGATAAAGTCCAACACCAAGAACAGACATGTCATCTTGAAAGGCAATAAAAATAGAATAGAGGCAACAACTGGTTGAATAATTGTACAGTATGCTAACATTACATGACAAACAACGAACTGAGAACGTGCCTGGTATGGTAAGAGTTATTCAGACAACTGGAGCATAAATAACATGCTAACAAGTTTGCCAAACTATCCGTGTCACTCCAAATCACTAAATGCAATAAAATCTTTATCCTCTGTGTTGCTTGTAAGCAACTCTGCTAAGTCTGAACGTAGAATAACACAGGCCTAGAGCGCCCTCTTGCGGTTTAGTGTGAAAATAACATGTGATATGATATACAGATGTGTTAATTTCCACACATAAGTCACTCTGGAGTACAAGTCGCACCCCTGGCCAAACTATGAAAAAAACTGTGACTTATAGTCCGGAAAATACGGTAATTTGTTCCTATGTGTCCCAATATGATGTTTATTCTATTCTCAAGAAACCTGGCTTGGACTCCTCTGAGCTTAATATTTACTGGCTCACTCCTACCTTAACATTTATCAGAGAGTTGCATTCATCGCAAACGTAAATTAAACAGCTATCCGAACTTGTTGCAAAAATATGTATCTATTGATGTTTTTGGACACCAACTATTAAGGTTTTTTTGGTTTGTGGTTTTCCCTCAGGATCAAACAGATGGTGGTTCTTCAGTCAGCAGATCAGTGCTGCTGATCTCAGAAAGAAATACTCGCCATGTTGTGGGAGTTCTTCGTTATTTGGAACGAACTGATGCGCCACTTCCACCTGTACTGTTCTCCTTTGCTGAGGGGGTGCATGTGGCCCGCGAAGACCAGAAGACAGATAGACCTTTTTGCAGCTACCTGAAGAGCTTTGGGTTCTGCAGGTATGGTTTAGTTCATTTATTTCAGATAAGTCATACTTTTACATCTCAAAAAGTGAAATTGATGTTGTAGTTACTGCTATTACCACATCAAGTTTATTTAAAGAGTCATACAATGAGAAGAACAATAACTTGATAGACTGCTAATTTTGCAGGTTTTCCCATTTGTAAATCATGTCTTTAGTCTTTAGTTTTCATCATATGTACTCTTCAACAATGAGTGTGAAACAAAAATCCATAAAATCTCATCCACCAATGCTATATGCTTACTCATACACGCAAAAACTGTTGAGTCAAAGTATTTCCATTGAATTTCCATCATCAACTTGAATTGAAGTATATATTTATTAATCAAACTAATTTCTGTTTACTATTTACAAACAGAAATAACAACAAATGAATGAATATACATCATTAATCCAGAGGAAATTCACATTAAACAAGTAAAAATGCATGGTAACTTTTTTTTTTCAGCTGATACCGATAACCAATAGTTTTGGAAAGAAATGATTAAACCAACATTTGCCAAAAATATCAAACAAAGACATTTTTCAAATGAACATCTTTTCAAAGAAGTCGCTGTACTTAATGATGCGAAAAAAATAAAATAAAGGCCTCTAGAACTGATGTAGAAATAAAAATAAATACTAAATGAAAGACGATAGTTTTTGTGGATCTTTACAATCCAAATATGCATGGTAAAACTTAGCCGAATTATCATATTGTACACAGACACCTCTTGACTTAGATTCTCGATTCTCTCCGGTCAATTAATGATCGGGTCAATCAGTATCAGCAGAAGGAGAAGTTTACATTTCTGCACTGTTACATGTTGCTTTCTAAAAACAGTAAGCTCAAGGAGTTGACCAAATTAAAAAGCAAAGGGACATTTCCAACAAGTCTGTGTGAGTTTGGTGTAAAAGTTGTTTTCTTCTAATTTAGGTATTAGAAAAAATGATCAGTAAGTGAAAAGATATCGCCACGTTTAAATTCTGTCCCTGCAGGGACAGGAGTGTGTGTCCTGATCGTCACAGAATCAACCCTCAGTCAGATCAGTCTGCTCTTCCTTCATCTGGAGTCATTGAAGTGAGAGAGTTTGGTTTTTTTCAAATCTTTTACTCTACTCTGGTTATACATAAAAACATAAAATGGATCATTTTCAAAATATTTGGCAAGATCAGTTTTGTAAAATGTCCTTCTGATGTATTTCTAGGTCTTACCGCTCTACATTAAGACAGCCTCTGTCTTCTATGGTCGTTTGGTCAAGCAGAATGACAAGGAGTTTGATAAAATGGCCTCTGAGATGATGTCTTATTATGCTGACAAGAAACCTGGAGCCAAAGAGCTGCTGGAGGGAGCTTTATATGCAGTTCAAGAGGATGAGACCTTCCACAGGTTTGTTATATTGGCAGCCATGCATTTTTCATAAGTGTTCTCATTCATATAATAAAGAAGAAAAATACATATATAATACATTGATTGGGACTTCAATCAATGAAGTGATACGTCACAGAAAATAGATTCAAAACAAACGGACACTTGAATTAAAATGAAACGGCAGAAGTGCAAAAATATATATTTATTTAAAGTTTATATTTTTTCTATTATCTTACCCATTTTAAGACTTTATAGTTGATGTTTAGGTATAGTTCAAATGTATTCCAATAACACATATAGCTAGTGATATTCTCAAATTTCTTGTCAACTTTTACTTTTTTTTTTAACTCAAAAACAGGCTGCTGGATTGATGCCATAGCATCCCTGCCATCGAGTTTTCTGGGGGAACTCTGATATATTTGTGATATTTTTGTAATGTTACCGTGTGTTTCCTGGCAGAGTGAAGATTCTGGTGCTACCTGATCATGGTGAAAGCATCTTTTACAATGTCTTGGTTCAGTTCATTGATATTGGAAAGGAGAGTGATGTCAAATCCCATCAGATCCTTGAGCTGCCGCCACAGTTTCATTCCCTGCCTAACCAAGCTGTTGAGATGGTGGTCTGCAGGGTGAAGCCAGCTGATGCTGAGATTGAGTGGCATCCAAAGGTCTTTCCACTTCCCCACATCACATCAATGCATAATCAAATCACTTAGATAATCATTAATCATTTTTTTATTAGTATTTTTACATTTTTTTTCTTTTCCCCAATAGACTGGGGTATCTTGATAAGTGATGACAGGTGGAAATAGCAAAACAGTTGGTGTCATTTTGGACAGTTTATAGCAGTTTACCAGATCCTTGATAGTGAGGTCTATGTGTCTTAAATTTCTTCATCAATGCCTACCAATAAGTGTCTTTCAGGAATTCCCCACAAACATTTGCAAACAGCTCCGATTTTTAACGTTTTTTTTAAAGGCACCGACTTTGCATATCAACAGGAACTCATTCAAAGGACGACTTCAAATACACAGCAGGCAGAAAAAAACAAAACACAAGTCAGGTCAAAGGTGCAGAGAAGAAAAAAGCCTTATTGTTTTGTGTAAGGCTTTAATGTGTAAAGCCTTAGACAATAAAAACCATTTGTTGTGTTTTCAAGCACACCGTGTAAGCAAACATCTTACAGTTCAAAACAGTCAATTTTTGCATATCACTGCCAATTGTGAATTTTTATTTTTATCAGTAAACAAAGGTGCTTATTCTGATAGTTATAGAAATGCAGTTAAGCTATGATTAATGAAAAACAACCCTCATGAATTTAAGTAAATAATAGTTCCCTACATCTGAAATAATTAACATAAGTGTTGACAATGTGAAGTTTGTCCATAAATTAAACATCTCCGCATGAGATTTGTGGTCTCAGCATCATCATACAATCCAATCCAAAATAAGGATCCACTTTGGGTGGCAGAATTCATTTACTAACTCAACTAATTTTTTTAAACAATTGATTGTGATAGTCACAGCAATCCTGTGATTAACCAGACTAAAAAGTTTAATTGTTTCAATGCCCTATTAATTGTGCTGACAACATTCCCAAACAATTCATTTTGAGATTTTCAATTGTTTGTGAGGTTGTGGAAATTTTTCTAAAGAAAGTTTATGCAAGGTACAAGATATAAGATTCTGTTTTTCCTGGTTCCAGGTCACCAGAGCAATTAGCAAGAAGATCCGAGGTCTGCAGCATCGAGCCAGAGCCGTTCAGTGCCTGGGGAATACAGTTTTTGTCGATCCTATGGTGAATTTCTTTTTTTTAATTTTATTGATTTTCAGAACTTTATGTGAACGAGAATACAAAAGCAAACACAAAAACAACCCATCTCAAATCAACATGGAGCACTGTAGTGTCTGTATGAAAACATACACAAAATACAAACGTTCCCTGATGTGATTTAAAGTAGAATGTCAGCAAGCTGTCAAAGGACAACAAAGTAAATACATTGAAGGTAAAAAGAAAAAAAGTCAGTTCTCATCTCCAGGTGATATCACAACTTATGTAAGAAAGATTGCAATGCTTTACAGATTCTCTCAAATTTGTCAGACTTTTGATGAAGATTAGGACTCAGTTTTCGACCTTAATAATGGCAGAGATTTGTGATATCCACATGCCGACTGTTAAGAACCCGACGTGCTGACCATCTCAGTACTGCATGTTTCTTCGCCAGAAATAAGAAGATTACAAGCAAAGATCTGCATGAAATAGAATGTCTGGAGCATGATTAAAAAGACAGAAGGAGGGGGTCAGCAGGAACTGTTTGCCTATGTTAATTTCTTTTTTTAACCTTGTCATTCAATCAGAGTTACATCTCTTTAATAAAAATTGCCATTCCGAGGGAGCAGCATGGTTAAAGCACTGGAGGCTGTCTCAGGATAGGCTCAAGCTATTTGTAAAAATTTCACTTCTATTTTTTAAATTTATTTTTTCAATCTGTCTTTCATTAGGTACGAGTCACTCAGATGCCAGGCACAAAAACATTTATAAATGAGTACAATGTGCAGACTGAGATCCTGAAGACGGGGATGGGAGTCAATAATCCCGAGCATTTAGACTTCTTCAGAGCAGCGGTTCAAGACAACAGCAGCAAAGATGAAGGTCACGCATCAAGGTTAGAAATAAAAGTTACATTCTGAAAGTAAGCTGGTGGGTACAAATCTATATTTACTTTCCTCATAAGAGTAAGTACAACATTCTTACTGTAATTTACAGAATGGGAGTTTGCTGCTTGGAGAAATGCTGTCTGTTTTATAAAGCATTGCTTGACTCAGTTAGTAGTTATTGTTGTGCTGTAAAAGTTCTAGTTTCATAATGTAGTTTCATCATTCTGCTCTTTTGATTAATTTTAATCACAAAACTCTAAATGTGCTTAAGGTAGAGCAATTAAAAACAAATGACAGTGTCAGTAATGTCACTAAGTGAAAACAAATCTTGGAAATATAAACCTTAAACGAAACAATAAGATTAAAACGCATAATTTGAAAGAATGTGGTCAAATTTGAAAAGAAAACTATGGAAAAACTTCAATGTGGGTCCTCATGCCTATTGTCTTCATTTTATTAAAATGTTCCTCAACATAATAGCATAATTAAACAAAGGATAATAATGCATTTATTGTGTAGGATAGTAATGTTAGGACCTGCCAGAGCCTGTTTGTGGGTCCCTCCGGCCCCACGGCTGATCTCTGGACTTCAGGTCACCAACGAACCCCAGACTCTCGTCTCCTCCGACGTGTCTGTGTCTAAACTGTATTGACCAGTAACAAATAAAACTGCATTTCATGTAATCAGGGGATTTTTTTCTTTTTATTAAATTGGATTTTAAATAGTGTTAGAATGATCATAAAATGTGTGCAGCAATGCAGACCCAACAACTAGAGGCTAACTGCTCATGTAAACATTAATTATGTGATGATTTGGAAAGAATTGTGAAATTCAGCAGAGATTTGCATTTAAGGTCTCACCTGTTTCTCACCTGTTGTGATGCTTGACAGTAGCCTGATCATATGACAGGTTAGTCAGATGCTTATTACCTTTTCAGTTTCATGTTGGGTCGGCTTTGGATTTTCTTAGCTCTGCTCCTCTTGCCTTGAAGGATCTTCATAATTGGACATCATTAGGTCAAAAATGTGATTAATTAAAGTACCATCTTGCTCAATGATTATACTATCATTTTTGGGAAAAGCCTTCTAGTTTTGTGGTCAATACTTTTTCACTGACTCAGCTCTTAACACTGGATGAGAGAAGCTCTGTGTAATATTGGTAACGCCCGATGTTGGTTATCTTTTAACATATTGGTTTCAGTCTAAGTAAAACTGGGCCAATATGAACAACCGATACTGCGGGGTGTGGTGATGTGGGAGTAGTTTGTTCAAACTAAGATGTATTTGTATGTTGTTGATGTTACTGGTGTTTTAAACAGAAATTGATTTATGTCTACAGCAACGAAGACAGAAGACTAATTTACAAAAGTAATCCTGCTGCCTCTTGGAGCCTTCATGAAAATGGTAAAATGGAGTTCTATCTCCACATCGACTTTTCACGTATTTTCAAAGTTGTGCTGTGTTATTGTGGAATGCTTTAATTGGCACTGATGGAGCACATCCCCAATAAAAGGATTTGGAGGGAACATGTGTTCAGAAACCATATTGATCTGCTGGGAAATGTTGATGGTGGTTCATTAGCATTTAGATTTCCCAGAGTGATCATCCTGGGGCTCTGTGCAGTCCCAATACAGAAGGAGCTGGAGCTGCTGACAGGTCGAAACGGTCATCCCTCCGTCAAGTCATTCCAGTTTTCTGAATGTGTTTGAATAGAAAACCTTTCTATTCTTTAAATATACAACTTGTATGCAGAAAAGTCCTAATAAATACAGAAGTCCATTGGCCTGCTTCAACAAACCATTCATTTGGGATAAACTTCCAAATTTGCTATTCACATTAAACGTCTCTCTAATGCACTGTCTGTCTTTAATCTCTGCTCTTTTGTTCCAACTAGTATTACCACTTGGATTATTCAACACTGCCTTTCTTATTTTATTTTTTTATTAGAAATTTTTTTTTTTTTTTTTTTTTTATAGATGATCTGGTCTTATTTTTTTAAGTGACCTTATGTGCCCTGAAATACACCTTTCATATTACAAAATATATAATTATTATCATTAGAACTACTTTAACTACTACAAGTAGAAGCATTGCTGTGGTTATTGGGACAAGTAGTGTCAGCCTTCCAGGTATTTATACTAATTTAGATATGTACTTATGGGTGGCGACCGGGCAGACCAGCAGCTTAGATCCATTTCCCGCAGATTGGAATATATATGAAGGAAAGGTGCATAGTCACCTGGGTGCCCATCATTTTGCACATGAATTTTTTTTTGTCCCTTCAGAAAGTTTTTGTGTGAATGCTGCACATTCTTTTCTACATGAGGCTCAGGTCATTTCTGCCCATTTACAGTAAACAATAGCCATTCCACTGTCACTAACACAGCAACCTTTTTTGGTATTTGCCAAAATAGGAATCAGCAAGTCAGGCTTTTTAAAGATTGGTAATCAGCGATTGGACAGAAAACTGCAATTGGTGCAGCCCTAAACAAAACTATTAATACATTTATCAGTTCAACCTGGTGGTTACTTTTCTGTGGGTAATCAGCTTTTGTGTGTTTACAGGTGAGCCTGATGGTGATGAGCAAGTTGTGTCAAGGGATGAAACAGTCTGCAATGACCCCAGAGATGAAACAGTCTGCAATGACCCCAGAGATGAAACAGTCTGCAATGACCCCAGAGATGAAACGGTCTGCAATGACCCCAGAGATGAAACGGTCTGCAATGACCCCAGAGATGAAACGGTCTGCAATGACCCCAGAAATGAAACGGTCTGCAATGACCCCAGAGATGAAACGGTCTGCAATGACCCCAGAGAAACAGTCTGCAATGACCAGTCAAAGAGGTGCAAAATAATTTTTTCTGTTAGATGATCTTTAGAACATTATTGAGTGGTTTGGAATTGGCACAACCTAATTTTATTACTAGAAAATAGGATGTATGTAAATGTCATAATTAACTTCAAGTCATCTTATTTGGTGGGAACTTCTTAAACAGAAGTTGTTCCAGTTCTATTTTATTAAATATAAGAATCTCTTTTACAAGGAAAAGTGACAAGTAACATTGCTGATTTGAAAATGAGTTTTGAAAACTTACAGCGTTAATTAAAAGTGAAATTGCATTTCAAACCTTTCTTGTGTTCTGTCTGGTTGTATTTCAGTTTATACCCTCAGGTTGTTTGGTACCAGACCTGTGACTCTGTAATTGTAACTGTGAAGTTGATGAACCCAGAGAGTCAACGCTGCGATTTCTACTCAGACAGAGTTGTCTACAGGTCAGTCATGATCACAACACTAAGAGCTCACTTATTGTCATTCTGCTCAATAATCAGTTTATCCTTTTGTTTCCCCACTGTATTGGTAGTGAGTACATACAATGAACACCTGTGCAGTTTGAACACACACACAAAAATAAGTTTGGTCTGGTTATGTTTTTCCTCTAAGATAAATTTGTAACACATCTACATTTCATTGTTGGGACAAAATGTTACTTCAGTTATATTTTGTGCAATCTCCTGTTTGACTCCTTTCGGACACTGCTTGTCTGCAGGTGTCTTGTCTGATTGCTTATTCACCTTTTACTGGTTGACACAGTGTCATATGTTTATACCACACTGTGGCCACACTCAGCCTTTTCAATATCTGAGAATCAACTACAGATTGGCCATTTTGGTTGTTACTGATTTTTATCTTTTAATGCAGTAAAAGTCATCTTAGTTTGTCTTAGGTAAACTGTTGTGCTGCCCAGGTTGGCTAAGTGATTAGCATCTTTTACCACATGGACTTTCTTCTCTCGTTTAGCTATTACAGGCTTTTTTGTCTGACATGAAAGTTAAGTATTAACCTTGCGATGCATTTACTCATTTTTGTAAGTGACACTAAAGTCACTTCTCCACTAGAGTGGCTATAATCAGTTGAGCCCAAGTCCGCCTCAGCCAGATCCATCTAAATGAGCAGATCCTGAACTTGTTTATTCATTACTTGAACGTTATGAAATGTTTTGTGTCAGATTTATCTTAAGTTTAGATGTTTACATTTCGGCTTATAGAAGCTCTTTAAACACCATCTCAGTAATTCTGCTTCAGTTGAAGAATTTGTTGACTATAGTAACTAACCATTTGCAAATTATTGTCACCTCAATTTGGCAGTGATTAAAAATAAAAAGTGAACTTTAAAACTGCAATGCTAAATGCAATGCTGTCAAACATTTGGGTGCACTTAAGTTTTATGTCCGTGCACCTAAGAAAAAAAGTCAACAGTTCAACCAGTAGAAAGTTAGTCTAGAGGCCTGTTAAACTCGATCATGAAAGAAGCGTGGCTTCTTTCATGATCGAGCTGACGCATCACATGCATCCCGGCCAAACATTAGCGATGCACCGATCCTCGTATTTCACTTCTGATACAGATATCTATAGATTGTGGTGATCTCAGTTATTTATTTATGTAATCATGCCTGTCTTATTTCTTATCAGGAATTGTTATTGGTTGAAATTATAATAATTCATAATCTAAATCTGCCAGTTATTTGAATAAAAGTGGATTCAGCTGTATCTGTGGATATGCAGGGGATCCAAATCAAAATTTGTACAGGTTTCTGTAGAAGATTGTGGCAGCCCAAATTCTGATCATCCGTAAAGTTTGACACATCCTTTACGGATGTGTCAAACTCATTTTCGTGTGTCAAACTCATTTTCGTTTTGGGCCAAATCAAGATCATGAAGGCTCTTAAAGGGCCAGTTGTTCCAGAACATGTTGATAAAACCTGTTTACAAACTGTTAATATGTCAATAAATTCTTAAAATTACATAATATTTTTTAACATCTTTTCAGTCCTTTCAGGAACTAATAATAAATGAAACTTTATTTACTCGCTGTATAAATCATGGACTATAATCATACATCAACTAAATTCTCAAGAAACTGGAGGAATTGATTGATATAAATTGGCAGTAAACATAAAAACTGCATTGATATGATTGATAATATAATATTTAATATATTTAGTCTAGTCTGTGGAGGGCCACATAAAAAGCTACGGCGGACCGTTTTTGGCCCCCTGGCCTTGAGTTTGACACATGTGTACTAAACTGTGCCTCCATTGAAGCTGCTGACTTTAGACTGAAACACTCTGATTCTGTTTTCACTGAAATAAAACTGTAAAAGGCTTTCTCTTGTGTTCAGTGGCAGAGTGAACGGACGTTCCTACATGGCTGATCTGGAGCTTCACCAGAAAATAGAAGCCGACATTTGCCACTGGGAAATGAAGTCCAATCAGCCTGTTCTTAAACTGGTAAAACAGCAGCAAGGACACTGGGAGAGACTCATCAGGAGTAAGGTACTGAAATCATGCTCACTCTGTCAAGATTATTTCAGCAGTAAGCTAGTACAAAGTGAGATGCATGGTGGAAATATAACACAGTTAACAAACAACACATAAAAAAACATTTAGTTACAGTGGCAGAATAAACAGACCTAACGAAAGGTTGTAATCCAGACCAGAATGAATCTGTCCAGTGAGAAACTGAAACAAACGTTGATGTTGAGAGGAAATGGTGACTTTAAAAAGTGGTTTCATTCCACAGAATATTTTTGTGAGTTACGACATGGACCATGTTGACGACTACGAAGACAAATCATCAAGTTGTAAGAAAATCCATCAAAGCTTTTTGAAAAATAAAAAAAGTGAAATGTTGGAGCTCATGCAGATGCTCATTGTGTTTTTTATTTTTAAAATTTTTTTTTTTAGGTCTGTTTGTGGAGAATACAGGAGAGGACAGCTGCTATCTGAACTCGGAGAGCAGCAGCGACAGTGACTGAACCCAAAATGTTCTTGTTATTTACATCTCTTCCTTTCAAGATATATTTCTGATTCCTTTTGTAGTTGGTTTTATTGTTCTCATATGTGGAGTTTAGATGGTTGTCCTTCAGAGGCCAACATTCAGAGTCTGAAATCCAGTTGTTTGGAAATTGTCATCTTTTTTTCTTTGTTTCAGTTGCAGATGAGCAAATACTAAAACATTCATTTTTATTCATGTACATTAAATTTAAGTCTGGGCATATAGGTTAACACACATGACTGTTTTCTTCCTTTAAAAACAACTTATAATCACATTTAATGATGGCTTGTGACAGTGTGGGCAATTGAGAAGCCAAATTCTCTTATTACTAACTTGTAAAAATTAAACATAATTTAATTGTTCCCCCATTTTTTGTTCAATTAATTGATTGGAAATGTGATAAACAATTTCATTACCTTTGAGTTGTTTCAAGTTGGGATCCAGATAGGCTCTGTGCATCTTGGTGTGTAATATGTATGGAGGCAGAATCCTGACAAAGTTAACAATAAATATGGAAATAAATTAATAGCTTGATAAAGTAATAAATGTGTCAAAAAAATAAGAACTTTGCCAACTTCTTTGATTATCAAATGTAGCATTCATTAATGTATAATTTTCAGCAATATTAATTTAACGTCACTGTCATTTATCCCACCTGCAGTCCAAAGAGGGGTGGAGTGAACCCTGTGTGAGCTGTTGACCCTGTGGGCCGTCCTGCTGGCGTCACGCTGATCTCACTGAGGTTTTTTTCCTCCATTGTTTTGGAAACTGACAGGACTCCCACATCACTTTCCTGCAAACAACACAGAAAAATTGCGACGTCTGCCACACTGTTCCTGAATGTCAAGGTAGTGCTGCGTGGACATCATAATCAAAAAATAAGAAAATTATAACTAAAATTTAAGCAATTTCTCTTTTGAGATCACTTGTCCAATTCAAAATAGTGATTCGGTAAATTCTGTTAAAAATGATCAACAAATACGGACATTAAACTGTATAATTAAATTGTAAAAAATATATTTTTTTGGATGCTATATTTTGCACATGACTTACTTTTATCAAGCCACTTACTACTTTCCATGTTTATTCACAATTTTGTTTGATCCTTTTATAAATATAAAAGGACAGCGTGAAATTGGGAATTAAAATTAGCCCACTGGTCCCAGCTTGAGATTTGCCAAGATTGGTACAGTCCAAAGCAAAATATGCAGCGCTATTGTTCAGTCACTTCTGTTGATGTAATTGACACCTATTTACAACAAATGCCACCTCAAGGTATTTTAATCAGATCCAGCTGCATGGAATCTAATTTGGTTCAAATTCACTTTAAAGTAATCCAATCGGTTAAGGTCCACGTTAATGGTCAGTGTAACTGAAATTTACAAATTGTATTAATAATACAGTGCCAATTGGTAATTGTCTACTGTAAGGAAGCCCAACCCAGTACATCAAGTAATTGACTTGTCAGCAATCATTCTCTTTGTTTTATTTTATACATACTGTTATACTTTTAACAGAAACAGACAAGGAAAAACTTTACTTATATCTTCAGAGTATTTACTGGGTGTTTGTGTCTTTGCCTCGAGTTTGTTAGTATGAAGTATAAACTACGCAAGTTATGATTTGTGATAACCACGAGTGTTGTTACTTTTTTATGAGAAGGCATGTATGTAAGTACACGTTTTTGTTGGTTGCCTTCTTGACCTTTGTTCACAACCATGGGAGAGCCCTTAGAGGAACAGTCCCAGGAGCTTATAGAGTTTAGCATTAGAGGAATTTAAAAAGGGCTTCCAAACTGCAAGGACTTGAAGAAGAGTGTCCCAAATAGTAATGGAGATGGCAAAAACTGCACGAGGAGTTACAGAAAAAATTTGGTTGCTACAGTTCCTTTTCCATTGACTTTAGTGAATAATTCTTTGCATGTACATTTTGTTTTTGGATAAAAATGAAAACTATATATATCTTGTATATTCCTAGTTTTGGGGAGATACCTGACATTTTCTAATCCTAAAAAGTTGTTGGTTAAATCTGCAGTAAGTAACACTAATTATTATAATTTCTTCTTTTTACATACTAAAATTGTCACTGTCCGACAGAATCATACGAGACAGATAATCTGTGAAAAGAATCAAGCTTCTTCACCTCCTCCCAGTGCTACTATTGCAATCTGTGGCTCCCAGTCAAAACGTCCAATCAGAGCCAGGAGGAGGGTCATAGCATTATAAATTACACTTGTGTATGTGCTGCTCAATGTGCTAATGGTGGAGAAACAACTTACTGTTCCAGGAAAACTGTCTACCTGCTATAATTGGTGACAGTGCAAACTAGTCAACATAAATGCTCAATCATGAGCATTTATGACAGGCTGTGCATATGGAAGAAGCTGTAGTATACCAGTAAGCAAAGGGGGGTTAGCATCATGTACACAAGGATTTTTGACAGAGCATTGTATTTCAGTTAAGGGTGCACGGATTTCATTTTTTTTGGCTGATCTCTAAAAAACCTTTTCCTTTTTTTTTTTTTGTCTGAAATGTTGCTATATATAATAAAGTTGCTGAATTGACAACAGTGGGATTGCCAACTCAGCTATTGATTAGTGCAAGCATGCAGACATGACCATGGCAGAGCAACAGAGGACAGTGGTTCATTTTTGACCACTGATCTTATCGACCTTTGCTGAGGTCAATAAGATGGGTGGATAAGTTTGGCTTCACATGTAGGTATCAGCTAATCACCGGTCTTCCAAAATTGGAAAGAAAAATGGGGCCGATTTATCAGTGCATCCCTAATTTCTGCAGCTAGCACTGGGAAAATGCAGAAGAGCTTAAGAAACATAGATTTAACAAATATATAAAAATATATTTCTACAACAGTTCCATAAGGCAGCCTTAGGAGAAAGTTTTGAATGTATATTGTGGACCTAAGTGTGTGTGTACCAGGAGTTTAGATTAAAGCTGCAGATAGTAACTTCTATTTAAAAAATGTTTTTTGCATATTTGTTAAAACTGTCACTATGTCCTGTAGGTAGAATATGTACGGCTTTATTGGTCAATCCTTAAGATAAAGTTGTATTGACTTATTTTGTTAATATTCTGTATCAGTTGAAGGACTTGATGTACTTTTACTTTTTGAACATTTGTTTGGATGCTGCAGTTTTACATTGTTTGTTAGATGTTTGAATTATTAATAAATGCACTTTCTGTTCTCATAAAATTGTTCTGCTCCTGCACCTGTTTTTTTTTTTTAATTTTTGTTTGTTTGTCTTTTTGTCTTTCAGATGGTTATTACAAAAGAGCATCTAGTCCCAACACCAGAACATACTTAGATTTGCAGAGACACAACAGTGAACTTTTTTCTGTGGCCACCAAAGCACACAGAAAAAAAAAAAAAAATCACAAGTATGCCTTAAATAAATTTGCTCAATATATATATGCTTATATATAAGCATATAAACTTAGCATTTTACAGACAGGCTTAGCAGGTGATTATTGATGTTGAGCAGTCTGGCAGCCAATGGGAGATAACTATTCCTGTGTCTGGCTGTTCTGCAGTGGATGCTACAGAATCTCCTGCCAGAGGCCAACTGGATGAACATGGAGAGGATGGGTGGATCTATTTTAATATTTGTGGAAGAATGAACATTTACCCCTGATGAGGTCACTGGAAAAACAGCTGAACAGGTGTTAGTGTTGCTAAAAGAACATTTGATCAATCCAGAAAGCTGTTCTGTATTTACAGTATGCAATATTCACTTTGGATGAGGTAATGAACTATATTTCCGTTTGAACGCAGTGACTATAGTGAAATGGGGCAGAGTAAGCAATTCAGACTATAAACCAGGATTATTATGAAAAATATAGATTCCACTGACTGATTGCATCGAGTGACCAGTAGAGGTCACTATAAACCTTTGTAAATTGGGTATGTACACACTAGTTAATATAAAAGGGAAGCGCTACTGATTACTGCTATTCTCATGACCGTGTGCGTTATTTCTATGGGCTGTGGGTTCGTGAGCCTGCTAGATGACCCGAAACGCATTGAACACACTGTAAACCCAAAAGGCTCTGCCAGTCCGGTTCTGGTTCCGTTCCGGGGAAGGAGAGGCAGCCTGAGCCAGACAGCTGTTTAGCATCCAAGTGGCCGCGGCTCTTGGGAGGCTGCTGCGGGGCTTTGGCTCCAACATGCCGACGTGTTGCTAACCTGAGGGACTTCATCACTACAGGTAAACATTCAGGGTCAGGGCGGAATCCTCCCGACCAGCGGACCTTTCACAATGGAATAGCTAGATTTTTTAGGCTGGCGTGTTAGGGAAGCTAACAGTTGTGCAGAGCTAATGCTAACGGACTAGTTTCTGACTGCTGGATTTATGTTGCTTTTTGTTTATATACTGCTTCTGATCGCATCTGAATCGGACACAACGGAGCGGATTCTCTTCGGTGGGATTTCCTCAGTAATTAAATGTTTTTAAAGTAATGGCTATGTTCATTTCTGTCTCAGATCAAACCTAAAACCCGCCGATGGTACAGGTTGGTTTGGATTGTTGAAATGTAATGCGATTATAATCGATTTTTGGTTTGCGTGTCACAGTTGGGTTTTGTTCCGGCGGAAGTTGAGCTGCCTTTAATAGCTGACTGCCGTGTGAACAGATGCAGGTTAAAGGTGGGACTCGAGGGTCAGAGGAGGTGCTATAGGGCCTCCTGCAGTTCATCTGATCCATCTCACTGTCTGCCTCAAGGAATTAGGTTTCTTGGTTTTGATCTGGGTCTGGTCTGCAGTTTCAGCACAGAAATTCATTTTTAACACCTGCCGCTTCATGAAGAGTCACCCAGCATCTTTTCAGGACACATTCTATTGAACGAATCTCCTTAAATGAAGAGGTCTCTTCTGTGTATAACCAGAGGAACAGCTGCTGCATAATGGATGGATGGATATTTAGTAAAACCCTCACACCTAGCATGCATGCAGCACTGGTGGATAGAAAAAAAACTCCCCTTTAACATGAAGAAACCTCCAGCAGAACCAGTACGAGCAGCCACCTGCCACGACTGACTGGGAGTTTCAGAAGACAGGCACAAAAGTCACAATAACTCATGGAGAAATACTTTCTGTATTTGCTACTTTAATGTCAGTACAAAAAACGTTTTGGATGGGCTTGTTTTATGTTCAACTGAATGAACAGATACAATGCTGTGAAAAATAATTTTCCACATTACTTTTCTCACTCACCCACACGCTTGCATCTCAGATCATCAAACACATTTTACATCAGTTTAACCGGAGTAAAGGAAACATTTTTGAAATTATGATTCCATTCATTGAGAGAAAAATGTAATCTAAACCAACCTGCTTGTGTGTTAAAGGTAACTGACTCCTAAACCTACTAACTGGTAGGCTGTCATTAAACATTTCTGTCAACGTGGAGTAAATCCAGCACATTTTGCAAAATAGTTTTAAGTCACAATCTACAGTTCCTACCTTTCCAGGGTGTGATAAGTATGTAAATAAGAGCATGGGGGAGAATTTATTTAACATTTTACCCTCTCCACTGTCTCCTTTCCTCCTTGTTTCAGTAGCTCCTTCCTCCATGACTTGTTGATTTCCTTTCTTTACAGTCCCATGTTACTACTTTCAGCACTTCTGTTTTTCTTCTCTTCTTTCTCTTTCTGTTCTCTGGCCCTATTTCTCTGCTTTTTTTTGTTTTACCTCAGTTTCTACCTCCATATATTTTTCTATTATTTCTTCCTTTTTCTCCTCATGTTTATTGCTGCCTTATGGATCAAGTAGATACAGAACAGACCTTTTTTTGCTAGCACTACTGTTGGCCTTGGAATGCTCTCATTGATGTAATTTTATTATGTTTTTATCTCTGAGTCACAAGTACTGATCTTCGTCAGACTGTAGATTTTCAGTGCTGTAGCTGCTTGATGTCACAGGAAGTGTCTTGAATGTTGTGTTGCTGATTGTTAAATTATGTGGGTTATCTCAGGTAATTCAAGATTTAACAGGAGAATCAATAACTTTCCCATGTAGGCCCAGGTTGTGTTAAATGAAATCATTTGGAAACTTCTGTATTTATTTGAGTTGCTTTACAGAAGTGAATAAATCGATCTTGAACATTTAAGTGTGACAAGAGAATCTGTATGAGGTAAATAGTTTTCACAGCTCTTTAGAACCATGACTGTGTATCTTATCAGTCGTGATGTCAACATAGCATATTATTGATTAGCCATAATCGCAGCTTTAGTTCTGCTGCTGTAACAACAACCAGGCTCCGGCCGAGAGAGCCGCTTTAATTTAAAGTGTGTAATAAGTTTGATGTGGAGCCACAGGGGATGGACATTCCTGCGCAAACATCCGACGCTGTTTGCTGGGAGTCCATGAGCTCACGAGGACCTCGGCGGTCATGTGACTCAGTCCTCTGCTTCATCCTCACTCAGCCGCCTGACCAGGGGCTGATCAGATGGGGAGACTGTTTGCGGTGGCTCCCAGTTAGCTGGTGTGTCCCTGAGCTGAGTGAGGATGAAGCTGATCTGGGAGCGGAGTGATGAGGTGAGCTGCTGTTTTATTGCTGCAGAGACTCAGATGAACTGGGTGTGGAGACCATTCAGGTCAGTCATCTGATCTCTGTAAGGATTCTTCAAAGGGCTGGTTGTGCTTTATGCTTTATGTCAGCATGTTAACAGTTTTGCCTGTTAATGCTGAGATCTTTGGTAATAAGATTTGGCTGTAAAATATTGATGTGGTGTTTGCAGTGAAGTTAACTTCAGAGAAAGAGACAAACAGGAAAAAAATTATTTGAATGACAAACTAGATCAAAAAGTTGACCCACTTGAGGACTGATGTTCACTTTAAACTATTATCACAAGAAACATCCTGTCAGCCATCTTGGGGAGGGATAGATGGGCACACAGGTGAAAGTTGATGCAGGTCTTGTTTTCTTGCTGTCACATGACTGCCTTAAATGAATGTGTGATTAACAGGCTTGTGCAGCCCTGGATGGCATGTGAAAGCAGCCATGCAGGTATTTGAAACATGTCTACTGGAATAGAGACGTATGTTTTATGTGCAGACAGTGGGGCCTGAGGACCAGGATCGGGAACCACTCAGAGCTTCTCTGGGATCCAACACTCATCATGGTGTTCCACTGCTTCCTACTGCTCTGTGTTTGGATCCTGCAGCTCTTTGTATCTACGTGTGGATGTTTTTGCTGAAACACATTACTTATCATATCCTGATGTAGTTTATGCATATTCCTGAAATTATGTCTGTATGTAAAGGCTGAAGAAACGCTCAATTGGTCTGTCTGCAACACCACAATGTTTAACATTGATAAGACAGTTGTGTTAAATGCAGTATCTTTGTTCTTTTTGACAGTTATGTGCTGTTTTCTCATTTTCAAATCTGTAATAATCCTTACGAACACCTGCTGGGAGCAGTAAATACAGCCATGCAGCAGATTTGTGTCACACGGTCTGACCGCTGGCGTCTGTCCAGGTTTTAGAACAAAGAAAATGATCAAACCTTTACAAGAAGACAAAAGGAATATATCGAGTGAAATGTTTATGGACAAATTATGTAAAATAAATAAATGTGGCTGACGACAAAGGAAAATTTTAAGTCATTAGTGTCATTTTGTTGTGGAAATTAAATGGCAAAAATGCAATTCTATATTTATTACACAATCATATTTAAAAACATACTCAGGTTTTAAAATTTTTTTGGACAAAGTTACATAAATGAAGTTTCTGAATGTTAATGTTGCGCAATATTTTCTGCTGCACTTGTAGTACTGTTGTTGATCGAATTTCCTCATTGTGACATTAATGAAGGACTCTTCCATTCTATCATGTCGGTAAGACTCAGATCTCTGAATGAGCTTTCTGACACCAGGAGGAAGAATAGACTGTTCTGAAAGGAGAAGTGGTTTTAGCCCTGGTCTGGCAAGCTACTCCTGATAGGGTGTCTGGTGATGACACAGTACTGTTGCTTTACACCAAAAAGATTTCCAGGGTTGAATTCATTTTAAATTACAGAAATACTTTATTGATCCCAAAAGGATTGTTGTGACTCAAATTATTCAAGACTTCAAAGAATTGTAGATGGTGATGGCTGTGGCAGGAAGGATCTCCTGTAGCAGTCTGTGTTACAGCTTCAATAATCCAACTGGAGTGTGTTTTTCTATGACTTACTAATGAAGAAGATTTAGAAGGTTTATATTTTGGCTTTGTAGGCCTCTGATTACGCTTGGCATATTCTCCTTAAATGCACAGTAAAAGAACAAGACAATGAAACGAGGATTGTAATCATTTGGGTGAGTGAGGGTACTTGTCTCTTTTGTCTGGGTTGGCCCAGTTGGTGACTTGTCTGAAGAACCCTGCCTGTTGTCTGTTGGCTCCAGCTGCCCGCTGTGACCCTGAACATGAGTCGGCTACAGAAACAATTGTGAAGATTCTAATAAATTAAGTACGGTAGATTTTGCCTCACTTGTTTCCTCTATAATAAAGTCCCAGGATAACCCTGGTTGGAAATTTGAACAATAAAGTGTTGATACATTCAAACCTTGTGTAGTCACCAGGTTAACAGACCAACATTGTCAGTTAAGTTGAGTCTTGTTCATTCATATTCCTAAAGTTGCTTTGTTACCTTGACGCTGTGCTTCACCTTGTGCGGTTTAAATTGGCCGGGTGGCGCTCTGACTGGAATGTTCCTCATCTGCAGCAGAGATACAAGCCTGCAGCTCTGGAAGAAAGGAAACTTCACTGATTGGCAAAAATGTGGAAAACATCTCGGCCATGACAATGTGAAAAGAAAAACAGTTCACCCTCTCCCACTGCAAAATAAAAATGGTATTTTTAGTTTGAGGCATTGTGGAAACCAGATTTCAAGCTGTCATTTTCTCAGGCTTCACATATGAAATTTATTTAAATGTGTTTTTTGTAAAACTGAACATTTTCTTATTTGATGCTGTAAACTCTTTGAAACAGTCATATGGTGTTCTGAGTGTCTGCAGGATCATATGAAGTGTACCAGTTTTTTTTTTTTTTTTTAAATCTCATAAGCAAACCAAAACTTAAACTTTGTCCTGCTTAGCTCTTTTTTTTTTTTTCAGTGACATTGATGTGTATTGTTGATTTCCTGTGCAGGACCCAGACCTTCAGCTCCATATGGCTGTGTATGATGAGAACATCCTGAAGAATCCTTTTTACTTGGCCTTGGAGAAGCAGAGACCTGACCTCTGCAGCCGCGTTGCAGACTTCCACGGCATTGTGAGTCATCTTTCTCTAGAAGTTCCTTCTGTTTATAACTTGTTAATATTTGCACTGAGTTGACGACTTTACAGCAATCACTTCCTCTGAACATCGATCATGGATGTTCAGAACTGAAGGTTGGGACAAGAGTTATAGGAATTATTCTCGTTTTAAAACTCTTTCAGAAAAATGCTACACAAAACAAAAATACAAAGGATTTACATTTGAGATTTTTTTATTTGTTAAAAGCATGACTGCTACCGTTGGCATTTCTCGTATAGCTCCATTTACTTGTACTGCCATTCAACTACATTAACTGAGGTCCAATAACAGGATTTTGTAGAGCAAAAAATACTTTTCTAAGGTTTTTTTTTAAAAAAAAAAAAGAACTCAGCCAAATGCTTCTTGTACAACTTCTCTCCTGAGGATCAGAGGAAGGCAGGGTGGCATAAAATTGAACAAAAGTAAGAGTAGCCATACTTCAACATATTTTTACTCATGTAAATGTAAAAAGTAGCCACCGAACAAATTATTTGGACAAAAGTATTTGGTAAGACTCAAGTACTGAGTATCTGATCAAATTATCAACCAATGAATATTTTAAACATTATATAATTTTTATGTAGAAATTGTGTAATTTTTACCAAATGTCCAAAAATTTAGTTGAAATTTTGATATTTTAAGGACAAAAATGACAATAATGTTACCTTTATTAATCTGAAAAAAAAATTTCCAGATCAGTTTCTTTCAAAATAAAATTTGCGTAACTTTAACAAAAACTGCAGGTGTGTCTGTGTCTGGTGAAGTTTTGGTTAAAACCCGTTTTTTCTTCATTCAGTGAAGTTACAGTGGGTAAAGAACCCAGCATTGTTACTCAAGTGAAAGTAGCAGTCCTTCACAATAAAATTACTCAAGTAAACATAAACAGTACAATGCAGTGTATGTGACAGGAAGTGTGTAAATACAACTCCAGTTTTGCCTCCTGGGTCACTACTGCTGCTGGGAAAACATATTTTTGTATGAACAGATATATGTATATGCATGTCTATGCTTTTGTGCATAGTTAGACTTTACTATTCCATGTTGTGTTGTGGCTCAGACAAGCTGAGCTTGAGACAGTTGAGTCTGATGGCCAGCTGCTCAGCGTCTGCCACAGGTGACTGGTGAAGTCTCTGCCTGCTTTCTATTGGCTAATATTGCAGAAGGGAGAATGTACAGTATTCATACTTACACACTAATTGAATTGTAATCTTCAATCCAGGAAACACCATGTAAATATGTCATCCACATCCACTCTTAAAAAAGATGAATTGTGGGTAATGTGGTTCTAATCGACTGGTTTTAATTGTGATCGGTTACCAACCCATTCATGAAGTTCCTACAACTGTAATTACACGAAATGCAATTATTCCATTTCTGTTCATTCCTATCATTTCGGGCATCTTCATCTTCAGTTTGATAGCACTGCTGTTAGTCATGGTAACTGAAGTTCATGTGGGGAGCTCGGTTTGATAGCAGAACCCTTTTTCTGTCTCGCCTCGTTGAAAACCTGCAGGTTCTGGTTCCGTGTTGTGGAAGTTTGAGTGCGAGCAGCTTCTCAGACTCTCACTTTGACAGCTACATCCTGCAGCCTGTGGAGGAAGGATACAAGACTGTGAATGGAAAGGTTTGTCCATTTCTATATTAGTCTTTAAAACCTATTGCCTGCAGTCTCTGGAAAAACCAGGATACTCCCTTTAGATATGAAGATTTTACAAAATCTAAACATTTAATCCAAAATCTAAATGTTTTTCATGAGCTTTTTTTATTTTAGCTTCATGTCTGTTCTGGTAATTTCTATATGGAATCTGTGGACTCTTGTAAAACCAAATCACTTGTGTATGAAACCCAAGTATTTTACAGAGTTTAAATAATTTTTACTGTCAGGAATTGTGAAGCCAGATGTTTGCATACACTGCATAAAACAATAAGTAAGCATTGTTTCCACTCTAGCTGATATTAAATCTTACTAACCTGTTACCTTTTAGGTTAGGTATGATTACCAAAACTATTTCTACTTGCTAAACGTCTGAAAGATTATTGAATATTTGTGATCATCTTCAAATTCAGAAATGTACTTCCTCCTTTTTTAATGCTGCTTTTTGTATATTTGTTAAATCTGTCACCATATTGTGACATTATGGTACAAAACAGATAATCTGAAAAAAATCAAGCTCTTCCAACTCCTCCCAGTGCTACTGTTACCAGCTGAAGAAATGCACCATTCCTGGTCAAAAACAAAAAATCAGAGCCAGGCCAGGGGAGGGTCTCAGCGCTGCCAATCACTCTCAGGAGTGCGCTGCTCAATGTGTTAATTGCAAAGAAACAACTCGCTCTTGGGTTACTCGCATTTTATTTGATGTCATTGGTGGCGTTAGCGCATACACAGACATAATTTACAGCATTAAGTCCCTCCTCTTGGCTCTGATTGGTTGTTTCTGACTGCAGTGTGTTTCTGCAGTTAGAACTGGGAGTACTGGGTGATGGCAAAGGAGCTCACATGATTATCTGTCTCATCCTTTGCAGTCATGGTGACAGTTTTATGAAATATCTAAAAAAAAATGTGTTTTTTTTCACTAAAGTTACACACCCCAGCTTCACAAGGTTATTTTATCAAAGGAAAAAATCCCTTTAAACTGTGTGACTGTGGAATTGTAAACCAGCCTAGATGCTGCTCTTCCTTGGTTAACGCTGTGACCATTTTGGAGCATAAGTATTTTGAAAATCTTTTTGTAATGCATAACACTGTTGACCCGATGACTTTGTTTGCAGAATATCAAAATCCAGGACAGGCAGGTGTTGCTGGGCCTCGGCTCCCCAGCTTCGTCTGTGGTGCCCATTCTGTTTGAGGAAACCTTCTACAACGATCAGGAGCAGAGCTACAGCATCCTGTGCATCTCCAGACCGCTGGAGGTAGAGCTGAGCCCGGCTGAGGTCAGTCCACTGCCGGCGTATTGTCTGAGGAGCGTGGAGGATGTCAGGGAGTTCCTGGGTCATCACTCCCACAAACTGGACAAGTTCATCCACAGTTTCTGTCAGGCTTTCAGAGAGCAGGAGAGGAAAGGCCTCCGATACTACATTGTAAGGGACAGTCTGTTTGCTTAAACATGTGAATGATTTATTCTTGTTCTTTGGACTTCAAATTCACTATCCTTTTAGTTTCCCCGCGTCTGCTTTACAGCAGAGGATATCCATCACATGAAAGAGGTTCTAAGTGTTCTCTCTGTGTTTTATTGTTCCATCAGGACTCTGTAAACGGACTTTACACTAAATCTCTTCAGTGCCTGCTGAGAGACTCTCGTCTGGTGAGTAGAAACTAGAAGCTGTTGGTATATATTTACTGAGGTTCTGAAAAGCCAGTGGTCAGGTGCAGGAGGAGGTCACAGGGCGATGACCAAGCATTGCCAGTGGTGCAGAGTTAATCCTGCCGCCACTCGCTCCAGGGCCTTGCTATGATGCCGTCATGACAGCACCAACTGACCTTATTGCACAGGTTTCGGACCTGCTCAAAACAGTTGAACTCTCACAATTTATCACATAAAAGAGAGGGATTGCTCTGGTCTCCAGGACCGAACCTCCTAACCCTAACCCGGGTCAGACCATCCATGTTCTGTCTGATTTTATAGTCACAGTACAGGATCCTGTTGTGTTGAGACAAGCAGTTGCAGCAAATCATTTACTTTTCTGTCCTTGTGTTTTCTAGAAACTCCTAGCAAAACAGGAGCTTCAGATGACTCTTCTCAAACAAGCTGTGGGGGTAACCTGATCAAGTTTGACTTTTCAAATCAGCTTTTCAAATGCAGATGTGCATGTGTCTGCCACAACAAATGTGTGAATCTTATAAGCAACCTAGCTGATGCCAACATCACAGGATAACCAGAATTACAGCAGAGGTCATACTATTAGTGTATTTTTTAGGGATGCTAACTTTCCCTTCTTTTTTCAGATATATATCCATCATGGTATCCATGATTTAATATTTAACCTTGTGGGGACTCTTGAAGCTTGTCAGGTAAATAAATCCCACTTAGTAACATTTTCTATTATTTCTTCCTGGTTTGTTTTCCCTAAATATAAACACACATTTGAAAAAAACAAAACACATTTTTCTGCTGGAAGCTGTCTCACATGAGTGATTTTCTTCAGCTTACTGGAACATCGTTTCCCTTTTGAGTGGAATTCTGTTTTTCAGCTATTTTAAAATATGTATTCTGATAATTATATTAATTTATGTGTTTTAGTATTTTTCTATTTTCAGTTAGAAACCGATGTTGCTAATTAAAAAAGGTAAATTGAGAATATTTGTTAAGCACAATACAGGGTGAGGAAAACTAAATTAATTTGATGATAAAATACTCTTTATTGTAAATGTTATTTTCATTTTATATTTTATATACATTATTTTGCTATGTTTCTAGACTCCGAATAACTATCATTAAAATGAAATAAACATTAATAGTCTTGTATGATGTAAAATATAATGAAGAAAAAGTTTATATTTTCAAGTACCTGCTCCACACTAACTTATAAGTGTGCCTGTGAAAAATCTTTTTAGCTTGCATTTTCTAAATATTTTTCACTTTCTGCTCCCTGCATCCCAGAAACAACCGAAATCCAGAACCTCAGCTCAGCATAAATGTTTCAAATCTAGAGTTTTGGTTAAGATTAAGGGGAAATCTCTGGGATTTGGGCTGAATGTCCACTCTGAAAAGCCTTCAGCAACATTAGATCTACTACTTGCAGCTCTTTACCAAGGCTATCTTTGCAACAAGGCATTCTATATACCCAATATTTTGCAAAGACATAGAATAAAGAAATATTTAATGACATGTTTATTGGGCCATGATTTTCCATTTTATAAAACCTGAAACAGTTTAGCGCACAACTTTTTAAAAAATCAAAATAATGATGTCATTTCCATACTGCTCACTGAATTTATTGAAAGTCACAGTATCTTTTTTTGCAGCTGTAGGTTTTTCATAATGTTGGCATTGTGACGGTTCTCTGAAGGCTCTTCTGATTCTCTGCTCATCAACAGGATGCTTCGTTTAATAAAATCACCAGGAGTCTTCAGGACCTGCAGCAGAAGGACCTGGGAGTGAAACCAGAGTTCAGGTTGGCTAGATGCTCAGCCGCTGATGTAATGCAGTATTCACATGATGATATAGTTAAGAAACATGTCCGAACTGAGATCCATATGTTGGCAAGGCAAACGGATTCTGATCTCAGCTGCGGAACAGTTTTGGTAAACTCCAGATGAACTAAAAGTTTTAGTTTAAATTCTGCATCTCAAAGTGGTGAGGACAGTAAGCTATTCTTCTGCTCCCTTTTAAATATGCAACCTTTATTCTTTGGTTGAAAATGTTCAACACTAATTGCGCTTCCTTAAATTTGATTTCATATTGTATGATTTTGGTATTCATTTACATATTTGGAATAAATAGCGCAAGAAAAAACAGAAAATGAACATGCAGACATGAAGTGCTCATTTCACAGAGTGAAGCGTCTGTCTGTGATTCTCCATGTTCTCTGCTGCTGCACTGTTTTTCTCCAGTATGAACTTGTCTCGGGCAAAGAGAGAGCTGAGTCAGCTCAACCAGCAGACGTCCCCCCTCCTCAAAGTGTTGTGTCTGCGCAGAGTCGTCCTCACTGCCACCCTGACGCCCAGATGTACAGGTGAGCATGACAGCGAGCCTGTGTTTAGATTTCTACTGGAGATGCTTACGTGTCCATGTAAGGACATACTTTAGAGGAAAAACGGTACTAATCTAGACTCATAACATATTGGAGCAATCTACCCAGAGACCCAATTCTGCCAGTTTTAGGATAACGGGGTAAAAAAAATGAATATTTAAAAGGTTACATGGAAGAACATAATCACATCACAGCATTTGCAATCCTAAATCAGACTAAAGTTCACTCAGTATGGGAGGTGATGCAAAGTGTGCAGTCGCAGTGGTAAAATATAACATTTTGTTCAAAATAAAAGTCTACCTGAGATCAATTATTTTATTCATCCATTGAATCAATTTAAAAATAGATTCTGCTTCATTTTCTTATGTCTTTTTGAGGAAGCACTAATTCAAAATGTGGGGAGGGGGAACCTGATTTCAAACATGGCGGTTTAAACGAATCATATTTATGTGATTTGGTTTACAAAAGGTTATTAGTGTGAGGAAACTCCTTTTATTAAAGATCTAATGAAGAAAAATTGACCCTTTAAAGAAGCTGTGTGTGCAGTCTGAGTGAATTAGTCTGGGACCTTTCTGAGCAGCAGCCTGACCCCGCTGTAATCAGATCAGCAGGCAGCACAGTGCCCACTGTGTCAGCTGCCGATCCGTTTGTTCATTTTGCTTTGACTCACAGCAGCACTACTGTTTGTGTTCAGAATGGCATGATCATTCCTAATTTGTGTTTGTCAAAAGGCCAATTTAGGCATTTGCTTTGGACACTGGGAGAAGAGCTGTTAGTGTCTGGAATGCAGTGATTTAAAAGCAGTCTGAATGGATAAAATTGTTGTTTTTGTATTTTTTTCTGTAGAAAAGAAAGTTGATTTGTTGAATTTTGTTGCTTTTTCCCTCCAGTGAGTATCGAAGCCGTGAGTGCAGATGATCTCCTCTCTGTTGTCCTTTACCTTTTGGTCAAGACTGAAATCCCCAACTGGTGAGCATGGAGAAGATCCATTGGGAATGTTTTCCCTGTATTTAAAAAAAACAAAACTGAAATTATCCAGACAGGCAGGAAACGCCCTCTCAAGGGTGAACATGTGCTACAGGTGAACTCATTCTGAAAAACAAACATGTTTGTTAACTTTCAAGCCTCTCAGATTGCTAGAAAAAAAGAGGAAATTCTCACACGTGCCCAAGAAGACTCTGAGTTATTTTCTTAAAGACTGAAATTAATGAAACAGATTCAATTCAGATTAGAGAGATTATTAGTAAATCTGTCTAAATAACAAGTTTTACAGTGTGTAAGTTCACAGGAGATTGTAGTTTCCTTGGGAACTGGCCGTCCGGATGCAACTATCCAGATATATTTCTGCTGGAGGTGGTTGTCTTACTCCATTACTTTAAAGGGGTGTCATTATGTAAAGTTGACTTCTCTGTGCTTTACATTATGTTACAGTAATATTCCCTCAAACATACCTGGATTCTTGATTCTTTCTTGCATGTTTGAGCAATCCTTTAATCTCCAGGGCAACCATTGCAGGACTTTTGGAGGGTGTCCAGCGATGCGTTCAGGGACAAAGCTCGTCCTCAGAGCTGCAGTTTTCAAGCTCTACATTTCAGAGCTCACACCTCACCGTCACACCTCATTCCCACCAATTAGCAAACAGCTGATGAAACTGTGCATCAGCTGAGCTCATTATAGGGGCTACTTCTCAATGCACCGCTGGTAAAACCCGTGTTAAAAGCTTAATAACCCTGATGTTTTGGTGACTTCCTGGAGGGGCATTGTTGGAAAGAGCAAGAGTTTCTTAAAGAGAGAGAAGCCCAATTTCAAGGTGTTAAATTAAGAGATAACATTTCTTTCAAGTAATATTTGATATATATCACATTTTTTACAACTGAAAATAACATAGTTACTTGATTGTACTATAAAATGGCATTATGTGGCTGAATAACACATCATACTGGCTCTTAAATGGAGCCTGTCAAACTTGTAGGTTTGATGTTGGTGTCGGGTTTAACTTGGGCTTTCAGTTCCTCTTCCCTGGAGTCCGACTGTATGTCAAGATTGTAACTTAATTTATTACACGAGTGAAGATTACAAAACCGCATTGTTTAAGCATCATTTAAACTTGCATGTCACACAGATAATGCGTTTTTTAGCTCTGCAGGCTGATTGTTAAACTGTTGTTTGCTTCAGGATGGCCAACCTTAGCTACATGAGGAACTTCTGCTTCAGCAACTCCAGCAAAGATGAGCTCAGCTACTGCCTGAGCACGTTTGAGGCAGCAGTGGAGTACATCAACCTGGGGAAGCTGCAGAACACGTGCTCTGTGAGACACACTCTGAAACGGCATGGTGGATCTCAGCAGATATGAGACGGCTCTGAGAGGGTTGCAGTTATTGTCATTATTTTTTTTGTCTCTTGCTCTCAGGTCACGGGTGAGCTTAGAGACAAAGCTCTATTCAAGGCAAGGATGAGTCTGCTGACTCAGAACGTGGCTGCTCCCGTCCTTCGCCTGTTTGAGGTGAGCTGGAACACTGCAGCTGCTGCTTCTCTAAACCCACCTGTCATTTCTGCAGGGCCACAGAAACCTGTAGCCCCTGTTCATGTGGATGCAGCCTGGTCGTCAACTCAACACAGATGTTTTTTTTCTAGAGACTTATTGGACTTGAGCTAAAGTCAAGGTCTCATCAGCCACCGGTTCTAGAAATGCAGCTTTTGTACAGTCAACTGATTAACACAACCTACTAATTAACATCCAGATACTAATGAATATTGGCCTATAGCTCACAAAAACCCAAAAAAAGTCCAAAAAAAAAAAAAGTGACAGAAAACAAATAAACACCTGAATTAAGACAGGTTTTGAGATAATCTCTGCTTGAAAATAATACAAACATATAAACAATTCAAACCACTCAGTAACTTTGTATTACTGACACTATAAATGCTAAATAAAGGTTTTATAAAACTGATTTCAATAGTTTCAAATAAGCAGGATGTGATTGGACACATTCAGATCAAAGCTTGTGACACACTGACCATGTAAAAACAGGAAAACAGGAAGGGAATTGCTTTTACTTCTGTCCAAGATAACAATGTTGTCCTGTCTATGCACCGTTTTCTGAAATCACTGATCTGTGACATTTGACATTTATAGTTAAGGCCAAAGTTATTCCTACAGCCTCTGTAAGGTTTATGTTCTAATTGATTTTAAGCTCATGTTTCTTTTTCTAAATGGAGTTATGACATTGTGGCTCAGGATATGGGAGAAACTCTGGATGAACTGAAGAGGTTTCCAACTTGGAGATCCATTTTCAAAACCCTGGTTGAAACAGGCAAAATGCTTTTAAAAGGCATTACTAAAAGGCTTAAGTACTGTAAAGATAAAGATCCTTTTGAAATGGCATTTGTAAATAAAATATATAGACGTGATTTTACCAAACTGGCACTGTTCTTGACTTTTTTGTGGTCTTCTGCCTCCTTTCCTTTCAGAAACAAAGTTTGTGGTTGAATGAAAGTGATTTAATATCCAAATCTGCCAGCGATATGAACAATTTTGGCTTTAACTGTGCGATGTTTTATCTACATAACTAAACTTTAGATGTAGTTGCATTGTAAAGGGATTCTTCCAAAGAAGTGAAGTGTAATGTCACAAAGTCTCAGAATTTAACTTGAATATTTGTTTTATTGTGGTGTGGTTTTGTATTCCCTCAGTATTCCTCCAGAGCTGTTCTCTTTATTAAAGTATCTCTTCTGATATTCTTAATCTGTGCATGTCCTGCTGTCCGTTGGACCAGTTCAAATCCTGTTTTCTGTCTGTGCTTTTTAGCACGTAGCTAATGGAAATGAAGCCGAAGTGGAACGTCTGCTGAGTGAAGGTGAAGCCGATGAAGATGTCAGGATGTGTCATCCTCTTTGTTCCTGTGACCTCTGTGACGGCCATCTGTCAGGGTCAGTGTGTCATACAGTATTCACACCCCTAGATTAGAAAAGAAGGCATCCCACATCGCTTACCACATCTGTGACGAAGAGACTAAATCATTTCTGCATCACACCAATCAGGAATAATATAACATGTCTGTGCATATATAGATGTATGACTGAGTGAAAATTTGGTTCGTCAAGGAGGTCAAGTGAACGCCTCAAATCCAGAAATACTGTCTGTTAATGTACATGATGTGTGACGTTCATGCTTTGCATAAAGCATCACATGTGTTTCTTAAGGAACCAACGCAGATAAAAACAGCCATCTACATTTTCCAGGTTGTCCACAAAGGGCATCTTGTTCTTCATTCAGTGCCTTGATGGCCTCATGCAGACAATGTTTACCCGATGTCACAGGATGTTCTTATCTACATCCTCTCACTTTCTGAGTTAGGCCGGGACTAAAGAGCAGCAGCATTAAGACGATCTGAGTCTACATTTGTTATCCTGTCATGGTTCTCTGTGAAGTGAGAACCTCAGACAGGGCAGGCAGTGCAGCTAATTAAACGTACCTACAAGGTAACTTTTTGTTTCAGGCGCTTGAACGATCTCTCCATCATCACACCGTTCTCCAGAGATGACAGAGGATACACTCCACTGCACGCCGCTGCGATCTGTGGTGAGCTGCTGTTGAAATAAAGACGGCTCAAGCACTGAACAAGCAAAAGAAGATCAATCACTTAATACTTTTGATATTGCAGGTCAGGCCCAGTTGATCGACTTGCTGGTGCATAAAGGAGCTCCAGTTAACGCCACAGACTACCACGCCCTCACACCACTTCACCTGGCCTGCCAGAGAGGATACCAGGGCGTCTCAGTGAGTGTAAACACACAGGAACATGCGCAAATGCACGTCTTTGATCTGTTGAGTCTAAGACTCACCTCTCTGGTCTGCTATCCATCTCTCTTCCAGCTGCTGCTTTTGCATTACAAGGCCAACACGGAGGCCCAGGACAACAACGGAAACACACCGCTGCACCTGGCCTGCATGTATGGACATGAGGATGTATGTCAAATCAGAGCACACACAGAACAAAAAGAAAACACCTGACTCTAATCTACTCTCGAAATGTGTACAAGGAGTTTTAGCCACATTCTTTCAAGGCTAATTTCATCAGCTGTTCAGCAGCAACCCGTATCAAGTTGAAAAAAAAAGTGTTTTGTTTTACAGTATTAATGGAGAATTGGATCCACATGTGATTTAAAATAACATAATTCTGATGTTTACAATATCTCAGAAGTCCTGAGAAAATTTTTTGGAAGACTTAGCAGCACATTTAATCATTCCCCAGCGATGTAGATGAGCATAAAAGTTATGTCTTATTGTTTTTGCTTTTAGGTGAGACTGGCTTAAGTTGAGCCACCATATGTTCCTAGGAAACAATAAAAAACATTGATTGTGTCACCAAATAATTAGGAAAGCTACATACTGTATGTGGCCCAACATATGCGCTACCAGCTCAACATCCCCAAACACTTAGTGCATGTATTTTAACTGGAGGATACATGTTCTGCATTTATATGTTCAGAGTGGACATCCTGTCTCATGTATAAACGCACCGGACAAGTAAGGCAGCCATTTTTGAAGTTTTTGAAAGAGCCACCAGTGAAGTGTATTTGAGCAGCAGCAAAGGATGCAAAAATAGACAGAATGACACTGAAGAGCGACAAAAAAGAAAAATGTACTTTTGACAAAGTCAGACTCTGGTAGAGCAGCAGAGGCGTAAAGGCTTTTCTTTGATGACATAAAATCTGAAACTTACAAACATATTAAGAAACAAACTACTATTCTTGAATTCAGTTCTAGTGTTCTTTCCACATGTTGATGTTTGCTTTCCAGGACCACTAAACAAAACCTTCTGTTTGCCATGACGCAGCGATCCTGTGAAAAATGGCTCATTGTATCTCAGTCTTCCTGGTATAACACTAACATTTATAAGAGCATCATCTTCTCTCTTTGGAACTGCAGTAAATGCAACACGAGGTTAAAGGTCGTGGAGGCTGAAGTTCTACTGCCTCCACAGATTTTTTTTCTGTTGAAAACCTACTGAGTGTTTTGCCATCCGCGGTTCTTTCTGTGCCTGGTGTCAGTGTGTGAAGGCCTTGGTGTACTACGATGTCCAAACGTGCCGTCTGGACCTGCAGAATGATAAAGGTGACACTGCATTGCATATAGCAGCTCGATGGGGATATGAGGGAATCATCCAGGTGCTGCTGGAGAATGGAGCGAGCACACACATCCTCAACAAGAATAGAGAGACTCCACTGCAGTGTGCCCTCAACTCTAAGGTGAGCCAGAGACCCAAAGGACTTCACTCAGGAAAACATGTTGCATAATATTCAGAACGAAGGTCTCGTTTCAATGATTTTGAGCTTAGAAAAGGTGAAGGTGACAACATCTGGCATAATTTCTTTGTCTCTAAAATATAAGAATAAAAAGCAAGACAAAATGAATGAAACCAACAAAACAAAATGTTTCATTAGAGGATTAGGGGAACTAACCAGTGATTTGTTGTTATGTAATAAACCCTCTTCTACAATTAATTTATCATAGAGCTTAATGATTTGGATTCATATGTGAAATGTGTTATTACAAAAATGATCAGTTGAAGCCATTTATTCATTAACTGGGATAATGTAACCAGATTTTGTCTTTTTGCCCAGCTGTTTAGTCCATATCATTTCACTTCTCTGCAGATCCTCATGCTGTTGAAGTTGACACAGAACAACCATCAGCACAGCAGAAATGATGTGAGTCTCCACTACTTCTGTGTCTTCCTGTTTTAAGTTCTTCAGTAAACGACGTCTAAATGTTGCAGCAGATTGAGGTATTATTACTGAGAAGATCCAGAGAAACAGAGATGTTTGTGCTTTGCTTGTTCAACTGATACCAGTCAGACTTTTAGTATGGAAAAACTGATTGATAGCAGTAATGAATGACCTACAATTAGACTGAGTGTTTAATTACAGTCTTAGTATTAATAAACACACAAATTCTTCAAGAAATCCACATTTCTCAGCTGCATAATTGTTCCACTGAATATTATTCTCTGTTTTGTTCTTAAGTTGTATAGCAGATGAAGCAATATTTTTACAGAAAACTGGACGTAGAAAAACAAATTCTTTTGATCCAAAACCTTTTTCAGTGTAAATCTTTTTAACCAAATCAGCTTCACACAAATAAATCAGGTCTCCAGGAGTCTTGTTATCATCCTGTTATTTATTCTGAACCATAGGAACTTTTTAAATGAATGAAATTGTCGCCAAACTCTGTTAACCTGCAGGTGCTCACTCCCACCTGCAGACGGCAGTATTTTTTACACTTTCTCACACTGCTGCCTCAACCTTACTTGATGTCAAGTTACATCGAGCCTGTCTGCTTGTTGTTCTTCTTTTTCTCAACTTTTTAATCTATATGTAAATGATGAAGGGGCATTAAGAGGAAAAAATGACCCAAATGTCCTGTTCCACCGCAAAAATCTGTGATTTTGATTACAAAGAAAAATGACAAAAGCAGGTTTGATCCAGTACCAAAGCAGAACCTTTGCATGCAAACAGGTTTGTTTACAGTTGGTGCATTTTCATCCTAACATCTTGTTGGACTTTGTTGGTTTCTTTTTCTGCCCTCAGTCTGCAGGTTGCTCCCCTCTGGCCTCAGACTGCAGCAGCCGTCGCTCCTCTGTCTCCAGCACGTCTTCTATGAGCTCTGAAGCCAAGCCTGAGGCTGAACGTGTTCGACACAGAGAGGTAAACAAAAACACACAAACCCATATCTGAACTCCGAAAGCAGAACCTGAGATCCCAACAGTTTTATGGGTCAATGCTGCTGAGCAGAGGGTCGCTGCAGTAGGAACCTGACCTCTAGCCGTACGGTCTGCTGCTGTGTGTTTGTTTTCTAGGTGGAGAAGTTGCTGCGAGCCGTTGCTGATGGTGATGTGGAGATGGTGAGTTGTTTAAAGGAAGTGAGCTGATCTGAGCTCTTTTCAGTAAAGGGCGACTTGTGAACCATTGTAATTGTCTTGGTTTCAGATGCGGTACCTGTTGGAGTGGACAGATGAAGAGGAGGATGAAGAAGGAGAGCTGCAGTCTGAGTCACACCTCTGCCATCCACTCTGTCAGTGTCCAAACTGTGCTCCTGCTCAGAAGGTTCGACAGGGTTTGTCTGAATAAAACTTTCTCCAGTCAGAAGACAGATAGATGTGTTTAATGTCACTAATCTCTGATTCCCTGCAGCTGCCTCTGCAGCTGGCTGGAGCGCTGGGCGTCAACAGCTGCAATGCAGACGGCTTCACGCCTCTCCATGTGGCCGCCCTGCACGGCCATTCATCCCTGGCGGCGCTGCTGATCCGCCATGGGGCGAACGTCAACGTCCGCACCATCCAGAGCGCCACCCCGCTTCACCTAGCCAGCCAAAACAGCCATGTTCAGGTAGGAAGGGCCCAGTACAGCTGGGGACAATCCTCCATAAACAGCAGATCATTAGATGTAGAAGTCAGCTGAGAGACAAAAGGTGCTTTCAGTTTACTAAGTTTTAAATAGAGCAATAAGGGAAAATTATTTCTATGTTTTCTATATCCTGATTGTCTGAAATGTTAACATCTGCAACTTAAAATGTGTTTTTCAATACAACTAAAATAACAAATTAAACATTAATAACTAGTGACATGTTTTCAAGATTGCTACGTACAAAAACATTACTCTCAATAAATAAAATAAAATATAGATAAATAAAAATTGCACTTCTATAGCTTGTAAAAGAATATTGATATTAAAAAAACATTCTCAGTACTTTTCAAGAGTTGAAATAGTTTTCTATACAAACATAAAATAATGTAGATGATGTTGGACTTCTCTGTAAAATGCTTCAATAATCGTGGCGTAAGCTATGCATGTTGTTTGTTATAAAGTTTTACAGACTAACTTTATTATTGTTGTTGTCATTTTATGTTCGTAGATACTAACTACAAGGATTGCGTTCCTTAGATCTAGTCTCAACCTAGCAGAAAAATGATTTCAATGACAAGATGCACTGCTTTCTCGTACATCCACCATGTGTGGAATAGAGTTGTTAGTTTAAGTGCTGACATCTGTTTATGAATAAGTATGCTTAAGATGCATTTTTGTTCATATCCTAATGCTACACATGCCATAAATTATACATGTTGACTGGAAGTGAACCTCCATATCCAGTCTGTAATTTAAAGATTTCTAGTAAGACTTTGGGTTTAACCCTGCCTGCCCAGTAGTGATGGAAATGTTCTCCTGAATGCAGTGAAGCATCTAATTTGTGATGCTCTATGTGGTGTTGACATTATACAAACTCTCTGGCCAGAAGAAAAGTCTCCACCTGGATTTAAATGATTAAATGGAAGGTGGTGATCTAATAAGTTCAGATACTTTCCCTGTTCCCTGATGGACCCTTCATGTCTGGTGTCATGCTGGGTTAGGATTAGTCTGAACCTCGCACTAAGATCAGCTGGTCAGGTCAAAGTTCAGCAACATTATGAAGTCGACTGACTACCTGAATACTGAGTGACCAGATAATTTTATCAGTGGAGTTTTGGTGGCATGGTCATGTTCCAAGAGGACAATGCCAGGAATCATATTGTGACAGTGGGTCCAGTCAAGTCTGAACTTCAACCCCATTGGAAATCTTTGAAGTGTTCTTCAGAATTTGGACAGTGGCAGATCTTGGTGAAAAATGAATGCTGCATTGAATGGAAATTATTTTTGTCACGATGCAGGAGCTCCATGAAACAGAAAAATGCTGCTATGGAGGTTTGTGATGTTGTGGTGCGGGTTTAAAGCACAAACCACGTTGTCATAGGTTTGATTCCCGGACTGATGCCCTTCGTTGTATTGCTTCCCTCCTGCTCATGATCAACTTTCTTGTCTCTATGTCTCTCAAATAAAGACCAATAAAACATATTTCTGACATATTTCTATTAAAAAACCAAGGTGTCTGGTATTCCAGTGTTTTCATTCAATTCCTCACTTATTAGGATGTCCAAAGGAAAACCTTCACACTATTACATGACCCCTGAATTTGTGTTTGTTACTGTTAGGTTGTGAGGTTTCTTCTGGAGTGCAATGCCAAGCTGAACAAGAAGGATCACTATGGAAACACACCTCTGATCCATGCGTGTCTCTGTGGTAACCTGGAAACTGTCAGCATTCTGCTGCAGGTACACACTCAGACTAACACCAAGAGGCTTTCTGGATGATCATTTTTACTAATATAATGAAAAAATGTATTTGTGTGCAGAGTAATGCTTTGGTGAACGTAGCAAATGTGCAAGGCAACACGGCTCTGCATGAGGCGGTGCGGGGGGGGCACCAGGATGTGGTGGAGCTGCTGCTGAGGTCTGGGGCCTCGCCCACCCTCAGAAACAAGAGGCAGAGGACGCCACTGGACTGCGCTTATGAGTTTGGTGGCAAGGTTGTTCCTCACACACACAACACACAGATAGACATCACATAATAATAGATTTTATTTGCATCTTGTGTGCCTATTTCAGCACTCAAGGTTATGTTACACAGCTAAATATAAAAGCAGACACAATATTGAAATACACAGTAGAAGACGGTGCAATTGCAAATCAAAGAAGACTTCTTGAAAACAGATGAAGTTTGTTTTCAAACGTGGCAAAGAGTCTGCAGTACTGAGTTCAGTTCCAGAGGTTAAGTTTTGCTTCAAAAACCGATCAGATGGGACGCTGGAAAAGACTCATGTTCTGTTCAAGAGCGAGAAACAAGTGGTTTCGAGTTGTACTTTAACGGTTTCTCCCTCTGTTGTGGACTACAGCACGAAATTAATAATATCTACATGTCCAAGTTTGATTGAGTCAACAGAATCATTCTACGCCGGTAATAAATATAAAATTGATTAATTATAGAATTTGCAATTAACTTTGAGACTTTTAATTGAATCCCACTACCAGTAGAAGTCCAAACCTTTGTGTGTGTTTGTGGCCCATAAATTGTTCACATTTCTCCAGAGTGTCATCAGCCTCCTGTTATTTGGCCCATTACATTCTGCTTTTCTGTTTCCTCCTTCAACAGAACACTGAAACTTTAAGAGCTCTGCAGAAGGCATCAGGACTTTCACCAGAGGCTGAACCAATCAAACTCCTATCTGTGCCAAAAGGGGCTCTGGGTAATATAAACCTGCTGACCACTGCAACTGTTTAACTGTTCAGATATGTTTGGACACTGCTGCAGCTGTGGCCTGCTCCTCCTGTGTTGCAGCTCATTCATTGGTGCAGCGCCTGAAGCTGCAGGATAACTCCAACGGCCGGAGACACAAACTGGCTCAGTCTGCCAGCAGGTGGATCCCAAAGCATCCTTCACATTCAGAAACAGTTTAATAAGATCAACAAGGATACACACTATCATTAATATATTTGTACGTTGTTGTTTTTTTGCTTTAGGATGCAGCACATGAGAAAAGGTTCATCTGGTTCTCCCCCCAGGAGCCCACCATTTCTTAACCAGGTACATCCTATTTCCTTCTGTAATGGAGGCTGACTGATCATGAAAGATCAGAATCATAAAACACCGGAAAGCTGAATGACTTTCACAGCAATCTGAGAATTGAAGAAAACTATTTATTTAGTCAATATATAGTTTTGAATGAATTAAGTTCATCAATAAGAGATTCTGCAATTAACTTGAATAAAATTGTTAACCAAGTTCTGTAACTAGTAGAAATACAAACATTTGTATTTATGCAAGATGATTTAATTTACTAAAGATGCAGTATGATGTCTCAGTGCATAAAAGGGTTAACAGAGTAACAGCGTTGTGATGATGTGCTTAATGGCATCTGTCAGAAACAGCTCTAGCTTCTTAAAGAGACAGAGACCCAATTTCAAATTTCTTTGAAGTCATATTTGAACACTTGTTTATCGCAGGAGTTATGTTCCAGAAATAAACCGGAATAGGCGAAAACTGCAAAGTAGTCAGCTTTATTTTTTACAGAAATATACAGAAATATAGAACAAAATCCATTTTCAAGCCCAAGCATTTGTTTAAGAAATAAAAACTAAAAATGTTTTCTTACAAATAACTTAATAACACATTCTGTTCTGGACAGAGACGAGGGAAGAAGGAGATTGATCAGGATCCAGAACATAATGCAAGTTCTTACACTGTAAAAACTAAAAGCATAAAAAACTGCACAAAAAAAAGTCTGTGAAGCAACAAGGCTGTTAAAGGAGAAATGTTTTCTAGTGAGGCTTCACTATATTCATCATATTCATAACAACTGGCAAACAAATGGCAAAATGTGCCTGGAAAACTCCTAATACTGTCCCTTTAAGTAGATTGAGGAATTAAATTAAAGCTTTAAGCCAATTCAAGAGATTTGATCCAGATTAAGACGTCATCTTCTTGTCTCTGCTGCTAGGCTGAGACAAACCTGATCAAAAGTAATGGACCTAGAAATATGTAGGCTTTTATTGACCTATTTACCAATCAGTCTGCTGCTCTGACAGGAAGTGTGTGTTTGTCCAGCAGGTGAATCCAGAGCGGAGGAGGCTGAGGCGAGGGGAGACCCTGGAGGTCAACAGCCATTTAGGAAGCCTTGACTTCTCACCTCGTCTAAAGGAGCGGCCTCTGGTTCGTTGTCACACCCTGGATGGTGGAGTGCTGCCCACACAGCCAGCTCAGCCCCCAGCCCACTCTGAAACTGACTGACCAGTCAGTGCTGTGGCAGCAGCTGGTGGGGCCGTGCAGCCAGGCAATGTAAATGTGTCACCACAAGCTCACTGCGCAGCAGAACCCGGCCGGTCTCGGCGGCGGAACCCCGGCCGGTCTCGGCAGCAGACAATTCTTCAGCACAAATCTGCATCACAACAGGAGGAAAGGGGATTTCTCACACCACTCTACCAGTTTAAAGCACAATGTGTTGGGTCGCAGTATGTAATCTGGTTTTATTTGCCCCAGCTTTTAGATTTCGGTCACTTACTTTGATTGATTGTTTTGTGAATGCACTGTTGGGCCTTTTTACACATATGCAATATTTTACTCGATTTCAGAGGTGGATAAACGGAGAGGCTGGTTCTGCCCACAAAGCTCCACCTCATTCTGATTCGTTCTGAATTTACTTCATCAACATAGGAAAACATCCCAATTTGAAAAAAGGAACATTTCAAGTCAAATGGTGGAATCCATCCTATGATTCTCTCCCACTTGACTTTCTGCAGCTTTATGTAACGTTGTGTGGGGAAGTCTGGTGGAAACACAATATTTCCAGTTTATTTTACCAGCTTACCTCTAATATCATGAAACATGAAATCATCATAATCATGATTAAATCATCATTAGATCATTCTTACACCATGTTACTAAATGAAATCCAGCTGCCACATCAGGCTCAGCTCTTCCCCTTCCTGTACTTTTCTCTTCTGAGTTTGGTGGTTTGATAGATTACTGCACTGACTAGTTAGGAAAATGCTCAAAGGGTTGCTTATACTTTATTCAATTGTTTATTAATATCTGGGAATTGTGCTATTCCTGCTCTTTTTAGCCACTTGACTCTTCTAATGTATAACACATGAATGAAAATACCAGAACTAAAAAGTAAAGGAATGAGAGAAGGGATGCAATTTTCTTCCAATATCTTCTATATCACATCCTAGTCAGAGAACTAAAACTGTTAGATTATGTGTTTGAATCAAGCTGCTACATCTGAACCCTGTAATCACGTCTGACCCGTAGAACCTCTAATGGGAAAAAGGGATGCAGCCCATTTCCTCACGTTGGCTTCACACTGTCTGAATAGTTCAGTTTAAAACTGAACACCAAACTTTATATCAAAACGGTGCTTCGTGTTTTATTTGTCTTCAAGACCAGATGTAACTGACTACAAGTTCATGAGCATCAGTCGGCTTCAATCTCCTCAGATGTACTGATGAGTCTTCATTGCAGTTTGTAGCTTCTCCACGACTTCCTGTGCTGACTCGGCACGCTGTGAGGACGTCAGTCACATGACTGCAGCTGTCTTCCAGTCCACAGCGTCAGAGGGACAGAGAGTTTTCTGTCAGCTGATGACAGCCGCTGCTCCAGCTCAGCAGCACCACATTCACAGGGAAAAGGAAGTACATCCTCTCTTTTCCAGGGTCCACATTTAGAAATGTTGAAGTTTAAATGTCTAAAACCATTCACATTTAGTCACTACTTGTTTGTCAGTTTGCAGAAAAGCTTGTAAATTGTTCACTTTCTGAACTCTAGATATGATCAAAATTTATACATCTGGATTTGAAAGTGGATTTACTTCCTTTTTACTGGAACTCGGTAATGCAGTATTTAATAAATGTGTCACCCTTGCACAACATCTGACCCGAGGCACCAAAACGCGACACGGTAAAACACATGAAGGGGTTCTCATGATAAATCAGAAAACGTGTTGATATCTGGAGATGGAGCTGATGTCTGACAGGATGCTGCTGCAGGCAGCTCTGTAGTGGAGGGAGCCATGTTTATCCTGAGCTGTTCCACCATGATGACAGCCTCAGTACTGTATGTGTTCCTGTTTTTCTGCCTGATGCTGAGCTGTGCAGTCAGCCTCACGCAGGACGTCCACCATGTTTGTTCCCGTTCCTCCTGTTTGTTTTTCCTCCAAACCTGTAGGAAATCCTACAGAGCCTGACCTTTTCTCTGGTCCAAGGTCAGAGTGTGAAAGCCTGCTGGTCGTGTTTTAATTATTCTAATGCACCATTTTCATTTCAGGTCTGAAAGTTAAAACTGCTGAATGTGCCTTATTTATTTACACCCAAAATATTCAATAAAAGACATTTTGATTAAATCCATTTGTTTTAAATCTATGTCATTTGTCAGCTTGACATTTTAATGTTTTTTGAAGTAAGAAACCTTTAATTTTTTAGTTTTGTGTATCAGGACACAATAAAAACATTCTGGTCTCTTTCAAAATCCAAGGAAAGTTCAACCTGATTACAGGTATACAAACCATGAAAAAGTTTTTTCTTTTAAATTATTTTAGAAAGATGAAGGAAAATTGAAAAGTTGTGTCTGAGGGAATTATTTAAACACAGGCCCCAAATAAACAATAAATAGCTTCAGTTAAGGCTCCTGATGTTTGGATGAAATTGTTGACACTTCATCCCAACTTATTCAGCTTATTCAGGCGAGTTACCGTCTATTTCTGCTCAGCTCTTTTGGGTCCCTGCTCAGTGTTCCTGTCATGTGCAACAGAAACTTGAAATACTGGAAAAGCCATACAGGCATTTCCAGTATAGAGCTGGCATGAAGCAAAGCTGCACCTGAGTGTTGAACCATGCCAAATTTCTGGAGAGGGCATTGTTGGAAAACAAAATAACAAAACTAATAAAGGAAGTCTTCCAGATTGACAAAAACAGATATATAATTGTCAGTTAAAAATAATTCTAATCAGAGGGTTTTGGAACATTTCTTTAATGTTTCACACAGAACCAGAGGGAGTTTGGAGTCTGCTCAGGGTGTTTCTTGGTTTGTTCGCTGCCTGTCAGCATCGAGGCTTTTCAGCCTCGGCTTTGCTCACAAAGAGGCTTTTGAGGAAGAGGAGCTGCAGGTACCCAGAGGTGATGATCAGCAGGCTGAGGGCCATCGACCACCATGTGATGTAGCGGGAGTTGGACTGCAGCAGGAAGTGGTCTGTGCTCCTCCTCATGCGGCTGAAGCTGTAGAAGCGAAACATGTGGAAGACGTTGCGCTCCACTTTACTCGTGGCAGCCTGAAAATGTCAGAACAAATTAAAAAACCAGTTCCATAAAAATAACTTCTGTATTTGCATCTAGATATTTTATTAAATGTGATCCAGTTGTGTGCTCATACTTAATTTATTTTGGGAATCATTTCACTGAATTTTAAAGACCTAATGCAGCACATCTGAGTATTCACTGCTTGATTTTACTTGTATACACAAACTGGACACAGACTTCTGTGCCGCCAGACCATCTACACATCTTTGTTGTTTTTCTTTCTTTTTCCATTAGAAAACGTTATACTAGAAAGTTAGAATAGACTTTAATGTATCTCAAAATCTGAAAAAAAAAAAAAAAGGAGTGCTGGCTGCCTCTGTCAGATATGATTCTAGTTTTTGTCCCAGTGTCTTTTTAGCGGACAGCTCCTTTATATAAACAAGCACATTCCTAAACAACCCAAACAGTTTAACTGGTCATGTAATAAATGTGTAAAATGTGCTTACAAATATTTGTAAATACTCACAGATTAATTCTTGAAAAGTTATTGAAAGTAGTTTTCAATTACACATGATTTTTACTTTTTCAGGTGAATAAAAAAGTAAAAATGTCTATATTTGCATATAGACATTTATAATAATGTCTATTATTTATAATAATGTTTATATGCAAATATATGTTCTGTTCACATCTGAACAGAAAATATATTCATTTGCAGTAAAGTAAATTTCTCAGAGGAGTTGAAGAGACCTGAATGAAGCTCAGCGTGTTGTTCAGCTCCTCCTCCTTCATGTCCCTCTCCAGGTCTTTGGAAGAGTTCTGGTTATCATAGTAAACGCCGAAGCTGAGGAAGACCTGCATTGAGCTGAAGCGGTTGTGGAAGTTGCTCAAACACATCTGATAGAAACCTGTGCAATTAAACATCAAGTTAAAAGTTCAGACAGTGTCACTAAGTAGCAGATTGTACAAGGTTAGTTTTATTTATTTGGTTGATTTCTTACAGGATTATAGAAAAATGAAAAGGAAACCTGAACAGGTTAAACTTTGTGATTTAGTTCATTTGACTTGACTGTTGCCTTGCAGCAAGAAGGTCCTGGGTTTGATTCCCGGTCTTTCTGCATGGAGTTTGCATGTTCTCTCTGTGCATGGTGGGTTATCTCCAGGTACTCTGGAGTCTAAAACCATGACTGTCAGATTAATTGGTCTCTCTAAATTCTCCCTAGGTGTGTGTGTGTGTGTGTGTGTGTGTGTGTGTGTGTGTGTGTGTATGTGTGTGTGTGTGTGTGTCTCTGTGTTGCCCTGCGATGGACTGGCGACCTGTCCAGGGTGACCCCTGGGCGTCTGACCCCTCCTGACCCCACTGGGGACACGAGTGTACAGAAAATGGATGGATGGGTTTGATTTATGTTTTTCTTCATCCGTTTGACCTTTGGGTCGCTTAATGTTTCATATATGCAGATAACGTAAATAAAAATATAAAGTGTGGTTTTCAACAGAGGTGGGCAGAGTATACCTAAAACTGTTCTCAAGTAAGACTAGCTCTACCTTTTTACTCAAAATTTGAAAATAGCCACTCAAAAGATTTCTCAAATTAAACACCTATTCAAGTACTGAGTAACTGATCTATTTATCAATCATTTCACATATTTTTTAAAATTACATAATCAAACAGTCCAAAATGTAAAGTTAAATGGAAATTTAGGTATTTTAACAGAAAATGACAATAATTCATAGAAGTAACAAAATAAATAAATTCAGACAAAATATATATTTTTTTCCAAATAAGTTTCTTTCAATAAAAAAATAATCTAATGAAACTTTGACAAAAACTGCATGTGTGAGTCTGAATCAGGTGAATTCTGAGTTAAAACATGTTTGTTCTTCATTCAGTGAAGTTTCTCACAGTAGGTAGAGAATAATGAGTCATTTCATTATGAAAATTTCTTCATGATTAAAATACTCAAGTTAAAGTAAAAAGTAAAACATGTTAAAAATGCTTCTAAAAGTAGATTTTTTTTCCAAAACATTATTCAACTAAATGTAAATGAGTAAATGTAACTAGTTTTTACCCAAATATGGTTTCAAATATTGATTTTATTTATTAATGGGGAAAAAAGCTTCCAAACCATCCTGACTACATACTGATGCCACCAGCAGAACAAATCAGAGCCGGGCCGGGGCGGGGCTGATGACCGGGCCCTTTAGACCCAAATAATGAAGCTCATGATCGTGGACATGTTGGAGTTGTCCTCTCTACTACTTGGCTAAAATAAAACAGCAGAAGTTTCCTCAGCCTGCGAGATGTCTTTGTTCAAATCGACAGACTATTAACATGAGGGTACAGAGGATAACTTTTCACAAATAAGATGGACAAATTCTATATTGTAAATAGATGCTGTATTGATGTCAGCTAATATTAGTTGTAATGCTCGGTGTAATGCTGGGGTTCAGCCCTCGCTATGAAGACTAACTGAGGTTTTCTAATACTTTTCATCTTTCACCAACATTGATTTAGATTATCTGACAAGAACCTACCTGAAAAATAAAACAATGTTACATATATTGTTATTATTATGTTACCACATTCACTAGTTTAAACAGATGGCAAAGATGGCAAAAGCTATTATTTATATGTAATTCTTTCACCCTATAAAACGTAAGATATCTCCGTTTTTGTCTTGAAGGTTTCCTAAAGACAAGGTGTGAGGAAGAAGTGGGACATGTCTTCAGGGAGAGACGGATTCACTGCACAGGATGAAACCCCTTTGTACAGGCACCATGTAAATACATGTGCATATAAATATGAATGGACTCATATAAATTATTCAGTATTAATCATCATTGAATCATCTTTGTTTCTCTATAATGTATTTGTATCATTTTGTGTTTTTATATGTATATGAATTTGTATGTTACTCAATGGCAAAAAAAAGTCTGAGTGCCTGTGTGCTTTGTAAAATACTCATCATATTCTAGTCCTATTATATTCTTATTTCCTCATTAAGAATATTGAAATAGCTAAACTATATATCAGTTCAATTCAAAAATACTTAGAAAAATAAACATCCTTATAAATGTAGCTATGATAGCTGAATGAAGTTTCCAGCAAAAATGCGTGACACTCTATTTTGTATTTAGCGAGTTATTACTAATGAAATGTGTTGATACAAATTACGTTACATGTTAAAGATGTGTGTAGATGACAGCAGCAGTAAACTGAGATACCTGTTTCCTTGACCTCAAAGTTGATCTGACCCTTTGCATCGTCAACAGTGGATATTAACAAACTGCTGGGAGCGTTAACAGTGACTGACAGGTGCCTGTCAAGGCCGACTCCCGTCACCCACTGGACCTAGAAATGGAAGAAAACTGATTATTTCTGGACTGCTACACAGGAAGGGTGTCAACATGGGACAGTCGGGCCTCTTTGTACCACAGGTTCATTCTGACTTTGTTGAATTTATCTCAAATTTTGAACGTCTTTATAGTGGGACAATGTAAAAGTTAATGAAGTACAAAAAACTGAAAGTGTGCGTTTCAGAAAATGCAGCAGAGCCACAAAATGAAGAAAAACGCATAAAAACTTCAGAGGCTTAGTGTGCTCAGCACTCACCATGAAGCTCAGGTAAAATGTCTCTCCATGGTGAGCAAAGTGCCAGAAACATTCTGTGGCAGCTGCTGGAAGCACCACTGAGAAATCGTACTGGTCAGCGCCCCAGAACAGCTCCTGGTCCGTCCTGCTGGATCGAGGCTTTGTCTGGAGGCCGCAGTGAGAAAAACCCCAAAACCACAAAACAATAAAAAATAAAGACGTCCCTAAAGGCATGGCTGAAAAAAACATTCATCTAAATGAATGGTGAAGGCAGAGTGTGTGGTGTACAAGACAAACTGTGAATGATTAACTGGAGCAGAACCTCCACCAGTGGGAATACTGGGCAGCCTGGGCAGATGGAGATAAGTCCAAAATATGTCACTTTTACAGTTTGTACATGGCTGCTTTCACTCTGTCTCCATTCCTGTAAAACTCTCAATCATTTTATGTTTCATGCATTAATGTTTTAAAAAGTTTTTTTCTCAGATTTTTCTTTTTAGACTAAAGCAATTATTTAGTTCACAGCAAACCTTTCAAACAATATCTGTTGTATTAAAGCACACATATCATTTAGATCTTCGTGAGGATTCCTGAGTGTCTGGTTTGGTTTTAGTTTGGGAAAAAATATAAAACCAAAGCAGAATCCAGGGTCTGGTTCAGATCAGAGTCTGATTCAGATCAGGGTCTGGTTCAGATCAGAGTCTGATTCAGATCAGGGTCTGGTTCAGATCAGAGTCTGGTTCAGATCAGAGTCTGGTTCAGATCAGGATCTGGTTCAGATCAGGATCTGGTTCAGATCAGAGTCTGGTTCAGATCAGAGTCTGGTTCAGATCAGATTCTGGTTCAGATCAGGATCTGGTTCAGATCAGAGTCTGGTTCAGATCAGGATCTGGTTCAGTTCAGAGTCTGGTTCAGATCAGGATCTGGTTCAGATCAGAGTCTGGTTCAGATCAGATTCTGGTTCAGATCAGGATCTGGTTCAGATCAGTCTGGTTCAGATCAGGATCTGGTTCAGATCAGAGTCTGGTTCAGATCAGATTCTGGTTCAGATCAGGATCTGGTCCAGATCAGAGTCTGGTTCAGATCAAGATCTGGTTCAGATCCTGACAGACAGTAAATAGCTTCATATTTACTGTTTTATTTGATTATTTTATTTTCAGCCATTTTTGCTGCTCATTACTTCACTGCTCAACAGAACAGTAATGATGGGTGATGCAAATGTCGGTTGACCATTTATATCTGATGATATGATTTCACAGGAATGAGGAAGCAGACACACTCTGGAATGAAGTCATATGTCAGTAAGTTATGATGTCATCCATCCACTGCTGCAGAAGCAGAGCTTTACTGACCTATAACCACCTGCTTCTTGGTCCAGTAATCAACAAACCCCTCATTGTGTTTATCTTAGACCTGGTGTGGGCTGTCATGGTTCTGACCTCTTGTCCTGCTGGGTTCTGTGTTTTCCCTTATGTGGAGTCTGCAGTTTTGTAAGCCTGTTGTTAACTCTTTCAGTTTGTTCATTAAAAATTCAGTTCATTTTGATTCCAACTCCTCTTGTCTGGACGTGGGTCCAACTCCTGAAAATATGGCAACAGACAAACATGTGTTCTTTTATTTAAACATGTTTTCTAATGAAGAAGACATTCCTGTTGTTAGCATTTCAGAACCTCTCTCATCCGGATGCCACGGCACAGCTGCCAGTCAGTAACAGTGGAGTTACTGACTGTCAGAGATCCAACTGGAATTTCAGGTTCAACCCAGAGATAAGTCTTTGGTTCCACTTTTGCAGAAATATTTGTGGCATCAGGTTCTGAATATGTGCCAAACAGAAACGGCAGTAAAGAAATAACCTGAGAGTTTATCCGGTTTGATTTCAGTACGAGCCATTGGACTTGAACACAGGCAGCTTCTGACAATCTACCAAAAGGTAAATAATCGAGTATTTCTAAGAACCCAGAATGGCCCAATGGTGACAATATCTGGAGAGATATTGAGACTATTTGTTATCTGACTATATAAGATCCTGTAAGCAGGTGCAGAAAAAAGAAGGAAGAACTTTTTCTCCTCTTTTTGTAACTCTGGTCTTACTGCTTCTGCATGTTTGATTATCTGTCTAATGTCATTCTTTTATCTCCTAACTATGTATTTTATTCTGCTCTTTTCTAAAGCACAGTAACTTATATTATTCCGATGATCTGGATTTTTAGGAGAAAACATTTTAGTATTAAAATGATATTTCCTCCACAAGAGGACAAAGTGTGGAGAATCTCTCCATTTTCTCACACCCTTGTCCCTCATGGTGTCAGGAGAGACACCATGAGGGACACCACAGTAACCTGTCTCCAGGTTACTGTGGGCAACATGCTTTAACCGCTGAATGCCATTTTTTATTGCACTTCATGGTATAGCCATTCAGCTTTTTGTGTACAAAATGTCTGAAAACTAAAAGCCTTTAAAGGTTCTCAGACATATGAGGATTTGTTCATTAATGACATGTTTGGCTTTGTGGATCCTATGAATTTTAATTTGGAGTTTTATATCATAGTAAGGCAACTTTGCTTAATCTAAGCTTTGACTGATTTCTTAATAATAATAATAATAATAATAATAATAATAATAATGATAATAATAGTAACTTGTAAATGTACTAATAGCATTAATTGAGGTGTGAATGCAGCCTCAACATTGCACCGGGGTCTGTCTCTGTTCCCGTCACACATTCTGATTTCAAAGAATTCTGACGCTCACGTGTTTGACTCAGCAGAAAGTCATCTCACCCTGCAGCGCTTTGCAATTTGTAGATGAATTGCTGTTGTCTGCAGTTGCTTTTACTTTGTAAAATACACACAAAAAAACTTGTGTACTTTTACACACATTTTCAATTCAATTGACCTGACGAACGTCAATTGCAAATGTCATCTGAATTCAGTTTTTTCTGTCTGTTCATGTTTTCCGAACAACTGGAGGAGGATGCATGTTTGTCATAGTTTAAAGGCATGTTGGCCTTCAGGTTCCTGATTGCCTCGTTTCATTTGCTGTGGATATGGACCATGCTATTTTGGTTTAAGACTAGATGGAAATCTGGACTGCTTAGTCCTGGAGAAGCCATAGATTCTAGAATTGCACCGCTCATGGTGGGAGCCTGTTGGAAAAGCTCTGTTACATCATGTCTAATTTATTCAACAGCTGCTTGCAAAAATTGTGCAAAAGAAGCTAATTTTACCAAATCTGCTGTCTTGCTCAAGACAGCAGTAACATTAAGTACATACACATTAAGATTCAAGGATAAATTATAACACAAGAAGTCACCAAGATTACTTGCATAATATCCCAAGACAGCCTACCTTTGTGTGTGTTTGTATATGAATTTATGCACATTAATGAGTGCGATTGGGTGAATTTGTAAAGCACTTCTCAGAGGTCAGTATGAATGACTACAACAAAAACATTCAGGTCAACTTCACAAGCAACCTTCTGTTGCCAAAAGTGTTTTCCTTAAAAAGTAGAATTATGGAAGAACTACTTTTTTGTTTTTTGCATCAAAGCAATTGGAGATATGGTTTAAAATATGAAATGTCTGTGGACAGACATTCATCAATCATGCTCAATGCAGTTACTCTGACATTTATCCTTGGCTTCACATTACAAAACTAAATGCTAACTTCATTTCTCCGTGTGTTTTATTGTTTTATTTTGACCTTTGGACAGGTGACCTGCTCAGGGTGTGCCCTGCCTCTCACCCAGTGCTGGAGTCAGGCAGCAAGCCTCCATAACCAGCAAAATAAGTAAGTAAAAACAATCAATGGACTGATGGGTGTTGAATTTGTGTGTATCCACTTTTCAGTGGAGTCTTGTTGTACCTGTTGCCTTGTGTGAATATGTCATGTGTTGATGTCAACCTACCAAATTTGCCTTAGGTTGTAATCTGTCATATTTACAAATGATTTCTGTTTTTATTAAAATAGATTTTAAAGTAACTATACCTGAATCTTATTTGTCAATACAACTTTATAACAAAATTTAACTAAAGAAAAATAAAGCTTGTTAAATCTGAACCTATTTTTATACCTTCAATATTGGGAGACCAATTTATCCTTAACATGACTTCACAATCCATGTAATGAAATGTGATTGGACTATGATCAAGATTATTTGGGTAAGCTGCATACCAAACTGCCAGAATCTGTTTAAAAAAACTTATTCTGAAAATGAAATAAAGAGTTGACTGTCATCAAGTTTGTTTTTCCCCAGTTTATTTAACTAGCAAGTTATGAACTATATATTATGTTATGACATAATCACATCTTTGGCTGTTGTTTGTCTGTCCTAACAGGTAATAATGGACACGATAGGAAGTATCTTTAGCTTATGCAAAACCATCTACCAAAGGGCCGATAATGCGAATGCCAACAAAGATCGCTGTCAACGAATCGTCAATAGAGTTCGAACCTTGGAGGGGCTTGTTAAAGCCATTAAAGAAAAGGAACCTGGTCAAATCTCTTCTACAGTTCAACAAGCTCTGAATGAACTCTACGAAACACTAATGTCTGCAGAACGACTAATGGCAAAAGTCAATAACTCCAGTGCTATTAAAAGCTTTGTTAACTCTAACTCTAATGAGGATAAGTTCAGTAAGATGAATTGTAAACTTGATGACAATTTCCAGATCCTGTCAGGAGCACTGCAGATTGAACAGAGGGATATGTTGATTGAGCTCTGCTCAAGCAAGACGGGTGTTAATGAAGGTAATGGCCCTGCACAGACATCTCCATTGCTATTCCCAATGCCTGAGCCCTGGCATGCAACACAAGTGTTTTCCCTTGTTGCTCAGATGCCTCCTACAGTACCAATGTCTCCTCAAGCACCACCTTTCAGCCCCACAGGACCTTTTTCTCCCCAAGCACCACAATTCAGAACTGCAGTGCCTTATCCTCCCCAGACGCCACAGTTCAGTCCTCCAGCACCGTTGCCTCCTCAAACACAGCAGTTCAGTCCTCCAGCACCGTTGCCTCCTCAAACACAGCAGTTCAGTCCTCCAGCACCGTTGCCTCCTCAAACACAGCAGTTCAGTCCTCCAGCACCGTTGCCTCCCCAAACACAGCAGTTCAGTCCTCCAGCACCGTTGCCTCCTCAAACACAGCAGTTCAGTCCTCCAGCACCGTTGCCTCCTCAAACACAGCAGTTCAGTCCTCCAGCACCGTTGCCTCCTCAAACACAGCAGTTCAGACCTCCAGCACCGTTGCCTCCTCAAACACAACAGTTTAGTCCTCCAGCACCGTTGCCTCCCCAAACACAGCAGTACAGACCTCCAGCACCTTATCCTCCCCAAACACAGCAGTTCAGACCTCCAGCACCTTATCCTCCCCAAACACAGCAGTTCAGACCTCCAGCGCCTTATCCTCCCCAAACACAGCAGTTCAGACCTCCAGCACCGTTGCCTCCTCAAACACAACAGTTCAGACCTCCAGCACCGTTGCCTCCCCAAACACAACAGTTCAGACCTCCAGCACCTTATCCTCCCCAGACTCCACAGTTCAGGCCTCCCCAGACACCCATGTCAGGGCCCATCTCGGCCCCTCACCGTTTCCCTGCTTCAGTTCCAGCCCAGCCCCTTAACCCTGGCAATGTTACACCAACGTCTGGCTCTGCCGTAATGACAGTTGTGACACATTATCCAGTCAACCCTGGTTTTCAGTAATTTGCAATCCGAAATACTAAATGGACACAACTTTTGTCATCAAAAACATACTTGCAGTGTTGCCTTGATTCTTTCCTGCATGTTTGAGCAATCTTTTAGTCTCTTGTGACAACCATTTAGTGGTGCAAAACGCCTGTAACATGATGCTGAAGTTGGACCTAGCGCCGCCTTCGAGACGCAGCTCCTCCTAGTTTCAGTTTCCACAGAGCAGCACCCTCCCCCCCATTCTATGTAACCCTGTATATAATCTGACAAACTCAACCTAGTAGAAATAACTTTTTAACTCTATTAATGGATCCATTATATGTCTATATTCTGCTGTCTTTCCCAGATAATTTATTGATTTTATATTATCATTGTTATTATTCAATTGTTATTTTAATTTCTTAATCCACTGATGATGATGTCAGTGTTATTTCATTCAGTTCACTATCATTGCTTACACATGCATATTCCATCACTAACCCACAGCACTTCTTTTCTTTTCACAAATGTACTGTTACTATGTATCTTGTACTGTGATGACTAATGGAAAAATTAACAAATTAAAAAATGCAACCCATTTATTGACCTGCACCAATGGCTTCCATATAATTTTCTGCTGTTTTATAACGTTATAATTGTTTTATATCATGTCAGTAAAAAAGAACTGTACTTTACTATGTGCTGAATAATCATCCTCTCTAAAACTAGCAGTTCTTTTGTCACTGCTGGAGTCATTACACAAATGTTGAACTTTGGTTCTCAAAATTTGTTTGTTTTATGCGTTAATCATTCTTTTCTTTTTGCTCAAAGTCCGTTTTCCTGAATTTATTGTAAATAAATAAAACATTAAAACATGTTACTGAAAACAATTGTAATCATTGCCCAGAAATCCAACAAAGTACAGAGGCAGTCAGCAGAATTCAACACACCCTTCCTGTTTCAGTGAGTCACGGTTCTGCTTTGTATAGATGTCAGGCTGTAGGAACACAGGACACTCCCACAATGCAGCAAGTTTCAGAGACAAACAGGAAGAACTTCTAAACTACCAGGTTTTACTTTTACCCCACGCTAACAGATAGCACAGTGCTGGGAAAGCAGGCACATTAGCTGCTGACTACATCTTGCAGGTAAATTATATTTATTACTTTTGATTCTCTGTAACATAGAAAGCTCTACTTGCAGGTCACTGTGTTGTTGAGTCACCAAATACAAGCAAAATCTCTTCATCAGTGTGATACTCTCAAAAGAAGCTCCAGACCCCCCTGAGTTGGCTCACTGTAGCAACCTGGTATCCCTAATGTTACATTAAAGGCCGTTGTTAAAAAGCCATTGTGAATGGATCCATCATAACAACTGCTCAAATCAAAAGAGCATTTTTCAGAGGTTATTACACTCCTGTCTTCAAGCGTTAGAAGAATGTCTGGCCACATGCACAGCAAGAGACAAAGACAACAGACAGATAAACAGCTTCCCAAATAAAACGTTTTCTTTGGAATGAACTTTATGTTAATACCGTTTGTCTGGACAGGTTTGATCACAGGGAGGTAAACTGAATCAAATCCTGTTTTATTTGTTTTGTGTTTGAAAAAGCAGCACACCAGTCAAAAAGCAGTCCAAGCAGAGTCCAAGCTGAAACTTATATTTTATATTATTATAAAATATAAGTTTTTTATATTTGCCTATACTTATATTTTACAAGCTGTCATTGTCAAGTGACGGTTTCATCGTGTTTGTTTTCAATCAAACAAGTTTATTTGCATAGCACTTTTCATTAGCAAGGCATTTTGATGTGCTTTATGTAATAAAAACACAAAAGAATCAACAATTGAAACATTACATTTCACCAAGAGTTATATTCGTTATATTTAATTAGAATTTATTGTCTAGTGCTAATAAACACACTGTTTTTATACATTGTTTTGACCCTAATTGTATTTGAGGAGTTCAGGTGTTACACAAGGTAAAATGAAAATGTATTCTGATAATAATAATAAATAAACCACTGTCAAAACTATTTCTTGTTACATTATACTGTATGTATACAGTGCAATAAAACATATGCATATTTCAAAAACTGCAAAGATAACTAAAATAAAATATAAAAAATACATATCCATGTATTTCTGTGTCATTTGATATTAATGGCAGTTTTTTTTTTGCCAGTGTCTCACAGAGACCTTAACTTATGTTCTAATGTTCTGTTGTAAACTTTCTGCTCTCTCTCCCTTTCAGCCGATCATGGATTATGTGGAGCCCATTCTGTCTGTTGCTTCACAGATCTACACTCTGGTTGAGAACGTTAAGGCCAATAAAAAGCGCTGCTGTCGTGTTGTGGAGCGAGTAAAGGCCTTGGAGAACTTGGTGAAGTCAATCAAACAGAGGGACGCAGTGAAGCTCTCTGCTGAGGTGGAGAACTCCCTGCAGGGACTCTCAATCACTCTCAGATCAGCCCAGGAGCTCATTGAGAAATACACTCTGTCAAACTTGGTGAAGCGCATCCTGAAGTCCAGCAGTCATGGAGACGAATTCAACAGTGTGAATGAGCGGCTCAATGATGCCTTCCAAACCCTGGCATTAGCTCTGCAGCTGGAGCATGGAAATCAGGTGTACATGGTTTTTGAGCAGATCTCCAGGCAGAAGGAAGATGAAGCCGACAGCAGGGAAGATGATGCAGAATTGAAAAGAAGTGAGAAAAACTGACTTTGGTTTCACTTTGCAAATTAAATTGTACATTTTAGTTAAATAAAACTGCAGATATATGCAGTAGTTATCTGAAAAATAAATATGATACATGTTTGATAAATCACATAAAATTAGTCTAAAACCACTAAGGAACAAAATGGCTGCCTTTAAAAAAAGACAATCTCTGCATTAACATTCCATTATAGATTGCATCTCAAAAGCACAGTTGGTTTTCAGCAGCTTGTCCTAAATAAATAAAATTAAAATAAATGTATTTATATTTAAAAATTTTGTATATCAAACGAAACTTATTTTGTTTGCTATACGCCAGTACTTATCAAATTCCAAAATACTGGAGTTTAATATAGCAACGCCAGTATTTCTGTAACTATTTGGACAACTGCAGAGAAGAGACCAAGCATAGCAGCAGACAGCAGGTGAGGTATTTATGCCCCCGTAGCATAAATACTGTGAATACACATTTCATTTCTTTCCAAAAACCTTAAATAATCAGTTTATCTGATGTCCCCTTGTTAAAGTGGGCAAAGAAATTCAGGTCAATTAAACTTTCAGGAGACAGTTTATGTCAGAATCAGATGTAATACTAACAGTTTAAACCTTTTAGTATCTGCTTCTGTTCACATTGTTGCCTACATCTGTGCCTCTGTTCCTCAGTGCTCATGGAATACGGTGAATATGTGGAAACTATACAAAGGGAACTTGAAGACATTAAATCCAATGTAGTAAAAATTGTGGAGATGTGTGAGTATACAGTAACTTCACTCTGTTGAAACTCCATACACTGTAATTTTCTCAAGTATTACTATTTTGTCACTGTTTCCATTTTGATTTTTGGAAAAAAAAAACCCTTTAACAAACCTCAGCTTTGATAAAATGACTGATTGCATTTCTAAAGGTTTAATATTTTGTCACTTGATTTTTGTCATTATTATTTCTCATACCTTATTTTTGCCAAAAAAATACCCACTCATCCATTCAAGTGAAGTACAGTATTGAAATATGGTCTCTATGCACACTTCATCGTCATCAGGAATATCACAGCAACGAAGGCAGCAGTTCAGTCATACAGTGGAAGGTGACATGAAATGCAACATGTGAGATTCAGACATGCAAACAGTGACACCACTTAACTCTAAAGCAGAGGATATTTGTTCTGAGGATATTTATAAAATAATATCTAACAATATAAAAAATGAAATTAGCAGTCAACTACCACACCAGTTATAACATTAATCTATAAAAAAATTGTATATGTCTACATATATTGTGGCGCTGTCACGTGATTAAAAAAAATCAAACATTAATCAGGCTGTAACGCATGATTAATCAATCATGATTAATCACATATAAATATGAACGCAGCTGAGCTTCTTGCAGAAACTGTGGCCTGGGCAACAGCAACCAGGGAAACTTACTCCATAATACATACAGAGAGTAGCAAACTTGTTCATGGGACAGTTGACATACGATATATTTGTGAATTATTAGAACTTTATTAAGCTATAATGTCTGTTAGCCAAATCAGTGGCATGTCGATACTAGAGCACTGCTGTCCAAGTTGAGTATAATTATAACCCTTTTGGTAAATTTGTAAATAGTATTTTTCTTCTACTTTCATAGTAAATAAACCCAGAATCACAACTATGGACATCCGAATGATTAAACCAGATGAACTGAAGAATGTTGAGGAAAAGCCGTTCATGACAACACCGACCTCTGAGGTCTACAAAGGAGAGTTTGGTGGCTTCACAGTGGCCATCAAGAAATACACAGGAGCCAGCCCAGGGTCTGTGGCCTATTTAAAGTCATGTGTGAATTTTGTTTCAGAAATTGAAGAGCAAATTGAGAAACACAGTTTATATGTTTGGAGGATCTAAGAAAATCACTTGGTGTAATCCAAAATAATCTAAGAAATTTTTTTTATTTCAAACTGGCCTGGAAATAATATATTCGGATTAATATCAATTACTACGGAACTAATTTATCAAAGAAGTTCTTTAAATGTCTGTTTCCTCATACAAACGTTTACTCATCGTCCAAGTGTTTCTGAAAAACTGTTACCATGAACATCTTCTCTACCTGCAGGACGGTAAAGTCTGTCTTCAATAAGGAAGTTGACACAATGAAACGCTTTGAGTCACCCAACATCCTGCGAATGTTTGGCATCTGCATCCAAGAAGAGAACAGTGAGTAGTGATGAACACGGCGCTCAGGTTGGTTCAAATAGCAAAGAATTATGTCACGCTTTATTCTGCAGCTTCAAACCCTGAATTCCTCGTCATCATGGAGTATTGTGAAAAGGGAAGCCTTCGAGATGTTCTGAACTCCAAACATGAGCTGTTATGGGCCAGGAAAGCATCCATGTGTTTGGATGCAGCACAGGGGCTTTATCGGTAAGTTGGCTGAAGTTGTCTGTCGGTGAAACTCAAATTTAAAGATTAAAAGAGGAATTAAAAAATGTGTTTGTGAATATTAGCGTAAGAGAACTGTAATGTAATCAGAACTGTGACGATGATGATGATGATGATAATAATAATAATAATAATGGAGGAACTGGGTTCCTGTCTAAGAAAGAAATTAAAATAATTGTAGTTGAAACATTTAGGAGATCTTTATGATATGGAAGTTATTCTCATTGACATTTTTGTTTTTGTGGAAGAAAACGATCAACAGACGATCTGCTCCAGGCCTCTGAGCCGCCCTCAGTGGTAGAGGCAGAGATCAGAGATTTCAGACAGGAATGTTTTGTCTGTGTTTGCAGCTTGTTAGGGAAGTTCTTAATGTTCCACATGGTCCATAGTGGGGTTGGTGATACTGAGCCTCCTGCTAGATCTCCACCTACTTCCCCCAAATACACAGAGTGTAGTAACTTAAAGCTAGCAAATTGAGATGAGCAGTATTATATGCTTATTTGACAAAAGCATTATTCAAGTTCAGGATGGTTTTATACATGCCTAAACAAATCAAAGTAATGTGTAATAATGTCTTCTAGACTCCATCTAACTGAGGAAATAAGTAAACTTCACATGAGCATCACAAGCAGCAAGTTCCTCGTGGATGAGAACTACAGAGTGAAGGTAAAAAATTGAAAACACACTGGAACGAGAGGCTGGCAACCATTTTTTCACTCCTTACACGCTTTTTGTTTTCAGCTGGGAGGGTTAGAACTGGCCAAGACAGAGACATCGCTGAAAAGAACAACGAAGAGTAAAGAGAAGGACAAAACCCTCAGCTCACTGTGCTACTCGTCTCCCCAGCAGCTCAGCAACATCAACCACCCATACACCAAAGAGTGTGAGATCTACAGGTTGGTGTCACCATCCAGTCAGTGTTTGCTTTCACATGACTTCTTCTGAGAAACCGCTTTTGATTTGCAGTGGTTTCCCAAATGAGTGTTTACAGTGTTAACATTTAAAATACTGAAGATTACATGAGCTACATGAGCGAGGCAGGACAATTGATTCATTCAAAGTGTTTGTAAAAGAACAGTCAGAAAGTCGGCTGTGTTTTTCATATGACTTTTATTCTTTGCATTGGTAAAGGTGGAATCAGAATGATTGGAATGAAATACGTCACAAATGAAATAAGGAGAGAAAAATCCCATTCATCAAAGTATCACCTTGTTCTTTTTCAGTTTGGGAATCGTTCTGTGGGAAATTGCCACTCGTAAGAAGCCATTTGAAGGTGTGTATCTCTTTGCAGATAATCTTTGTTAAATTTGTTAGATTTAGATTAAATTGTACTTTCATCAACCAGGAAGTTTGTTTCAGTTTTGTTCACTAGAAAAAACAGGACCTTGTAAAATGGTTTAACTTTGTTTTTAGAAATACAGATTTTTGCTGTTTTACTTACATTTTAACTTTTGTGACGTATTTATACCATCTTCAATGTCCAGTAGAAAAACCTGGTATTTCTACTGGACAAAGACAGATGACTGGTATTTTTGACCAGTCATCTGTCTTTGAGTTTGGAAGGACAAACATTACAGGTTCTCAAGCAGATCTGAGCCATGGCTGATTTCATTCCTTGATCTTTTGTGAAAAGTTTCTCTTTCTTCTTCCAGACTGCGGTGGCGATGACAAAATCATTTCTAAAAAAGTGCTTGAGGAGAAATATCAAGAGCCGCTCCCTGCTGACTGTCCTGACTCCCTGGGGAAGATGATCAACGCCTGCAGGGCTTATGAAAGCTCTCACAGGCCATCTGCAGGCGGTATGCAGCTGCTGTTTTTGCTCAGTTCTACTTTTACAGCTGAACATTTGTAGCAGAGCAGAATTAGCCCTGAACGTCTCTGTCTTTGTCTCTCTTGTCCTCTGCAGTGTTGGTGGACAAACTGCGAAGTGTGCTGGTACAGTTCGAGAAACAGTGAAAGCCTTCAACACTGATCACAACATTTGCAATTTTGTTCATGTGATGTGTCACATTGAGCATTGCACTATTTCTTTATGACTGTTTTTTTTAGTTTCCCTGTAGTTTTTAGTAGTTTTGTTTTTGTCTTGTAATTCTAAGTCAAATGTTTTATTTCTTCCATAGCCTCAACATGAGCGCGTCATTGTAACTATGCATCTGTCACTTTAAACAGTAGTTTAAGTTGACACAATACTAAAGCTTTTAACACATGCAAAGAAAAACATTATGATACCACAGTAACCTTTCTTGAAGGTATAGAGTTGCATTATGATATTTCTGTATTGGCAGATCAAAACTGAAATTTGTTGCTCTTTACAGATGTTTCAAGCATTATTCAAGTAGAACTATTTCCACTGCTCTATTTTGGCCACAACTGAGAAGCAGAAGTGCAGAACATATTAGAAAAAAAGTATTTAAAATGTGTTGCTTCCCTTGATTTGCAAAACAGTAGAAGAGGCTAAACGTAGAAGGTGTTTATGTCCTTTGTGGCATTATGTGCTGTACCTGAATTCAGTTCTAATTAATTTTTTTTTTAACTGTAGTGCGTTCATGTGTTCTTCCATTTTTGTGTCAAAGTACTAAATTGTCTCCCCAATGAAAAAATACAAGATTCTTCTATTCTGAGCAGACATGTAATTCATTAAAACATATTTCAAAGTGTAGACAAGGATCAAACGGCTGCTTCACAAAACCAGGATAGTGGATTAAGTTAGTATTTTCCAGATATCTTGGCTTAATTAAGCCTACATACAATTTCACAAAAGCTGCAACAAATAAGTTACCATGGTGATTTATCCTGTGCAGCAAGCCTGCTAGCTGACCTTTGTGACCTATGTGACAATCATTTGAAGACTGGAGTTGTGTTCCAATCTTCACTCCTGGTCTTCTTTGGGGTTTTATTGGTAAAATAGCATGATGATAGGATAGGTTATGTGGTTTTTGACATGGGCAAAAACCTGGGGTGGGATATTGTGGGGGGCAGCTTCCACCCCCATAAACTGTTCCTTAATACGCCCCCATATGTTTAGGGGATTAGACAAATGGGTAGTAAAGAAACAAAGGCAGTACAATGAAGTCAAGCCATGCAGGTATTATACTTTACTTACTTTACAGATTCATTTTAACTTAAAATAACGATCACAATGTAAATTGATTTTATTTTTGGCATGCAATTAATAAATGCCCAGTTTCAATCACACAACAGTTAAAACATATTCTTATTCACATCATAAACATACGATTAGTCTATCATTTTATGAGCTCAGTTATAGTTTATAGGTCACCAGTCCAACACAGTGAAAAGCATCTCATTCTTTCTAAAGCAGATTTCAAATACAAACAGGTGGAATTGAAAAGCAAAACTCTTTCAGCTTCAGGTATCTTGCCTCTGGATGCATCTTACTGTACACGTGTTTACTGAGGAGAAAACTGACTTTTGTCTTGTTTGCCTTTTGTTACTTCGGCATTAGATTTGTTCTAATTATAAGCAGCTCGAATGTTTTCACCTGGTTTAGAGCCACTGGTGGACTGAACAAATTCTCTGGACAGGAAGACCTCATTTCCTCCACAGACTTAAATGAATTATATGGCTGCAAGTTTCAACGCATCTGCATCATTTATTTTAGCAATTACATTTTCTCCAGGGATGACAATATTCTTATCCCTCAAGAAGTAGAGTCAAGGCAGCTGCATAGACATTGAATTATGAATGACTAATTATTATGCAGCTGTTTGGTCTCTGGTCTTTTCGGTCAAAGATAAGAATCTAGAACAAGTTTAGTTATGGTTCATAAAAGACATTCAGTCTTTATTTTTCATGGTAGCTATGTGACAAGAAAAAATATATTTAAAAAATTGATCATTTTGAATTAAAATAAAAAAACATTCTTGCACTCTTAAGTCTTGAGTTTAAGCTGCAGATAGAAGCTTTGGCAGGTGATACGGTGAGCTTTACTCTGAAAGGATGAGGTTGATTTATCAGCCAGTCTGTTGATGTTACCTAGAGCTTCACATTGATGATCATGCCAGTGTTACTTTATGTGAATGCTCCATTAAAGTACTTCAGTTATTTCAGTGCAAAGCATCCATGATTTAACATCCACACTGTATCACTGGTGAAAACTCAGTTTGGTATTTTTGAAACGAGGTTCTGTGAAGTTGTTGTGGAATAAACTCCATCTACAGCAGGAATGTCAAACTTATTTTTGTTTTGGGACAAATCAGTATCATGAATGGTCTTAAAGGGCCGGTTGCGCCAGAATGTATTGATAAAGCCTGTTCACCATCTGTTAAATTATCAATGAATTCTTAAAACTAAATAAATATTATTGAACATCTTTTCAGTTCCTCCAGGATTTTGTGATTCTTTTTGTGAGTGTGAGTGTTGTGGTACTAATTTGGAAATATGTGATATTTCTGCTTATCTATGAAAGTAAATGCAAATTTTTATTACTTGCTGTATAAATCATGGATTATAATCTTTCATCAATTAAGACTGAAGTAACTGTTTAGTACAAATAAGAACGTTTTTGACAGTTTTAGTGCAAAAAAGTATGAAAATTTGTTGATTTTGCATGAATCTCCACAGTAATTCTCAAAAAAGTGAAGGGATTGATTGATATAATTTGGCAGTGAAAACTGCATTGATTTGATTGATGACATGATATTTAAGCTGTTAGTGTTTAGTCTAGATTCTAGAGGGCCACATAAAAAGCTATAGCGGGCCAGATTTGGCCCACAGGCCTGGAGTTTGACACATATGATCTACAGTGAACAGAAGCACAGGTGTAAGTGTCTGTAGGTACGTTAATTAAAAAGGAAATACTGTGAACTGATATCAAACAAAGTTAAGGACAACATAAGTGCAGCAAATTCACCACCTATTAGGAATATACAGAGCCACTGTGGTGCAGATGATAATTTTTCTAATTTGCTGCGCAACATGAAACAGGACACAATATTCCATCATTTGATTTGTATCTCATATAAATAGTTCCTCGGAAATGATTCAGTAAATTGATTTTAAATGTAAAAAAAGGGACTGGCTAATGTCATCAGTCTGAAGCAAGTTCATTTTCAGGCCTCACCTTCAGTTCTCACAGCTCCCAGAAAACAATACTAACATGGTTTTCACAACAACATTTGCCAGTCCCATTTTTTTTTCATATCACTGGTGTAAGACACAAACACCATTGATTATGTTATTGGTGTGCTCTGCATCCTACGGTGTCATTAATGCAGCAAACAAGTTATAAAGCATGTAGAATTTTCTCATCTAAATGTCACTGTCAAAATGCATGCTCACTGTTTGGATGGATATGATGTAATGTAGTCTTATTAGCCATAATTCAGAAGATGAAAACTAAAGCACAAGTGTCTGTTTCCCCAGAAATTAGCTTTCTAACAAATTCACCCTGAGATCAGAGTGCAATGCTCAGAAAAACAGCAACATTTTTCATTTCCTAATGGGTTGCATGGTGTTACAGGTGATTGTACTGTTGCCATACAGCAAACAGCAAACCTGCCAAACCTGCCATACCTTGGCAGGTTTGTTTTTACTTAAAGTTTTTATGTCCTCTGATTAAAAACTCTTCACAAATTTAATACAGAGTAAAGCACAGAGCTCAATGAACAATTTAAAATGCAAGCTGACAAGAGTAACACAGGAATAAGAGAGCTGCAAAATATTAATTATATATTTGCCACTGTTGGCTCAGTTTTCCTGAGAGTTATAATATAAATTTGGAATACATGTAGTAACTGTCATACTTCGGATCGAGATTATCTATCTAGACAGAATGACACCAACATGGATCAACAATGGAGATGGAGATAAGCGCTGCAATTCACAAAACCTGTTAAAGTTACCTCATTCTCTGACATTTCCTATTTTCTCTTTATTACCTTGCTGTTTTGCCTCTCTGCAGCGAGTATCCATCACTGGGTTAATTAACAAACACAGATAAGACAAAGTGCAGGCCTGTTAACACCTGCTGGGGGAAATTATTCTTATCTGCCCTGCATTTGACTCAATTCTAGATAAGAACTTAACAGAGTTCAATGTGGCCCATAAAAACATGGCTGAAGATCCATAGCAAATTAACCCCTTCAGCCAAACCTCAATGGGGGTCAATAAAGCAGGGCGTTTGCTGGTGCTTTACAACTATGGATCCTGCAGCACTGGCTGCCTATTCACTAAATAAATAAATTGCCAAATGATAAAAATAAGAAATACAGAACCTTTATACTGTCAATATAAGGTTTTCAACTTTGCAACAAAGACATCTCAAAATACATACATGAGCAGAACTATTACAATAAAAAACATCTGCAGATTTGATTATTGTGGCATTTATGTCACAAATATACTTGCAAATATATTATAAAATCATGTTTTTTAAAGGTTTTATTGACTCTAGAAGCCTTTATTTGAGAAAGGTCAAACAGGAACATGGGTAATGAAAGAGGGAGAAAACATGTGGTGAAGGTAATCGGGGAGGGACTTGAACCTGTGACCACCGTGTGGAGGACCAGGGCCTCCAGACATGGGTTCTGATTTATCCCTGCGCCACCACAGCAGCCCATACCATCATGTTCAAACAGTCAAATGATCACCTGCCATGAATTAGAGCAAATCAGATTGACCTAAAATAAAGCTGAGTTCTCCTACAGGGATTTTCACCAACATTTGGTCTTTTACTTAAAGTCATCTTTTGTCACTGATATAGTCTATGACCACAGGCAAGAGTTGGAAGATAGATGGACAAATGATGAACTTTGTCTTTCAGCTCTGCAACAAAACAGTTCAGCATCATGAGCCATCCTGTCAACCGGTTCTGCTCTCCACAGCTGCAACTTCAAACCTTTTCCATGAACATCACAAACAGGAAGCAGGCTTGGTGGACTCTAACATTCATGAGAAAAGAGTTTGACTTTGTGTTTATCTAAAAGTTATTTCATCTGTTCATTTATATGAATCAGCATGCATGTCTATTAAGCTCTGATGTGTTTTATAAGAGCAAAACATGTGTCTATACGAGTATTGATATATGTGTTGGTGTGCATGCATTTATATATACTTTACATATGGATTTGTGTGTAAGAGAAAAAGAAGGAAAGAAAGAAGATAGATTATCTTCAAGGCGGATTATCTTGAATTGTTGAAGTGGAGTGGTTTTGTTAAAAGCTGAGCAAAAGCAGCTTGTGTGTTCTAGTCTGCCTCTTCAAAAAAGCCCACTAATCCAAGGGATTATAGGAGTGATCATTCAGTTTGTAAAATGTCCTAAAGTTGAGCAGCAGTAGTGACTCGTTTCCAGGATGGAGTGAGAGTGGAAATATTGCCCAGTTTTAACTGGAAAGCTTTTGAGAAGTTCCTTTTGCTCTCACCCTGGAGAAAGTCTGCTGGGTTCAGCTGACTGCTTCCTTCTGTCATGCCGGAGAGACGGAGGTGGCGAGTGAATTTGAAATTATGAAGAAAAGAAACTTACAAAAACCGCTGGGAGCGAGGGCAGAACAAAAAGTAATCCGCAACAAAATAGCCAATAAGGAGAGATGAGGAGTAATTGTTCAAACGGGAATGTAACGGAGCGATCCAGCGAGAAGTAAATGAAACAGGTGTGATTAAATACTGGGAGGGTAAACGTTGGAACAATAGACCTGATCTGATGAGCTAACAGGTTGCAGAACCTGACAGCCACAAAACACAACAGAGAGAAATTTACTCTTCATAAGCAAGAGTATGAGCATTTCATTTCAGTTATTGTTTATTCGATATGAACATATAGAAAAATATACATCAAAACAATCTAATGTCTGCATCACAGTGCGTATGGTTAATTCACAACACTCATCCCCAAATGGACCTTTATTAAATTAGAGGGCAACTGAGCATATTGTTTTTTGTATTTGTCATCAGTGTTTGATGTTAAATGTGTTAATGGGAAAAATTTTAATTTGACTAAAAATAAAACAGAAGAAAAGCTGCAGAGGGGCAAGAACTTTTTCAAAACACTGTAAAACTCTTGACTATTGTTTCCCTCAAACCGTATTATTATTTGTGAGCGATAAAAAGGTTTGTTCAGAAAAGTTAAGCAGTAGAAGAGTTTTATTCTGAGTTACAAATACTGAGGGTAATGCTGAAGAATCACCTAATGAACTGTGTAATATATATGGAAACAATCTGGAAAATATCCCTATCATTATGCATGGCACAATGAGAGAGTACAATGATATAAGTATTATGTTAAGCAAACACATTGTAATTTAATCACATATGTCTGAAATAATCCTATTTTGTTTTGTCAGAATATTTATAAGGTCTTTTCCACTGCAAGCAATAAACCAAATCCTCTTATCTGAGAAGCGGTAGTTGTCTTCTGCTTCCTTTTATCTCCCCTCTGTTTTCATTTCATTATGACACTTAGATAAACTACCAGTCCCAATATTTAGAAAAGGGACATTTAGATCATCACATCAAGCCGAGAGCACAGAGCCACAGCTGGATCCTGGGAGGTCTTTTATCAGAACCACAGTCCTACCTGCAGCCAAAAGCCTTTTCACTGACACAAATGTTTTGTTACATAGGTTTGTATTTAACATTTTCACTGTATCTAGAAAGCAAATTATTTTATGTATTTTTAAAACACAGTTATCTGTAAAATTTAAAGTTGATCTGAAGAGTCAATATTTACAGTGTCATTTGGAAATTTTCCGTTCAAGCGTATTTTACTTCAAGCCATTTAAGCATTTGCACTTTTTACAGCTCAGATTTGCACATTATCTATCAGAAATAAATAAAACATGCTCCCATATATGAATGAAATATCCGCAGCTCTACAGATGTTTGAAGTCCTGATGAGAAGCAGCTGCAGCCTTTGGTAGCCAATGCTGTACCATTGGAGGATAAACTCCAGAAGCATTTTGAAGCAATGCTGTTTTTCTTTTTTTTTCCATATTTCTGGTATTGTATGTAATTTTAAATGCTGAGGACAGATATTTTGGTGATCTAGCATCTTTTTAGCATCTGTTTAAATGCCTGCTGTACTGCATTGGTGAATAACTTCTATGAAACTGTTGCAATACGCCATATTGTTTCCCTCAATCTATCTGGCATGTCTTGAGGCGAGCAGTGGCATCAAGCAAACCTCCAAACTCCAAACATCTACAGTAAAGTCAAGAGCAATCACAACAAAACAAAAACAGTGCAGAAAATCACAAACTATTAATCAGTTAATGTGGGTGAAACATATGTAGGTCATCTGTGACTCACTGGGAAGAGGACAAGTTGCTTTGCATTCATAAATTTAGTCAATTACAACTTTATGTAACGTCAACACTGA